AAGGCCTGCTGACACTCAGGAGTCCAAACCCACTCGGCGTCCTTCTTCAGGAGCTGTGACAGCGGGCGTATCATGCCCGCGTAGTCCTTCACGTACTTTCACAAGTACGTGGCCAAGCCAAGGAACTGCCGCAGTTCCTTGACGTTCGACGGCGTCGGTCACTCATTGATCACTCTGTCCTTCTCAGGGTCAGGGCGGACACCGTTCTTCCCGACGAGACACCCGAGCACGGGTATCTCGCTCGCCCCGAAGATGCACTTCTTCAGGTTCGCATAGAGCTTGTGCTTGTGCATGAGCGCAAGCAGCTTCCGGAGATGCACCTTGTGCATCTCAACATCGCTCATCCCGTCCGCAGCCCGGCTGTGGACGAACACATCGTCGAAGTAGCTCGGTGCGAAGTCGCGCACCGAGCGCAACAAGTGCGTCACGCACATGTTGAAGGTCGCAGGGGCGTTCTTCAGACCCTGTGGCATCACTAGCCACTCCCAGAGCATGCCGCTCGACGTGCTCACAGTCGTGAGAGGGATATCGCTCTCACGTATGAGGATCTGATAGAACCCATCGCGCAGATCAAGAGCACTGTAGATAGTGCTCCTGGCCATCGAATCGATGATGACATCTTTTCGCGGTATCGGTCGGTATTGTCGCATTGTTCAGCTTGTTGTACGCATGAACGATGCGCCAGCCGCCCTGTGGCTTCTTGACACAGAACGTCGGAGCACTGTGCGGGGACTTCGATTCCCGCACTTGTCCAGCTTTGCGACGACTCTCAAAGAAGTCGTCGATCGCCTTGACCTGCTCTCGCGGCAGTGGCCACTGCCGCGTGACACAGTACTTCGTGCCCGGCACGAGATCAATCTCGTGCTGGATGCCCTTGTCCTGCGGAAGCTCCGCAGGGATCTCTTCCGGAAGCACGTCCGCGTGCTCCCGTAGAATCTCGTAGAAGGGACTCGTCTTCAGCGAGTCCCAGCTCTGCTTCTCAAAGCGCTCCTTCTTAGTCTTCGCACTGAGAGTGTCCTCGCTCTCAGTGGTGCTCTCCATGAAGAACTGCCTCAGTTCTTCATTCTCGCTCTTCGTTCTCTCGGCGTCCGAAACTTCGTCGTGCAGCGGGCAGCCGGGCTGCACGATAGCATGCAAGTCGTTCCGGTGCGGGACGTTTTGCAACCGTCCGCACCGTCTGCAGCGTCGACTCCCGGAGTCGACACGCCATCTTTACCTCGACGCCTGTTATTGGCGGAGCCCTTTATTACAAGGGGTACGTCGACTTCCGGAGTCGACGCGAAATTCCTTTTCGCGGCGCCGGTTCCCGGAACCGTCGCGACTTTAATACCTCGACGCCAACCATTGGCGGAAACCCCCATTACGTAGGGTGCGTCGGCTCCCCGAGCCGACGAATCAAATTCACTCAAGCCATCGACTCCCGGAGTCGACGGCGCTTCGTCACCTTAGCTCTTATTATTGGCCAAAACGGATCCAATTAGATTCACGTCAGCCTCCACGGCTAAGGCGTGTGACTCGCCTGCGTCATCCGTGCCCCGTGAGCTCGGAGACTCTTTCTGATTCGCTGAAAAGCGGGTGTCGATCTCCGAGATCAACACATTTTCTCCTTCAGCCGTCGGCGGCGACGCCGACGCTTGCTGCTCTTGCGCGCGTGCTCGCGCGCGCCCAGGGCGCTCCGGGACAGCGGCATTAGGTGCTGTCTCGAGTGGGGAGTCGCGCGCATCTGTCGGTGCGTGCGTAGCGGCAACAAGGCCATCGCTCACTGTACCGCTGTCGCGACCGAAGCGCACGAGTGTGCGCTTCTCCCAATCGATGACCGGATCATGCCGTGCAAGCCACGCCATGCCCAATACAATGTCAAACTTATCACCCAGATGCAGGACGATAAAGGTCTCGACAAACGCTTGATCTTCATACGTGAAGCGCACGCGCACCATGCGCTTCCCAGTCTTCACGACGGCACCCGTTGCCAGTCGTACCTCCAACATACTTCGAGGTATCTTTACCTCCTCGAAGTCAAGCCTTGATAGACTTCGCAGTCGAACAAAGTTGTTCGACGCGCCCGAATCAACCAAAGCACGAAGAGAGTTGCTCTCTCTCTTCGAAGACACGTCCAAGATGACAAGGTTCGGTTTGTCATCATGCATTTTGCAGTGAGAAGGGTCCTCACTGGGGGCTGCAGTCCTCAGTGTCGCATGTCCGAGTTGGACACGCGTGACTACTTCACCAGTAGGGCGCCCTGCGCCTACTGGGTTCCAGCGGTTTTTGTTTGTCCGCGACGATGCCCGGCATCGCCGCGTCAACTACCATCTCGGTGCACGGGTGCCGTGCACTCTCGGGCATAGTGACCGATCCTTCCGCAACGGAAGCAACGTACATTACTTCCTTGTTGCTGTTGATAACCAACAGCCGCTGCATTCGAGAGGTCCATTGGTTCCGGACCTCCCGCTATCGCGACCGGAGGCGGTTGCAGCCTCGGCGCATTCGCATGCAGTTTAGCCTGCCTCAGACTAAACTCCTCCTGCATTGCAAGAGTAATCGCAGCTTCGAGAGTGCCTGGGTACTCACGGAAGAGATAGGTCTTTACAGGCCCATCTCTCAGACCCTTCATGAACGTGACGATCTTGGTCGCCTCGTCTATCGGGTTGGTCACAATGCTCGAGACCAAGTACCGTGCTCTCTGCGCGTAATCATGGACATCGTGCTTACCCTGCTGTAGGTCGAGGAACTCTGCCCTCGACCGAAACTCATTTTGCGGGGGCTCAAACGCTTGCCTGAGCTCCTCCTTGAAACCCTCGTACGTGCTGAAGCACGTAGGATCAGAGAGTCGGCGTCCATACGCCCAACTTCTCGCTCGTCCGCCAAGTCATGACATGGCGAACGCAACCTTGGACAACGGGCCGACGATACGCGATGGCAGTGTCGAGTTCGACAAGCCAACGGAGGAGAGGCTCGCCCTCTCTTCCGACATAGTCGCTCACGTTTAGCTTCAACGATTGCCCACTCCGACGCCACCGTGGTAGAGGAAGCAGCATCACGCTGCTCCTTCATGATGAACCCCAGAGCAACACCATGTTGCTCTGTCGGCGATAGCGTACGCAGCATCGCAGCTACTGCCGCCCACCCAATGACTGTTGACAGTCGTTGGAGTGCCTCCCACTCTGGATCCGACAGGTGGAGGCAGTCAGCGCGTGCAACATGAGTTGCAGGCGAGGTGGAGCTTTCCATGGGCACCTCCGCGCTCATGAAAAGGTTCTCGGCTCCTCGTTCGTACAGCTCCGTACGAACGTTCAGGTAGTCGGTCGTTGGACGGACTACAAAGTGCTACCAGGTGTAGTGGGCCTACCTTGGCTCACTACTACGGCTTACACGTATGCACACGTGTATGAGGAAGCGTAGGTTTCTTTTACTTGAGTTAAGTATACTCGAGATCCACGAATATACTTTAAACAAGATAAAGACTCCAAGTAGCGGGTTTTGGTAAAAGATGAGAACTGCTATTTTTGTTTCATGTTTCTAACTTCCTCTAAATGTAATATTCTAAACTAGAAATCTGCCAACGGCTGGTTGGCAGGATTCTGCTAACATGGAAGTCACTCGTTGGCTAAAAGATACTGCTTTCAACCAATAGGAATCCTAAATGTGTATGGACCACCCGTCGTGGTGGTCGTAAATGTATGTAGCCATTGATGCACCTTACACCAAGGCCGAGGAAGTGTTCAAACCTCTAACAGACATCGCATCTGTTAGAGTAACAAGTGACTGTAGCCACTTGTGCGTGTAACCCCGTTACATGGTGTGCGATAATCAATGATGAAAGGCAACAAGGAGAGCAAGGAGGACAACAAGGAGAGGAGGACAGTAAAGTAGATTTAGGCTTAACAGTAAATCTCACTTCGGCATTGCCCTCTTCACCACAAGCAACAGCAAAACCAACATCAACGTCCCCCAGTCTACTTATAAGTAGCCCCCAAGATCTACTTACGTTTGGACAAATAGCCCCAATCTACTTGTATTATTTAATCCTCTCTGACGCCGCCCTCTTGCCCCACCGTCCACACAGCTGTCGTACAGCAGGCAATCCTCCTTGGACCTGCAGAACCACTTCGCCTGGAACCTCTCCATCAGAGCAGCTACATGGACAAACGAAGAAGGGGGGAATACGATGCGTACTTACAAAAGAAGAGTCGGTGGCAACAGCACCGATGAGCGTTGTTTGGACAGGAACTTGCGCCGGAGGCTAGTTCTTTTGTTGTCTCTGCGAGGGGGAGATTCTTAACTATGATTACCCTCAGCCGTCCATCCTGCAAATTAGTTATAGAAATAGAAATAGGAATAGGAATAGAAACGCAGTGCCAAAGGATGAAAATCTTCACCCTGCCGATAAGGGAGGCGTGAGTAGATGGAGACTCGCAGTTTTTTTTTGGAGGAAGAAAATATTGCAACTCCCGTGGTGTCTCCGCCCAGCTCACCAAGCACTCTACGCATAATGCAGTACGCCGCTAGCGGCACACCAGTGCAATATCAAAAGCCGAAAGCAAGGTATGGCAAGTGAGATTAGACGTCTCGGCTAAGTCCGACTCTGTAGGGTACACTTAGGCTATACGTTACGTTTTAGTCATAGGGTACATACGGGGCACAAGTTACGGAAAGGTACTGTGTACGATACATTTTATTGTGCCTTTCTGTCTTTATGCGCTCAGATTTAGCCCTCTTCATCGGACTTGAAGCTCCGCTGGGAGTACTCTAATCTATCTAAATCGTTCGAGGGTAGGGAAAGAAACTCGGTGCTGGCAAGACAAACAGACATAACCAGCCCCGCTCCCAGCGCCGTACAGGTGGACACTACGAGGCTATCCTACTACCGCTACCCACACGTGCTCGTTCAGACGAGGTAAGCCAGGATATAACTCATTTTATATGTGCGGTGTGAGCGGGTACATGGTGACTATTTAATGAGAAGCGACTTGTTTTGACTTTACACGCTCTGAGGCGGCTAGATGACTGGAGGAGCTGTCATACCTCTCTGTTCTCAAGGTAATCGAGGCCAGGTTAGTGATCGGCACTGACAAGCCGCCGAAAGCGTGGGTATCGCTGGATTTGGGGCTGCGAAAAGCATGAAGGAGGGCCACGGCATGTAGGCTCATACAACAGGCAGCAGAAGGTTGCCGCCCGAGCCCATGAAGGTGATGGAGCAAATGGACGCGCTCAACGCCGGCGTCGAGCTCACGGTCAAGACCTCGCTCGGCCACATGCCCGCCTACGTAGCCATGGAAGCAAGTCGCAAGATGGTCTCAGTCGCTGCTAAAGGTGCGTTGCTGCTGGCTGCTGGCTGCTTAGACTGTTGGTCCGTGTGTACTAACTGTTCTATGCTGTGTGTTGCTATATAGAACGCAAGTGATGGTAGCCTTATCGACGTAGTGGCGAGGGGCCACTAGTATACTTTTGGCGTGATGGTAAGCCGATTATACATGTATTGATGCAGCTTCGCATTGAGCTGTTGTTATGCTGAACAATGACTATTATTTGTATGTTGACGTGCAGACTGTTTCTCCAGGTCAAACTGCTTTGGATAAGACGAAGAGAGCGCAAACACTTGTCAAGAGGACGAACATTAAGAGGCGGTTGCACCGACCGTCGTTTGCGCTGCCCGATACAAAGGCAGAGCGGCGTGGCCGCTGAACCTATATGCGCTGGTACGATCAATACATATCTGAATAATTGATTAATGTGTGGCATGGGTTGCTCACGTCTTATCTGCCTATATGCTTTTGTTTGGTGGTACAGAATGCGCTCTGCCGCGTTGGCGGGTACGTGACCTCGCGGTAGAGGAAGCCGTCATATTCCTTGAGTGCTCTAATGTACTGCTGTCTTTGCTGTTTATCTGGCCAAGCTCAGTTCCGATTTCCTCCCCGCCTGCGTAATGCAGGCGCGAGACTTACCGCTTCCTGGCCAACTCCAGGTGCGCCTAACTGTGAAACCTGGTGACCCCTTTACTGCATGTAGGGATAAAATAGCTCCGGTCGACTTCATCTTCCAGGTCGAGACTGGTTATGGAGGCCTGCGCGGAGCTGTGGAGGGAATGTTCGTCCGTCAACTGCCAAACTTGTAGCGCCCTGAGTTTGAGCTGTATCTGAAGCCAAGCAACAACGTCCCTCAACGCGATTTCTCGGTGATCCAAGAAGGAGAGCGCGAGTTCAAGGTGCAGCTCGAGCCAGTGTAGTACACTGCGCGACTCCGCAAGAACGGTCAAGCCGATTTTCGCCTAATGGTTTTTGTGTACGTACCGCGGCCACCACGCGAGCGACGGCAGCACGCGTAGAAGAACAGACGCCGAGGATCAGCATTCGTGCGCGAGCAATCGCTTGAAGCTGGACCAGCGACCCAGCGCTACATGAGTGCACGACAAGCCAGCCTACCGGACGACGCCACGATTCAGACGCCAGAAGACGCCACGTGTCGACAACTGCAGTCGATTGATCAGCAAGAAGAGGCTATGCAAGCTGATCAAGAAGCTGCAGACAAGACCAACAACGCTGAGTACCATGCCATCAGGGTTTATGCTCGAGGGAGCGGCGGTCCCGCTTCGGCTGAAAGTGTCCGACTTAAAGCTGGCGCTTAGCCGCCATCGTACTCGCTGCGTCCACCGTTTAGGCCACCATCAGCCACCGCCATTCCCGATCCTGAAGTTGACATGGAAGACGTCGACCACCGTCAGCAAGACGACTGAACTTACCAGGGATGAAGTGTTTTCATTAATTTGTGATGTTAATCGAAAGCTTGTTTGAACCATAGCCATAGTGGTTGTATAGATTCTCTCCAACTAGTTCCTGCTTGCGTGTGCACCAATAGATCGTGACCTTGAGAACGGCGGGGGATCTTGGCGGAACGCAGCTTCACCGTGGCGCTGTATCCATCGCTTCAAAGCCGAGAACGCGACCTCAATAGGATTGAGGCCCGGAGAGTACGGAGGTAAAAAGAAAAGCAATGCACCTGTCGAGCTCACCATTTATTTCGGCTCCTTATACATGTGAATTTCCGCATTATTCACGACCACTATCGATCGCGTTAGTGACCATGGATTCAGAAATGGCAGGATCTTGGCCTTGAAGGTGTCATGGAAACGCTGTCGCGTGAATGTGCCCTCCACATTTCCCCACGCGAAAACTCCCGTTACATCAGGCGCAGCAAGTACAGACACGCGACTGTCGCGGGCGAATGGAAGCTTTACGCTGGCGTGTTTCTCGCCGACCACCCGTACTTGCGAAGTACAGAACTGAATCATAACATCGATTAGCACCATAATTAAGCCAATACAGTGGCAATTGAACTCGTACCGTGCGTCCTTTGAGGTTTCATCGACAAATACCAACTGGTTGGGCCCGCTGTAGTATGGCAGTAGACACTTGACGTATTCACCCCTTCTCTTGGGATGCTTTCGATCGCCCGTTTGGTCAACACCTTGTGTGTAAGGCGCAGTTCGAATCTCAACGCGCGGAAAATAGATCAGTCGGAGAGGTTGTGTAGCTTGCGAAAATTTGCTCGTAGCTGATCTGGCCGGTTACCGCAAACGGCACTACCAGCGACGTCGACGCGTCACGCACTCCCCAAGCCAGTGAGTGCTGCATCAACATCTAAGTTCATCAAGGTAGTAGTGCCCTCAAGCTCAATACACATTCAGTTGCGTTTTATTTACCTTCGGGGCACGCCGATGTCCTCCCCGGACTCCGGCGCTCTCCAAGAACGTGGACTCAGATCAAAGAATTCTTTAGTTGTGTGGGTCTCTCGACGAAACCAACTAGTTACCATGGGCCGCCGCGCGTCGTTCTCGGAGTTAACGGAGAATTTCGAGCGTCTAAATGTGGCCACGGAGACAGAGGACGCGGAGGCAGCGCGACGTCCGAGTCTCTCCCACACGATCGTGAACCCGTTTGCGACTGAAGGCGAGCCGGCGAGCTCGCCCAAAGCAGGCAGCGACGTCTCCATGGAGGATGTCTCGGTGAAGGTCCTGAACGCGCCGTCGCTGCCCTCAGTATCCGTGTACCGAGGAAGCACTTCCGAGGACCGGTGAGTCTTCATGAAACAGTACGAGCGTTATACGACAGCTCTAACGGCGTTCCAGAATCCTGTCAATCAACCGTTCTGCATGCCCGTCTCTGCCTGCATCGAAGGCGACACGCACCAGCGGATCGCCCTGTTCGAGTTCGGATGCTCTCCCCACGAGATAACGGAAGAACAATGGGTCAACTATTTCCTACAAGCCAAAGTCTCGACGTTTCGCAACTATGTCGCCATCGACGCAGAGATGAAGACGCTCAGGATGGACGTCAGCCTTCGCGAAGCTCCATCACGCATGAACCGACTGACGCGCGATCTGTACGTGAAGTTAGAAGCCCACATCCTGTTGCAGGAGATGTTCACGGAGGCACCACGCATGATCGTTGGATATCTCCTCGAGGCCCTCGAGCCCGAAGGATTTCGAGAAATCTTTCGCCACCAGCTTACGCTGGAAACGCACAAGGCGAAGAAAAAGCAGATAGTCCCTTTCTGCAAGTGGGTCAGCGGGATGCTTGAGCAGTACATGCAATGGAATGATATGCCCGGCTGCAGAAGCTTACGCCCACCGTAAAGACGGACGACAGGTCGAAGAAAAGTGCGAAGCCTCCTAAACCGGCTGTTGCCGGAAATACTGGAGCCGCTTCGTCGGGAGCTGTGGCTGCCCCACGGCTCGAGACAAAGCGCCCCGCCTTGCCTTGCCTCAAGTGTAACTCGCCGGAGCACAGGGTACGACACTGTCCTCGCGTCCAGTCTGGTGAAGCCGCGGCCTTAATTGCCGAAGCCCGTGCTCGACGTCAAGCCACGAACCTCCGCACGAAGCTCGTGCAGTCCTCCGCCAGGAACGCGCCAACACCTGCCAGCGCCAGTGGTATTGAAAGAGGGACCGTTCCAGCAAATATTGACGGTCTCGATGTGAATGCAACACTCCTGGACAGCGGATCGGACGAGTCGCTGGTTGCTCGTACGTGGTTAAGGCGTTAGAAGAACGTGGTGTGGAGATAGAAGTATGCAAACCCGCCATGCCAGCTCGACTCATTCCTGTTGGTAAGCAGGCGGAGATGGCTCCTCGCTGTGTGCGCTTCAAACGCATCAGCTTCGTTACATCGGCTGGCCCCCTGATCCTACGCAATCATTGCTGCTGGGTTGATGAGACCGACGACGATCTCAGTTTAAACATCGGGCGGCCGACTATGGAGCAACTAGGATACTCTGTGGATGGCCTGCTTGTGGCTGCTCTAGCAAAACAGAGTGAGTACATCAGTGACACCAAGCTCCCGGACACCCCAGAGTCTCCATTGTTGCGAATGCAGCGTCTCCAACACGTCGCGGGCTATGAACTGATCGCTGAACCACCGGCTACGCCGTTGGACGAATATGTCACCACGCCAATGTTCGAGCCTGAAGATCAGGCATTCGAGCGAGTCCAACAGTATTTCGTCGATGGCCTTCGTGATGCCGTCGCCAAGGGCCTCAGCGAGCGAGGTTTGAAGCGGATGAAAACATCGCTGGACAAGTACAGCAATAATTTCCGGGTACAGTTTGGCCTGGATCCCCCGGTGAAGGTGAAGCCGCTCAAGGTCCGACTGAAGGAAGGAGCTAAACCTGTCAAATGTAAGGCCCCCCAGTATCCGCCCCTGCATCAGATCTTCCTTGCGACGCACGTCCAAGAGCTGCTCAAGGCAATGCTGGTCCGCGAAAACCACCGGAGACGCTGGTCCTCGCCCTCACGAGTGGTGCCCAAGAAGTTGTTGGAGGACCTCCGTATGGTGATCGACTCGCGCCGAGTCAACCGTGAAACGGAGCCAGTGCCTTTCCCGATGCCACAGCTTGAAGTGTCGATCACGCACGTTATCGGCGCTACCGAGTTCTTTTCGTGCGACTGGTTCAAGGGGTACTGGCAGTTGCCCCTTGATCCCGAGTCACAGGAGTATTTTACGTTCATGACGCACAGCGGCATGTACACCCCCACGCGCGTACCCATTATCTTCTGGTCCTGAAGGACGGAATGTCCGGTTACGTGGAATTGGTTGTATGCCTGGAAGCTACTGCAGATGTGACTCGGGACGCGCTTTTGGATTGGTTCAAGCTCTTTGGAGTGGTCCACCACTGGGTATCTGACCAGGGATTCCACTTCAAGAACTCCATTATCGCCCATCTTACGAAATTGTTCGGAGCTCAACATCACTTTGTCACCGCCTATTGTCCGTGGGCGAACGGCTCAGTAGAGGTGGTGAATCGGCTCGTTCTTCGCGCTATCAAGACTATCCTGAGTGAGTGCAAACTTCCCATCTCGTCCTGGCCCTCAATCCTGCCACTAGTCCAGCACAGTCTTAACACTATGCCGTCGGATCGCATCGGCGGTATTTCACCGCTCACAGCTTTCACGGGTCTACCGGGTACTTCTCAGCTCCGTGCCGTTGTTGGCCCTACCTCCGTCCCCTCTATCGATGAGGCTACGTTGCAGCGCCACCGACAGCAGACCCTGGTGGCGACTCGTAACGCTTTGGATACCATCCACCGAGCGGCTACCGCGACAAGCGACAAGCGCAATACTCAGCATCGCCAGCGCCGGGCACAACAGCAACACGTCTCGCTTCCACGCTTCGAGATTGGCGACTTCGTTCTCGCGGCTGGTGTTCTTTCTCGCCGTAATAAGCTTGCCCTCAACTGGAGCGGTCCCAAGCGCGTGGTGGCCTCGCTGAACGATTTTACCTTCGAAGTTCAAGACCTGACGGCCCTGTTTTACATCACCGTGCATCACGCCTCTCGCTTGCAGTTTTACCGTGATTCTCAACGCGGCGTCACGCAGGATTTGCTTGACCACGTCCATTATGCTACTGGAGGCCACTTAGTGGACAAATTGCTGGAAGTTCGTCATGGACCCGACGATTACGAGATCAAGGTCCAGTGGATCGGTCTCGACCCGCTCGAAGCATCATGGGAACCCGCTACCGTTATCCTGGAGGACGTCCCGAAGCTGGTACGCGCGTTTGTCGCTGTGCATTCACGCCAAAAGTTTTCAAGGACATGTGGGCTGCAATCGGCGATGGTCCCCTGCCTACCCCCAAGACCACCGGTAAATCCCATGTTACGAACCGCACAACTAGCTGGGGGAAGTGATCTGGCCGGTTGCCGTTCGGCCAGAGAGCAAACAGCACTACCAGCGACGTCGACGCGTCACGCACTCCCCAAGCCAGTGCTGCATCAACACCCAAGTTCAACAAGGTAGTAGTGCCCTTAAGCTCAATACACATTCAGTTGCGTTTTATCTACCTTCGGGGCACGCTGAGGTCCTCCCCGGACTCCGGCGCTCTCCAAGAACGTGGACTCAAGCCTGAGTTCTTCGAAGTAAAAGCGTGGGTTTGCTTTAACGTACTCTTTGACAAACGTAAACACGTGGCGGGCCACCGCTAGGTCTTGTTCTTGCGGAGTTGATGGCTGGACACATTGCCAGTGCATCTAAAGAGTTTATACCAGCGCTCCAAGCTACGTATTGACATCTCCAGAACTGTGCTTACCGTGCTCATGTCCACGCTATAAACATAGCCTAGAACAATAGCTCACCGCCGTATATCGAGTGAGAATGTCATAACGCTGCTAAGTACCCTCCGATTAGACTAGTCCTCTCTCCGCGATTTCTTGAATGTCGTTGAAATGCGCGCCATTCGGACAAACTCGCGTGCGGCACTGGCTCTCTCGGCACTACGCAAGTCCGTTTAAGCCAGTGAATATGATGCGATCTGATTGGTTGTATTTTGACTAAACAGTTGCTCATCGAGCTGTAAAATGAAGGTGTACACCTATCCCTCCGCTGAACGGCACTTCACCGAGTCCGATTCGCCAAAAGAGCTGCAAAGCACAATATAATCATAAGTACAGATACCCCCTTGTAAATTTTCAAAACACGGTAGGTTTTCGATTTTACGCCAAAGATTACGCCTTTTGATTTGAACGGACCCCAAACCGAATTAGTTTTAAATTGCGGACCCCAAACCGGATTTCCCCTAGAATCTAAACTGCTTCATGCGTCCTGGTCCAGGTCGAGAGAAACAGGGTACGGGTAGGACCAGTCAAGAATATGTATAAGGCCGATAAGGCCGTCAGAAATATACATATTCTTGTATTATTTTACAATTGTGCTCTCTGCCCCTGAGCCTCAAGCCGAGGGCTCATCGGAAACGTTAATGTACGCAGCGGAAGATGACGATCAAATTTGAGGGCCCGCTTCCGTGGGCCGTGCTGCTGTGGTCCCGCAGCGCAGTACCCCAACCCAGTAATTGCACCCCAAAACCCAGATGAGGTATTTTGGACAACTGGTTGAACCGAGTCCTAACAACCCTACTGCTGCGGTTTAACCCTTGGCCGAGTCTTACGACTTACTACTTCTTTCTTCAGTTGCTGCTGTTGTTGTTGCTGCCGGTACCTGCCAGCAACTCACGTGCATCTTCCCTTCGGTTAATGCATTCCACTAAGCCTTGCCGCAGCTGCTGCAGCAAGCCGGGGAACTTGGAGTTCAGGTTCTCTGGTGATGGATCCATGCGCACAGGAGATGAAACAGCGCCACGAAAGCTGCCAGGTTAAATGAACACTTTGGGGAAGGGAAAGCTAGACCAGTAGCCCAGATTACACTGTTTTGGCCTGTATAAAGAATCCCACCGCCTCCTCCAATTTGAGGTGACCCTCGTGCGCAACCATGTACAAACCCCAGAACGTCAGACGGCATCAGCAGGGTCGATGTTGGTGGTTCGAGTGCGCTTTTCAGTAGCTCCGCATGGGTAAGCTTCGTAACCTGCCACTTTGCGTACGTAGCCTGCGTCAATGGCGTATCCAGGGTGACTTGGGTATATGTTCGCCTAAGCTTTGCTTTTAGCTGGGAGAGAAGTAGATGCTTGTCAAAATTTGAGGTCGTCTCTGAGTGCAGCATAGAAGCTCGATACCGCCAGATAAAGCTGAGTACAGTGGCTACCCCTGCTCTCCAGTAGATGTTCACGGTCTCATATATGAAGCCAGAGGCTGCCTGGTCAAGTCCCCCTCCGATCTGAGAACGTCTTTCGACGTTTATGCGAAGTCGTTCCGGAGGCAGTCGGAGTTTCAGCGAGAAGATCTCAGTCACCGTGCCAAACTCAATTCCACCATGTGCAGATCTCCATCCTTCAAGAAAACTGCCCCAGGCCAATTCCGCCACTGGGCACGACCAGAAAATGTGACTGCGTGTACTTGCGGCTCCAGTGCAGATTTCATGGGGGCAGACCATAGAGTTGGAGGCTTTATGCCCAACCGTCAACGAACGACAACGCGTTGTAAGGGTAGATTTGTGCAACTTTCCCCGTTGAAGGAGGGACTCAGCATGACCTGGCCATTCAAATTACGGAAATCCCTCTACCAACAGTAGGATAAACATAAAATAAAGTATTGTGCATCCCACAATACTTACCCAATAGGTATTTAATAAGGACAAAATACATTTTATCTTGATTTCAACAATTATCCAAGCAAGCTTGCCGTCTGATAAATTGGAGTTCTGGCAGCAACCAGCAACGGCTCCGTTTCCATCCATGAATAGATCTTAGTCGTGTTGGGGCGTCCAAGAAAACCTAAAAAAAAAAGAGTTAGGCTCGACGTCATGCGTTCTTGTTGCTCAATATCTCAGCACTCCACCACGCTTATAGCTTCGATTATGGCTCGAGTAGCAGCTAGACCAGGCCAAACAACACACGAAAATGACGCGCAACCTCAGACTTCATTAATTTTACGAGTCAAGCGCAAGATCGAGACGGCCTGGAATCGCTGCCAGATTGGCCACCGAAGCTCCTACTCAGTCGAGCGGCTCCTCGCCTTTCGGGACTACTGCGAGCGTACTTCAATCGCTCATGCCGTTGCAATTTGTGTTTTCACACCGATACCTGCGTTAGTAGTCGCTCTTTTGATCGATTGCATCCCGTTAAGACGTCCATCAGATGGGTGGCAGGCGAACTATGGTCTTTGGATCCGACAATTGCTCGCGATGTTTTGCGAGTCCGTGGGAGTTGTGTACCAAATGAGAGAAGTAATGGACGCAGGTGCTATCTCAAACGCTGGAGCAGTCAAAGTCGGACTGGGGACAGCGATTAGCAGCGTTTTGGTCACTATAGTCGTGGCAGCATTGTGGAAATTCCCCATTCCTTTTGGCTATGTGCTGCTGCTCAACGTCTACATACTGTTGTTTGCAACTTGTATGGTTCTTGTGGTCGGCCCCCGAGTGCTAATGCGATCTTCAGCGCTACAGCAGCAGATTAAGTCACAGTTGTTCATTATTGCGAACCAAGGAATTGTGGCGGTATTTTACCCCATTTTTAGCGCGATCTTCACGAGACTATCAGGCATCCAGCAGACGGCATTTGTGCTCGTGATGCCCATGATCAAGTTCTTCACAAAGCAGAATATCGCAAACGCAGCTGAGAACTGCCACGAATACGTTGGCCCCATTGTGGTCTTCTCGGTCGACCTCTTTAATATTTACTACGTTGCGATCTGCATGCAAACCTCCAAGTCGGTCGGCACCACCTTGATTATCATGGCAGCCGATAGTTTCCATCTCTTTCTGGCACTTCACTGCATGTTGCGGCACACCAAAGACTCTTCAGCAGGCGAAGGTCAGTTTTTCTCGTGCATTCTTGAGCGAATTGACAGTGTTCTTCACAGTGCCAACTCTCGCCAATCTTCCATTCGGAAAGTCCGTCTCTTCGCCCCATTTCCACTTCCAATTTCAAGAGAAAGCAAAACTATCATGACAAAATTTAAAAAGACGGACAGATTTGCCAACGATAAAGCTACGAACCGACGGTGCTCAAGCACACTGACGACGGCAAACTTGGAGTCAAAGGAGGGACCAGCAATGCCGAGGCAATCGACGTCGCTTGCTGCCTCCGTGAAACAAACGCAAATTTTGCCGTTTGTCTCTGATGCCCTACAGGCGGTGGCATCCTCGGTCAGCAGCTCAAAAAATGCCGGATCTCAGAGTGCCTCGTGTCCAAGCAAAGAGAAAGAAATTCACGACATTTTGCAAACTTTATTCCACTCCGAGTACGTTCTCCTGGCGGAGTACATCGAATTTATGGTCCCATTGCTGTACGCTCCGTACCTGGTGGCTATATTTCATCTGCCGGTAGCAGCTTACTACCCGAATTCGGCATCAATGGATGAAGCGAAACTCCAAACATTCTTCTGTACGCAGGCATCGAATGTGCAGCGTTTATTGCACTTCTTGTTATCTTGTGGCGCAAGTTCGGGTTTTCACCGCTTTTCCAGTTAGCGTTCGTGTTGGATACTCAGGCTTCCGTTTTACAAGGCCATCTCTTCGTGTGGACGATTACCATTCTCCATTTGACGCTTGCGCATTACGGTAAGGACCCCAACATCTATTGTGCAATTCCCCTGTACGGCATGCTAACTCTGCTTTGTAGGCGTTGTTGACTTCAACATTCGGATCTCGTAAATTGTTGATCGCGCTTAGACTCGAGAGGTTGTTCGGGGCACCGCGCCTTTCAAGCCATGAACGATTTGTTCTCCTCCCGGCCACACGACAACGTTTCCTGGTATTTCTTAAGCCCCTCGTCAATTTGTTTTTAGCCAAACGGAGTATTGCCAATGCTGCTGAAAGTTATTACGCCTTCAATGGCCCGATCGTGGTGTTTCCGTGGATCTTTTCAATGTTTACTACGTTGCGCTCTGGGTGCAAACTGCGATATCAAAGGGCACTTCTGTCGTCATCATGACAGCAGATCGTTTCCACGTTGTAGCAGCACTTTACGGTACTTTCCACCATAGGAACCAAGCTCATGAAGGGTACCTGACAGTGCTCAATCGCAGCAATACATTCGTAGCTTTTTATTCTTTTCTTGAAGACGTGTATTGTCACTTAGTTACTACAGTAGTAGCTTACTACTCCTGTCTACCAACAACTAACGACAAAGCAGCCTGGCCCCACTCGTGCTAGAAGCGTCACGAGCCGGGTGGCTCTCCGGTTGCGGAGAGTCCGATGTAAATTCCAAAGCGCGACCTCAGAGAGGACAGGTGATCGATCTCGCGTAGCTTAACAACCAGGGACTAACGAAGAGGTCTAAGAAAAACAACGGATCTCAGTTTGATTGCATACAAATTCGGTTATTGGCATCATTTTCGCTTCCTTTGTCGAGCCCTGGCTGCAACAGCGGAATTTACGGTGAAACCTGGTCTTTCACCTGTGAATGAACTCAACTAGAATTGCAGATGCTATAAAGCACCTGCATCCATAGACACAGCGAGGTGCACGAACGGTTTGCAGTAGCAGGGTGTCTGGAATTCACAGTGGACTTCGATTAAGCAACGGCGGAATAGTACAGACGCAGCATCATTAACGTCGTGATGTACGTTGCAAGCGAGTTTGCCAGATATGTCGACTGAAGTTCGGCTATTGTGCTGTGTATCTACATGTTTTGCCGTTTGTACTGGAGACGCAAGCGTCTATTTTTCAGGTTCAACTCGTGATGTGAAATATCACAATTTTGCACCTCACCCTAATGAATCTGCAAGGGTAGTCACTGTTATCTCAACCTCGCCACTAGGCAACGCATGCTTGCTAGATATCTCGTACGATGAAGTCCGCCCCTGTATTCATACGAAGAACACCGACAGTTGGATCAACATACCCTCAGCGCATGCAAAATTCATTCAACGTACCATAATGCACCAACGTGATATGCAAAATCGAAATTGTCCACAGAAAGAGGTGGCCTTGGATGGCTGAGGCCTGTGCCTCCAACACAAACACAAGCTGATACAGCGGGGAATATCCAAATTTGCGCTTCAAAGCAGCCAGAAGAAGAGCGAACACTCCAACGCTGCATAAATCATAATATTCGTCACGGTCGACTTCAGTTTGTCTGCAGTCATAGTCGCCGTGTGCGGGCAATAAGCCGCAACCGGTAGATGAAATAGCAGCGCAAGGTACGATGAATACAGCATCGGCACCATAAACTCTACGTACTCGGCAAGCAGCACGTATTCGGAATGGAACAGAGCTTGAAGGCCGTCTAGAATGGCTTCCTCACTAACGTGAATCGATGAGACCTTGGTAAGGTCGGTAACGGATACATCTCGCAACGTTGGGACACTCCTCAGCGGTTCAGTTTTGCACGGTACGACCGAGAGTGCTGGAGCTACTCCACTTCGTTGTACCATTAAGACGGCTGCCTTATTGCGAGAACTAGATGCTCCATATAGTGACCGAGTCATGGCCGAATCGATCGAGCATCTTGCAGTGTCGTTTGCGAAGCTCCCAGTCCTGGCCAACTCGTTCATGAAGGTCCTGCTTTCATCCGACAGTGGGAGCGGAAAGGGGGCAAGTAAGCGGATTTGCCGACTGCACGGATGCGAAGAATCAAGTTGCTGGAATAATTTCCGCAATTGCGAGGGCAAATCTCGGAGGTAATGTTTAAGCTGGTCAATGTCGGGGGCGGCGGAATGACTTCGCTTCTTCCGATCGAAAATGGCACGTAGAGAAAGCATGACGTGGATTCCGTCCATCGCCATAATGATTAACGTTGTGGTCAGAGACTTTGATGTCTGCATGCGTATTGCGACGTAGTAAATGTTAAACAGGTCCCCCGAAAAGACCAACATCGGGCCGACGTATTCGTAGAAGCTCCCAGCCACATGAACAATGCTCTGCTTGGTGAGGAACTCGATCAATGGCATCACCAGCACGAAGACGGTGTGCTCCACACCGGTAAGACAATTGAAAACGGCACTGAACCCCGGATACAGCACCGCCACAGTGCCTTAGCTGGCCATGATCAGCAACTCGGATTTAGGGTCAGCAATCCTGGACCGATGACGAGGATCATGTAGACGATGAAAAACGTCACGTAGAGGTTTAGCATCAGGACGTAGCCAAAGGGAATCGGAAACTTCCACAGTGTAGCCGATCAGCGGCGGTATCCGAACTTGCTCTAGCTCGACAGCAACTAGAGGAGTGTGCACAAACAGTTGCAAGAGATGGGGAGGACGAACGAGCTGCAGTTGACTTTTGACTACTACTTTGCTAAGCAAAGGTACAAGGAAGAGTGGGCTGAGTTTCAACGAGGAACGGGTTTTGAACAGAGTGTTACCTCAGCGGAACAAAGTTCGTCTTTTTTTCTTTCGCCCCCCACGCTATGAGCTACGTAGAACACCGCTACAATCCATCAAATGTGACGATGGGAGCGTATCAAGTGACCCCGCAGAGATTGCCCAAGGTTACCAAACGCATTGGGGGGAAACTTCTGGGGATATCCGCTTCAACCAAGGCAGCTCTAAGCCGAACGAAGCTGCTCAACGACGTCTTCTTGACTCTGTTGAGCGCAAACTGAGCTCCGAGGCTAAGTGTAGCCTTGAAAGGGATCTTACTGACAGCGAGTTCGTCATGCGCTCGCATTCTGCACCTGGGCCAGATGGCTCCACTTCGGCCTTTTTTCAAGTCGAAATTTTGCTGATAGTGTTTCGGTATTAACTGGAGAAAGGTGAACTGTTACCGCATCAGCGATATTCATCCGTTGCATTGTTATTCAAGAAAGGCGATCGGTCTGACCCTGGTAAGTTTCGCCCTATAACTTTGATTCCAGTGGAAGTTAAAGTTCTGTCGCGAGTGCTTACGTATCGACTGAAACCCTTCATGTTTTCACTGGTCCACCCCGACCAAAAAGGTTTCATTCCCGGGAGATCTATCCTCCACCAAGTTGTGATGGTACGTGATCTTCAGCACCTGCTTTCGACACGGAATGGGAAAGGCATGGTAGCATTTCTTGATTTTGCCAAAGCGTATGATCGAGTAAATCGTGACTTTCTATTCAAGGTGATGGAATGTCAAAACTTTGGAGTGCATATTATTTCGTGGATAAAATTGCTGCATACGGGTTCATTGTGTTCGCTGATGATAAATGGATGGGCGCAAGATTCTCTCGAGCCGACCAGAGGTGTCAAACAAGGTGACCCACTATCACCCTTCCTATTCGCTTTGCCATTGGAGCCTCTGGGTAATTTACTTCGTTCAAGGGTTGACCTGGGAATCCAAGCCGACAGTGCACCCTCGGTTTCGGTTGCTTTCTTTGCTGACGATACGGCATTGTTTTCTCAAGATGTATCGCAACTCGAAGAGCAGCTTGAATTGGTGGATTGTTATTGCGCTGGATCTGGAGCCAAGCTCAATCATGCAAAAAAGTGTCATCATGAGCCTTAACAATCATCGCACGGCGCCTACATCGACGCCCCTTCGTTCCTTGAAAAAGGGCGAGTCGGTGAAGTATCTGTGCATTCTCTTTGGGAACTATGACACTTTAACTCAAGTGGCAAACCAGCTCGACCACAAACTCATGCTTTTGCTGCGACTACGGAAGGGGCGCGCACGGACGTTGATGGGAAGACGCTTGATCGTGCAGTCCATGCTATTGTCAACACTGTGGTACTTCACTATGACGGTTGATATCCCTGTGCGGTTCATCAGACGGTGGCAGAGCATGGTTACTCGGTATATTCTATACAACAGGGTTAGTACTGGACGAGGGGGTATCAATAGCGTTAGCCTGCATTTGCTACTCAACCAAAGGATGATGATGGGATGGGCGTACCAGTAATCGTGACGACCATAAGAAGACAGCGTTTTCTGTTTCTTCAGAAATTCGTTCAAGCGCTAGACACTCAAGCGGATGAACACTCAATGATCTGGTATCGACCTATTGCTGAACTACTGAGACTTCGGTATGGATCTTTCTCACGACCATGGTCTGGAGACTTCTTGTTTCAAGAACCCCCTAAACCACCTAAATGGAAGCCAACAATGCTCCCGCTATGGTGGAGAAAATTGTTACAAGCCTGGCGGCGGCTGAAGTGGCCGAAACGCTACCAACTCCGGTACACCAGATCTAAGAAGCTTCAATTTGCATTATTTACTCCGGTATGGTGGAATATATCGTCAGCCTTTCAAGTTTGGCATCCTCAAGACGACGCTCGTGAGCCACTTGGATCAGGAACAATCAAGTTTCGATGTCTTTGCTGCGAGCTCGCAAGGCGTAAGAAGTGGTGTCTGTTTGATTTTCTAAACGAATCTCACCGTTGGCCCACTGCGCACGGGTTCTTCGAGAATATGGGTTCTTGTTGCAACCTCTACTTGGGACGCAAGTGGACCTGAAAGACATCTTGACGTTATATCATCAGCTGGCTCAAGTTTTTCATCGTTTGCTGCCTGATCCCGACGCTGGCGGGATGAATGTGATTGTTCGTGGAGTTGCCCCTCCGTCGTATGGGGTCGTCACAGCCAGTGGCACACGTTTTTTTCGAGTCTACGACTACAAGATTGGAACACGCTGATAGTGGCTACCAAGGAAACGCCGGTTCACCCTTTGGTGAGGCTGGGGTGCTCGTTCATTCAACTCTCACGGAGATGATATCGCTACGGCGATGTCTGATTCCAGTTATTCATGATGTGATGCTGAGACTATTTCTCGGGGACCTTATCGTGGGTTCTCGGTTATATTTCCTGAGGTCGATAAACCCCACCATACAACAATGTGTTCGAGCAGCGTGCGTAGCGATTGAAACAGTCGAGCATTGCTTTTTTGCGTGTCCCGGACTGGCGGAGACATGGCGAACACTTTGGGCTCCATGGCGTCAGGCATTCAAGGTTGAACTGGAGCGGCGACTACTGCTGTTCCCGAAATCCTCTGACCTACAGGATGACTGGCAAAGTCCTGCTACTGCTGTCGAGGGTACATACCGCCATTGTGTTCCATGCTACGTGGCGGCTTCGTAACGATATCTACTTCCAAGAAACGGAAGTCTGCTCGCTTACTTTGGAAGACACTGTCAATTCATTTATCGACACTCTGAAGAGTTGAACATCAATGCAGAGCTAGTTGCCTCGATAATTCAACGTTTGGGTTTTGCCAAACCCACCATGGAGCTTCTATCACCTCCTGCGCGTAGGATCTGGATTCCACGGATTTAATTTTTAGATTTTGTATTTTGTAGCTACCAGGCAGAACGGTTATCCACAACTAGTTAATCAACGTATTTCCATAGCCGCCCCCAAGTTTTTGTGTTTCAATTGGTTCCGAAGTTATTCGGGTTACGCTATCGGGATGAGCTCAGATTTACACACTGGGATACCTAGCGTTGTTACATTTAGAGCGGATCCACTACAGGTTTCGCCTTGTAAAAGTCGTGGTAGCCGAGAACCACTCCTGTGCCCCTCGTGTCGAAATGTTTTGTCACCATATCCGAGATGTCGCGGGGCGTGACACCATCCTCCCACCACTTCTTGAACTGCAGCGTCTGTAATTCTTCGATGACTCGATTGTTGCCACCAGAATTTTTAATTTTCGCAGCCGAAAGCATCTTTGCAAGCTCAAAATCTCTGAAACGATCGGCCAAGAACGAAATGGCCGCAAACTCATCCGACTTCTTTGCCTTGGACAGAGTCGTCACGTAAGAGACCCAGGAGCCAAGACCTGGATCTTCCAAAAAGTTCTTCCCCGCTTCGTCCAGTTTGAAAAGTTGGAAGGCCTTGTCGACAGTTTTTCCTTGGCTCAGCCACAGTTCACTCCGCAGCTGAGAGACGATGGCTGAGTTGCTCAAGTGCGTTGCCTTCAACATCATCTTTTCCAGGCTCTCATCGCTGTAGTGCGCCTTCATTACGGACAGCATGACCTTATTCGGATTCTCCCGGCCCTGGCGACTGATGTCGTAGGCCCAAGTAGCAAACTGCGGGTTCTCAAAAAGCTTGTCGCCTTCCTTGTCGAGGCGGAAAAGTGTGAACACGTCAGCTGCATCCTTGCCGTCATTCGCCCATGCTTTGAGCAGCGGGTGCTCCAATCTGGCGGCAACAGAACTCGCACTGCCGCTTGTCTTCGCCACCGTGAACATGGGCCCGATCTTTTCGTCGCTGTAGTGGATCTTTAGCACCGCCAACATGGCCTCGTTAGCGTTCTTCTCGTCCAGCTTCGTCACGTACGACTCCCAAGTGCCAAGCACCGGGTTCTTGAACAGTTTATCGCCCTCTTTGTCGAGTTGCAAGAGCTTGAAAATGTAGTCCGCGCTTCTCTTTTTACGCGACCACCTCTCAAGTTGGGCTTCCTGTAATTTCCCGGCGATCGACCGTGTAGTGTAGTCTTGCCTCGCGACGAGAAGTGTGCGAGCTAGACCTGCAGCGGTGTGGTGAGTTTCCAACTTTGCAAGAAGCAACTCGTATGGGTTCACATCGAGCTTTTCGACGTAAGACACCCACGTTTTCACGACTGGATTCTTCAAGAGATCGTTTGCCTTCTCGTCCAGCTTTAGCAGATTGAACGCATCGTCTGCAGTTTTCCCCTCGCCAATCCATTTCTTGAACTGCACGTCTTCTAGTCTTGCAGCGATCGCCTTCGTACTGCTGGACCCCATGGCGCTCTGAAGCACCTTGGCGAGTTTTTCATCACCCCATTGGCCTCTCAACGTGACCACCATCGCCGCATCTGCTGCCTCCGGGGTCTTCTTGTAGGATTTCTGGATGGATTTCATCCACGTCTGGAACTTCGGGCTCCCGAAAAGGTCAGGCGCTTCCTTCTGCAGCTTCAGATTTATGAAGAGTTTGTCGGCCGCTTCTTGTTTGTTCGGGCTCAGCATCTTCGCAAGTTTCGTAATCCCCTCGAAACCTTTCTCTTCCGAGTTGACGCCGTCTTCGTAAGCCCGCAGGTGCCGATGAGTTTGGGTTACGGCTTGATCAAGACTGGGGGCGCTTGCGACGAAGGTCTTCGAGTTCGTCGTGGGCAATGCGTCACTGATGGATACTGCTAGAGCGAGAGCCACTAAGAGTATCGCACAGTAACGCCGTTGCGCTGGAATCGCCTTGAAAGCCATGTTGGAAGTCGGAGGCTCAGAGCAAATTCCACTAATGACGCGTTCAGGAGAGCTGACCTGTCCAGGTGCCATACGACCCGCCATGAAGACCACAACTTGAAAAATAAATCCGCGTTGTTATCCCGTCATCCGACTTCGCGTTATGCCTTGATAGTCTCCGAGCTTTGAAGGGATCCGCAGCTGGGATGTGAAGAACTGAATAACATGTATTGTGCTTTGCAAACGTTTTGTCGTTTTGACTTGGAGCTCTCCTCGATTTATAATAACTCGAGGTCGATTTAATAAAACGAGGTCAAAGAAAGAGACAGATCGATCTATTTAGAGCGTGTTCGCTACGCAGCTGGAGATGGATATCTGCAGGGAGTTGGTGCATCTCCATCTCCAGCTTGTTCGCTACAACAGAGCGCATCTAGGTAAAATTAGCCAATCACAGTGCGACTCGCTCTCCTTCTCCTTACTTTGCTGTTCTTCGTCGCTGGGAACACTGTGCCCGAGACACTGGACGCGTGGCAAGATGGACCAAGCTGCCGATGACGCTCCGAGAGTTGCGCCTCCGTTCCCGTCAACCAGTGGCGACCTCGTGCTGGCTGCTGCCAGTTTGGACATACCTGCCTCTTGGTGTTGCTCTTGCCCAGACTGTGTATGCGACACCGGCCACTACTCAAACGGAGCTGGACGCCCGCACTTCCTCGCTGGTGCTGGCGCTGCCGCATTCAGAGACACCCAGCCAGCTTTTTGCGCTCGGAGTTGTAGCTGCGTCAGCCCGCAACCAAGACTCACATCGCCGCGTTGGGAATCAGAAGAAGAAGGCCAATACTGGTGAAACGTCTATCGCTACGAAGCAACCCTCCTTTGCGTGGGCGACTGCAGCAGCTGATGCCCTGCTGCGGGCTCGTTTTGACACGGCTGCGACTTTCTTCTCAAAGCTATGCTGCCGTACTTTGGCAGCAGCAAACAGAACACCTTGATCTCGTAGTAAACCAGCAATACGTAGGAAAGTTGGCTTGGTGCAGCGAAGATTGTCTTCAAACCAACTTGCATACGCGGCTGACTGTAGCATGGGCTCAAAGTGCACGGTACGAATCTGTTCCTTAGGGCCTTGCGGCACATCGTCGGATTATCCTGATAGGAGGACTGCAACCTGTGCGACAGCTGAGCATGTAGCAACCAGTACAACTGTGTGTGCGGCTGAACTGCCTTAATCTCCAGCTACGTTGTGAACTAAACTATTTTGACCAATCAAAAGACAAGAAATAGAGTTGATGAGAGGTCATCTCCATCTCCAGCTACCTAGCGAACACGCTCTTAAGCCGCCCAACAACTCGAGCTACGACAAGCCAAATCAGGGCTCGAGATCGATCTCCTGGCAGATTTGAGCAGAACGAGGTCGATCTACGGCAAATCGATCCTTTTTGTTTCAAAAGCGCAATTCGAGCCGATCTATAATAAATCGAGATACCCCCTCTAATTTGTGCCCTGATTTGTGGACCGGCCTTCCTCGATCTAGGCCATAAAACGGGGCGACATTTTATCTGCAAAGCACAATACCAGCATACTAAGTACAGTAACGCAAACTCGAATGTATGGGCGCTATCTTTGACCGAAATTCACAGGTCGAAGACCTGTGCTTGGCCCCGGCAAAAAACTTGTAACTTTCCAAAACTGGGTACCAAACCGGGTCTCTCTATCTTAATTGTAATGTTTAAGCTAATATCTGCCGGAATCGGGTACCCGTCGATAAATGCTAAGATTTATGCACATTATTTACCAAAGGTTGATACTAATCGTTCATTCTTTACCAAAACCTGCGTTCAAACACTTACGGACGCTCCAGTACACTATGAGAGCGTCATGGCCTCGCTGAAGGCGTATCAATTTGCGCCATAATCGACCAAGCTTAGTTGAAGATGACCAATATGACTTGTACTGCATTTTTTACATGTCAATTTGCTCAATACTCAATCACTTAGCCGAAGATGCCCAACCTCGTGTCTCTCGCCAAACCAACCGAGCATCGTTCGTTTGAATTAGGCTTTCTTTACCTGCGTTGAAGCGCCCACTTCCAAGGACTTGGCACATTAACGTATTTCTCATTCCGCAATTTACCCTCAAGTTAAAAGGTCAAGATCAGCGCACCATGCATCTCTCCTTCGTTCCGCTAGCTCTGATCGTTAGCACACAACATAGTACTAAATGAGCACAGTATACCTTACCTGCAAACTGAATGAAATAGCTTTCTCGTTGCTGGCGTCAACGCAGCCATTGGACGCTGACGAGGGTGTTATTCCCGGGTAGATGCTGCGGCTGCGAAGCAGGCGCAGTAGATGCCCACGTTAGAATCAACTAGAGAGTTCGACTGGTAGTGCTCTTTTAAAATCCTAAAAAGGATTAAAAACAGCACAACTTTGGGATTTACTCAATTGTTATCCGTTATCATCGTCCATGGAACTATTCGCCGACCTGTGTACCCTCCCGGAGCAACGCTCCGGGTTGCCTATAACGCAAAGTCTGTTTACCGGGTCTTGTAACCTGTGAATCGTTCTGAGACGTACAGCGCTAGTGTTCACAGGAACGCCGACCGTACCCTGTACTGCCGTGTGTAAACTGTATAGCTGTGACTTTACACGAGCGAGCATTGGTTCGGTCAACCCACGCGAGCTGGTATGGTCCATAACATACAGTACGATGTTGCCTACTGCTTGAGCCCCATGGCATTGTAACCGGTATCGCGCTGGTCGCTCGTCGCTGGGCGTCTTACGTGCAAGATCAGGGTCGGGGCGGCGCAGCCATGGCCATGCTGAACGTATTGAGGAAACGATACGACGACGAAACTCTGGAGGTGTTGCTACTTACGGCGAAGGAACGTAGCTCCAGCACCATCTCCGAGTTGCGCAATGAACTGTGGCTGAGTCAAGGAAAAACGGTCGGCCAAGCTTACTTTCTTCTCCAACTGGACACGTTGGGGGAGCACGTTTTGTTCAGCCCAGATCTTGGTCCATTGGTCTCGTACGCAAATAAGGTGAGGGGCAAGGTCGGCGAAAATCAGGGGTGTTTGAGGTCGTTTCGCTCTTGGTCGGCAAGTTTGGAGGTGATGTAGCGAGTACGTGACAGTGAGTGAAGGAGTACACGAGCGCAGCTGGCTCACACTACGAGGCGAGCAGCGAAGGACGGGGGTTACAGACGGAAAGATCGCCAACAGCGAGTGCGAGGCGCGATCTTGCGCGGAAGGGCACCGAAGCAACGCACGAGCGGCTCACAGCAGCCGAACGAACCGATGGCTGAGGGCGTCCGAGGCTAGCGACGGGCTGTTCGCGGGCGAGGGCTCACTTGGCAATCTGCCAGACAGCGAACACTAGCAACAGCCACAGACAGCAACAGACAGCAACAGACAGCAACAGCAGAACAGTAGAGCAGCAGCAACTGCCGACAGTACAGGACGAGCTACGAACAGACAGGACAAGTCAGACGGATTGACCGGAGGCTTGCTGGTGACGTGGAGCGCACCTGTAGAGTCGTCTAGTGTAGCAGCAGGGGGAGGTTGCAGTGCCGACTTGAAGTGGCCGTGATTGACGAACAAGTGAATAAATAGGGACTCTTAGCGGGGTTCCGACTGCTGAGTGTGGCCAGTTCGTGTCATTGTCTTTCTGCATCCACGGACCTTGCCCGCAGCAGCACTGTAGCGAGCAGGTGTCCCGAGACTCGCTACAGTGATAATACGGAAGCTTTCTGAGGTAATAAACCTAAACATGGGAACATCTCGCGACAACAAGGTCCTCTACGAGTTGCAGAAGCTGCTGTTGAAACAGTGGTTTGCGAAAGGAGTGAAACCAAGTCATATAACCGGCCAGCTGAAAACCAGCTTCGACAAGGGGTTCGGCGTTCTTAACGACTACCAGAGATTCTGCAGAACGAGTTTGGAAAAGGCTGGAAATTGAGGTTGACGCACTTCTGAGGACGTATCGACGCACCCGCAAGCGAAAATAAGAATAAAATGTCGATACCAATCGTTCACCAGTCTGATACTGCACTGAGATCATTGGCAGTGATGATTATTATTGGGTATCAATATCACTTGTGTTCGTAGTTTTCGTTGCTCTCTATCACTTTCAAGTTCTCGACCAATCCCCCCATAGCTCGGTACTTTGCAAAATCAGGATGCACATGGTTGCCCGTGTCGGCCTGCTGCAATGCACCTACAGTTTTCATTTTTCCGGCGATGTATACGGTGTTCATCTATTACGTGCAGTACTTGAGTCAACTATCACAATTTCCTCGAATCGACCTATCTTCCACGTATCTATTGTGCTTTGCAGATAAAATGTCGCCCCGTTTTATGGCTGAGATCGAGGTAGGCCGGTCCACAAATCAGGGCACAAATCAGAGGGGGTAGCATCGATTTACTTAGATCGACCTCGAATTACGCTTTTGAAAACGCAAAAAGGATCGATTTACCGTAGATCGACCTCGTTCTACTCAAATCCACCAGCAGATCGGCCTCGAGCCCTGATTTGGATTGGCGTAGGTCGAGTTATTAGCCGGCCTAAATAGATCGATCTGTCCCTTTCTTCGACCTCGTTTTATTAAATCGATCTTGATTTATTATAACTCGAGGAGAGCTCCAAGTCAAAACGACAAAACGTTTGCAAAGCAGAATACATATGCCATGTAACGGGGTACAATCAAGTGTACCCATTACATGAAGAGTGACGGGTGTCACTCTCCCGAGTACATGGTTCATGGTACCAGTAGCTACGCAAGCCAACCAATCGAGACACCTGGCCGCGAAAACCTAGGGGGCATTCCGGAGGAGCTTCAAATGAAACCAGGCGGCATCATCGGACAACTCGAAGATCTTTTCACCGACTTGGCCGAGCCTGATTCCCTCGTTGGCCAATTGCTGCCACTTCGTGGCAGTCCTCTTCGAGGTCTTAACCCGTCTTGCGCGCTGCTCAAATCCCAACGTTCACGTTCTTCTGGTAGATCATACCGAGATGTTTGGTTCAAACCTTGAGGTTTGGTCGCTCAGGGGCTGGTCCCGGCATCATCAAGCTTGAAAGGCAGCGCTGGCACTTTTCTGGCTTCGCAGCCTTTTTTTAGTTACTTTTGGGCGAAGACGTTGTGAGTTCGCAGGAGTCTTGCTGTTTGGGCGCCGTTCTGGAGGGAACGAGCCCGGTCCTGGGGACGCTACAAAGGTGAAATGATCTGTTTCGGCGATTTTATCCAGAATGCAAAACCTGTGGCAGAAATGTTTCAGCTTGTTCGTGTTCTGCTGCGCGTTCTGTCATCCAAATAGGTCCAACGACTGCTGAGCCAACAGCAAGGGCGTCTTCACGCTGGTCACGACCAATATGCCAAGGCAAACGCCTGCAGAGCTCATAGCGATGAATGCGCCAGTGAGCGGTGTGGTTTGTGGTAGTTAAAAAAAATAACTGTGACTACTAGCACATTAGAGTCTGCTGGTAATCGCTGTTGTGCTTTGCTATTACTTTTTATGAATCGCGTGTGCGTGCAGGTCTTACTACATTTTTTCGCGTAGAGAAGCGAGCAAGGCAACAACCCTGTGTTTATGATGGGTAGTTGGTCAGGGATATTTATTTATTCCAAAAATAAAAATCGTGATGTTACCGCTCTTGCCGACACACCTTTAATGGCAGCACAGACGAATGTACACACTTGATAACTATGACTCTGGCTCAGATGGACTTAGCCAAACATGGCTAAATAGATAATAAGAATGAAAGAAGTTCCATTCTAAAGAACACCGCAATAATTTCGGTACCAATGTTGCGCCGAAGCCGTACCGTACAAAGTATACCCATGGAGAACGAAATGTGAATTTAACCAGAAGTGCAATGAGCGGAGCTCAATGGAACAAGTGGATAATTAGTTTTCCGGATTGCAGGAAGAGAGCAACTACTGAGTCGGGGCGAGCAACCAACAACTGCTTGATAAGGTCAGCAAGCACGGATGGCACACCTTGAACAAACCAAATCGGTATTTCCTGTAAGGAAATTAAGTTTTCCTGGAGAAGGACAAAGCGCGTTGTTCAACGATGCCAAGTACAAGACCCGGTCGGTCACGCGAGTAGGATAGGAGCCATTCAAGCTGACGGTTTTCGGGTACCAGGAAACTGGTACGCGTTTTGTCCCCGGGCTGTAGTGTAGTCGCAGCAGTTCGTCTTGGTCATTCAAGAGTCGACGCCGCCGGAGACAAGCACGACCAGCAGCAACCAGACCACGCTGGCGGCGCTCATCAGCTCTTGAAAAACCCACCTCAACCACTCCCTAGGGCTGCCTCGCCTCACGGACCTCGCCAAGGCTCGCCATCATTAACCCAAGAACGAACTGCTTGTCCCCCACAACGTGCTTTGGTATGATGATAAGGAAACCATGAAACGTGCAAGGAATTGGTTTGCTCGTAAACTACGCAGATTTCCGAACCAAACTTACCGCTTTCGCTGGTTTGTGGTCAGATCCTTCCAGCTTTCAAACCACGAGCGGGGGTTCGGAGTTATGTAGCGTACAGGTTTGAAGTTGCTGAGAATTTCTTCGGCGCTCATTGGCTACAAAAGGCTATACAAATATATCGCACACTTTCGTAAAGGGCCGCATTTATTGAAATAGATTCTCGGGCTGTAGAATACCTAAGTAAGTACGTCGTTAAGAATACGAATTGATTTTCGAGCCACAATTAATGAGCAAGTTGCTCGAAGTGAGCTGCGACAAGCCCGCATAATATTAGACTGCGTGTGAGACTAAAGGTTATCTTTAAAACACGACCAACTTTCCGGGCATACAGCGTTGTTAACACTGTAGTCGTACATTACCGCTGCTAAGCAACAATTGGATACTTAACAGGCTAAGCGTATGCAAACAACGCGTCTAGTTTTTTTTACAGGTATATAGAACATTTCATCAATTAAATCCATTTACTTCTTGTGGTCATCAAGTTAAAATCATGTTGAGCATTATTTTTTCTCGCGAGCAGCATTGCAGAGAACTTGGTGACTCCCGTGAATTATAGTTTTCGTGTAAATTGAAGCTGGAAATTCTTGTTGCACGTGTCAAGCGCCAGGGGAGGCAGCATCGTAAACAGCTGTTGCTAGTTTTGATCCTTAGCCCGCGCAAAAGAGGACGGCAGTTGCCCCCATGCCGCTTTCATGAAACCAACGCGGACCATCCAACAACACAAAATTTAGCCAGTTCATTTCGCCGTCACTGACAAAATATCTACTGGCACACGCCTTAATTGAGTATTATGCGAGATCTTGTGACTCGGCTTTGAATTCCATAGCCCTACTGTACACAGCAGAACTTACAATGAAAAAATATTTACGAACAAATTTCTTACCAACAAATGAGAACTCATAACGTCCTCCTACCAATTCATTACTTCCTCCTTCCTTAATGCTACTCGAGCCACCACAAAGCAGTATTACATGTAATCGTATCCTAAGGTTTTTGATTCACGGGTACCAATTAAACTAAAATGCCGCAGACAATTAGAAACTATGATGGCGCTTCTGGAAGATGTGTGCAAGAGCAATATGGACAATCGAGTTCAACGTAGCTCTGAACATCAATATGTTATGCTACCTGCCAGCATCTTCAAGAGTGTCTGCACGAATTCCCAGCTTCATCACGCCTGCACCGTTTTGTCGCGGCCCACCCTCGATTGTTTGCTATACGCAGGCGCGCTCTCTTAACAAACGCCGAGGGAGCTGTCCAAGCACCACCCAGCGCTTCGGACATCTCAATCTTAGACATTACGTCTCTCGTAGCTCCGTAGTTAGAACGTTTTTCTTATCGAGAAGTCACTAACCTGTAGCAAGGATAATTTTTACTGTTCAATAGGTTAATGCACTGTATGTTAAGGAAACTTATGCAGATAGCCTATTTATCCCGAGCTTGCAGTAGCCAATTTGTGAACGCGACCTAACGTATCGGCGGAACTTAAGGGAGCTTTAGAGACGGAGCCACTTCGTCTTGAAAGTGCAAACAGAAGCAGGCCATCGGTGTGCGCACAAACTTCGTCGTTGCTCACGCAGACGAACATCAGCCTCTTTTGATCTTTCTTGAGAGACTTCGCATCAAAATCGCCATTTCCACTGGCCACGGCTAGAGCTGTGATACGATCTAGCCTACCTGTAAACTCATATTACCGCCCAGCGCTCGAACGTCCGAACTGAATCCTCCATTCGCTCCTTTGTCCTGAAATCCGGGGCTCCAAGCTGGAATAAGGGGACCGATCGAAGGTTTGAGCCCGTGGCATCGTAATAAACGGGCAAACTTTGCGTGTACAGTCGTGCACCTCTAATCCGGCAGGGCGGACCATATGTAAAACCAGCAGTGATGTGTTCTTGGAAGGTTCCATGACTTAGAAATCGTTCAAATCTGAATAGGTTATCCTAAATTATAAGTTTATACAGGTGCCGAATTAGAGGTGCACGACTGTAGATCCCCTCGACTTATCGAGTAAAAAACTTGTCGAATATATGGATTTATATACAGAATTCTGCCCGAATAAGGAACGGGTGTATAACTAATAGCCTCACATATTTAATATTATTTTCCAGTCGATGTGGCGATAGGGGATGTGCAAGGTACTGCAAGGTACTGAGGTGAAAAATCCAGTGCCAATCATCAGCTCTCCACCCTCGTTTGAAAAATGGCGCGCATTTAGCGATCTTACTAGACTTCAAACTACATGTATCGTAGTGGTAGACTCGCACTTTTTCTTTTGCACCTCGCCCCACAAGCCCACCTCCTCCCCCACTCCACCCATGAAGTCCACACCGTCCAAGCGTCTCCGCCTCACTTGGTCTGAGAAAGTGGGCATCCTCGACAAGGTGAAGGCTAGATAATCCCTACGAGGTCGACCAGTTGACAGCGCTGTTGTGGTGCGAGGATGCCTGGTCAAAGGTTAGTGCTCGACCATACGCCACTGTTGGAATCATTCCGGACTCGTAGGTAAAGCTGCTCTTCAGTTCATTTTGAAATAACTAAATCAGTACATTGGAAAAGTATACTCAACTTAACATCAATTTATATATTCTGCGTCTTTATATATATCAGGCGTTCCTTACTCGGGCAGATTACTGTACTCTCTGACGTCGTGTCTCCCTCCCTGTGTATACTTTTTTACCGCAAAAGAAAGTTTGAGGGCAATTGCCCATATTATCATGAGCCGGAGACTGGCTCAAGCTAACAGCAAGCTTGCTTGCTACTAGTTTATCTATGGGCGTTCCCGCACTGACCGAAGCGGTTTCTCAATCGCGATAATTGTTATTGTGGCCTTGCCGAAGAGGACGATAACGGTGAAGTGATTCTAACCGCGATCCATTCTGTAAAAGCCGCACTGCCTGCGAATGAGCAGCCGTGGTTCAAACCAGCGCGCTGGTTCGCAAAAACCGGATGCTTGGTTTGGAGTTTCAAAATGAAACGCATTCAAACCATGAAACCGATCCAAACCTGGTTTGCTGGTAATTTTGGTTTGGTTTGAACTGGCCGAGGTTTGGTTTGGTTTGGTTTGTTCTGGGTGTGACGGATGCACTCCTGACCGAGGCAACTCATTCTGGGTTAAGCTCACGGAGCTCAAACGACAAGCCAGGAAAAGCTAGCTCCGCAGGGCTCAGTCTGACACTGCTGTGGCCGGCACGAAGCACGCTCAAGTCGGCACTAGGCCGTAGAAAAATTCTACCCTCCCACCATCCCTTAGGGGCTGCCATTCGGCACATTGCCCTCTAACCAAGGTGTCTCATGCCTTTGGCCCATTAACACAAGGAAACACTTGATACCCCCCCAATACCTGGATGCATTGAGGAAAAGGCATAGAGCCGACCCTAATACACTCATACTTTCACCACTATTTTCACTCCTCGCTGATAACGTGATATTTCAGAGCCCATCGACATGAACTATTAGGTACTCGGCCTCTTAATATCCTCCTCGCTTCGTGCACCAAGCTCGGAATGCGCTTTCCATAGGCAACTACATCAACAAGAACGAAAACAGGAAGAACTACCAAGAACGCAGTGTAAAGCTTAGTCAAGAAATAAAAACTAGGTTCTATTGGTTTAAACCAAGGTAAAACCAAAAACCTAATTCGCTTTGAAAAAATCGACAGTTTTCACCAGCCCTGCATTATATATTCTTGTCGTTTCACGGCAAAGATAGCACTGCGGCAAGAACTCTTTCCGTCCTTCAAACAAACAAACAAACAAACAAGCAAACAAACAGAAAACGGGGATTCGCCATGACGGAGACGAAAGCTACCGAGGCGGACGCGAAGCACCAAGGGCGGCCTCGGTTCTTCACGCCGCGCGAGGTGGCAACGCACAATTTGACCAAGGTGAGGATAGAAAAGATGGCTCACCAGCTTTCGCGAGACTTGAAAGGCTCACCGTCTTTTGCTTGATCCAGGACTGCTGGGTCTCCATCAACCACCGCGTGCTCGACCTGTCACCTCTGATCGAGGAGAATCCAGGTATGACATATATTGCATCTTCTACAAAATTTACACAAACTTTCGCTCTGCTATTGTAGGTGCCCTGGTCCAGCCGCTTGTACTCCACGCTGGCGAGGACATCTCCCACTGGTTCGACCCAGACACTGAGGATGTAAGTAAACTAAACTAGTAGACATCGCAGTGCTGCTTCTAACCAATTCGTCTACTATAGGTAAAATACCATATCGACCCGGAGCGGAACCTGTCCGTGCCGTTCACCCCTTACGGTTGCTTCCTGCACGTGCCCCCTCCGGACCCCACAGCTAAATGGAGGACGGCTGATCTGTTGCCGTGGTGGCGTGACCCTCAATACGTCGTCGGACGCCTCACCAAGAAGGCTCGCTGGCTCGAGGTCGTCAACGTACTCACCCAGCAGCGCCACTCGCTGGAAGTTTGCTGCGAGGAGACGCTGGCCGAGATCCAGACGCGCTATCTGCGGCTCAACGCGCACGCCGGCAGCTACACGTGGAAGCACCTGGAGGACGACGAGTTCGTGCCGCTGAACATGCAGCGCACGCTGGACGAGAACGGCATCCCGGACGAGTCGCCGATCTTCGAGCGCTTCGACATGGACGAGCAGCAGTTCAAGCCCACGCTGCACATTTACTTCGACGACGATCTAACCATCATGTAAGGGGGTCGTAGTCGGCAATAACGACCCACAAGGAATACACATACACGATGCACGCCCTGCACCAGTATTCCCCGTTCAGTCGCACCAAGAGTCGCTATCTTAGCGCGCGGCTCTTAGTACGCAGTGTAGGCAATGATCACCCGGGCGGTGCCTGCGATTGCTGGCTCTGGAGACCCTGCCGCCTTCGATTCGACGCCAGGTCAAGGCCGCGTGCGGCCACCCGAAGACGTTCTACGTCAGGCTCGCGCCACGAGGTGTGGAGATCGCACTGGTTGCTGTTTGCTTGAGATCCTGTTGTGACCCTTGTGGTTTGTATCTTCATACTCCTTGGATTTCCAGCATCACTGGAGTTCTGGGCCAGATCGGTTCGTCCTTGAGATGAATTTCGCGTAATAAGCCGCAGGTTGATAGACTTTTGTTTCTTTTGCTGCAGCAAATGTAGCTTCGTACGCTTTTGAGATTCTGCAAGAGCTCAAGGATGAGACTATTGAGTCACAGGATCGGATGGCGAAGCTGCACCAGCGAGTGGACGTCCTGGCAGATGTCGTCGACAGTCAGATTCGTCACAACGCTGGACGAAAGTCTGAAGCGGACCTGCTGCACCTGCTTCCATCCCAGGAAGAGAGCGACCGGGTGATGTGCATAGAGACCATCAGCTCGTCGGCCTTGGAGCGTCCTGCGGCTTTTGTCCAAGCTTACGAACGGTGCGAAGGTGTCCCGCCACTCGAGCTGGTACGTCTTAAACGCCTGCACATTGCCTAACCGTTTAGTTGGTTAATACTTTCTCCACTAGCTGGACAACTTCTACGACTCGGAGCAGCGCAATGGGTCAGGGAACCAGGTCGACAGCCACGTTACTGGTCCAGATTTCCGTACAGCATCGATCTCGCGGAAGAAGTACAGCAATCCGGGCTTCTTCATGGAGGAATGGCTCAAGAATGAGGAAGGGAGGCAGCAACGAGCGCTGGAGATCAAGGAGGATCGTCGTCGTGAACGGCGTGACGCTCAAAGCCGTCGCGACCGGGACCAGCAGCAGAGCACGAGCACCGAGGACGCGAAAACTTCCTCGAGCAGCACCGACGACGCCGAGCAGAAGCTCAAGTTTCTCAAGATTCGATCTTGGCGTGAGATTTACGGCACTGGCGAGGGCAAGGAGCTGATGAAGCAGCAACAAACTCATCAGCAACACACGGGTCGCAGCCCAAGTCTGCGTGATCTACGCAGAAGAGCGCATCAGAGCCTCGCCTCGATCGCGCAGAGCCCGACGCGTGCTGAGGAGCGGCCAGTGAGTCCTCCACCACCGTCACTTTCTCCCACTAGCAGCGAGCCGACCCACACCCGCCACCAATCGCTCACGACCGAGCAGTTCACCATGCTCGCGCCTCCTGATCCGCCATCAATCCCGACGAGCTGCTTAGGCGGCGCCTTCATGCAGGAAATGGACGACGACGAGATCGCGATGGAAATGCAGCTGGAAGACGAGTTCACGAACGGGATCCCACCGCCTCCGCCTCCACTGTCGAGTCCCGAGGAGTTCACCGACCACGGACTTTCGTACTACTACGACCCCAATGCGACGCACAACCTGACACCACCACCTCCCCCTCCCCCTCCACCACCTCCGCCGCCCCCTGAGCTTGACGAGCAGAGCAAATCAGACGCGTACTACGACGCATACGAAGACGAAGAAGTAGAACAAGAGGACGGCGTTCTACCTCCCCCACCGCCCCCTCCATTGGAAGAGTTCGAGGCGTTCGAGCAGCCCCCACCTCCTCCCTCTGGATCACCCCCAGCCTCCGAAGCCCCTCGTCCTTCGACTCTACTGGAGGAAATTCAACTCGGTACTGCTCTACGCAGCTCCACGGACCGCCACACTCAACGCGAAGCCCCCGCGCGGCCTCTGAGTCCGCAGGCGGCTCTGCTACAGCAGATCCTACAGAAACAGAGTCGCCACCTGCGCCCAGTCGAGCCGCGCGCGCGCCCGCCCCTACAAACCCGCCCCTCGTCCAGCGCGCCCTTCGCCGATGCCATCGCGCGCATCCTCGAGCGCCGCGCAGTGATCGCCTACGAGTCCGACAGCGAGTCCCACAAGTCCAACGACGACGACGACGATGACTGGTAGCTTACGTTAATTAGCGTCAACTTCAACGTGTACCTTCGCGCAACACCCTCTCCTCCACCAATCAGAATTCATCATTAATTTACGTACACCACACCATATCCCGCCTTCCCGTCTCCTCCCGCGATCCTTCCTCCTCTCCATCAAGGCTCGCTCAATACCCTCCCTGCCTTATCCTGTCTTCGAGATGCAGCACCCCCCGCTGCCCCCCGCGCCGGCGCCCGCCGCCGACAAGCCGCGCGACGGCATCCCGTACCTGGGCTCGCGCATCTCGCTCGTGTCCAAGACGGACATCCGCTACGAGGGCTTCCTCTTCAACATCGACACGCGCCAGAGCACCGTGGCGCTGCAGAGCGTGCGCTCCTTCGGCACCGAGGGCCGCCGCCCCGAGCACGAGCACGTGCCGCCCTCGCCCCACGTGCTGCAGTACGCCACGTTCAAGGCGGCCGAGATCAAGGACCTGCACGTGTGCGAGGCCGCGCCCATGCCGCCCCAAGCCCCTACGCCGCAGCCCCCTCAGGCCCCTCCCCAGCCCCCCACGCAGCCGCCGCTGCCCTCGGGCCCGCCCCCTCCCCCCACGCCCCCGGCCGCTGCGCCCGCGGCCCCCAAGCCGACGCTGCTGACGCCTGGATCCGTGTCCAGCGCCCAGAGGCAGCAGGAACAGGTTAAGGAGCAAGTACAGGATAAGGAACAGGTTACGCGACGACAGGGACAGGGTAACGCCGCCGCTGGACGGACCATCCCCGGCATGGGCGGCCACCTGCTCAAGCGCAAGGAGCGCCGCGTGCCCGGCGGCGCGGACGCGGCCGGCTCGCGCCCGGACGACGCGACCACGGAGTTCAACTTCGCCGAGGGGCTCAACGACTTCAACAAGCAGCAGGAGTTCTCCAAGCTCGAGGAGAGCGCCAAGCAGGAGCCCAAGGGCAGCTACCAGAAGTCGTCCTTCTTCGACACCATCTCATGCGACGCGCTGGACCGCCTCGAGGGGCAGCGGTCCCGCATGAGCGGCGCCGAGGAGCGCAAGCTCAACACGGAGACTTTCGGCGCCGTGGGGCTCAACAACCGCCGGAACTTCCGGGGCCGCGGACGCGGACGACGCGGAGGATACCGGAATGGCAACTGGAACGGAGGCCGCGGCGGCAACGGAGGCGGCCGTGGCGGACGCAACAACAGTAACAACAACGGCTTCCCCAGACCGCAGCAGGCAGGACCCTAGTCGGAGACTGAGACTGGCTAGGTAGATTTTCCCCCTCCTCGGCCGAGTCGACATGAACACCAAGAACTGGATACGACGATTGCGACCGACTAAATGGACCATTGAGAGAAGGATGACTCATTTTGATGCCTGTTGGTTAAGTGGTGCTGCATGTGTGTACTTGACAGGCAAACTCAACAATTGGGCAGGTGGACAACACGTACGTCTCTCTGATTCAAATGAAAGTTAAAGGTGCTAACGCTCAACTCTTTTGTCTTGATAAATGTAGAACGCAAATGAGAAGCTGCAGCCTAGGACAAGTGACTCGCCCGTCGCCTGACAGCTTCTTGTTGAGCCGCTATTTCATCAGATGGACTCAGGCGCAGTCGACGATTTCCGTCAGCGCCTCGTAGAACTCGTGCGCGTTCATCTCCGAGTCGCCCTAAGCAGCAAGGACAACACCAGTCAGTATCAGATCCGATCAGGAAGAGAAGAGCACTAAGCGGCCCGTACCCAAGGCTCCAGATTCTGGTGCGCACAGGCGACGAGCTGTTCCAGGTGCAGCTCGGCCTTCTCGTCCAGGTTGAACACGCGCACGCCGGCCAGGTCGTGGCGCGCGATGTCCACCTGCTGGGTGAACCAGAGCTCCACCGCGTGTGCCGTCGCCGTCGGGGCCGAGTTGGAGACCAGCTCGAACGGAGGCGGCCCGGCGAACAGCGAGTAGCGGAACTTGATGTAGCAGTGGTGCTGGATCTCCGTCGCGATCTCCGTGAAGTTGGTGCTCTCCATCTACAAACCCAAGGAACGCTGTAAGACAATAGCTCCCTCACGCAGCACAGCAGGGCTATCCGTAGCTTACCGTCATCAGTACGTCTTCGATGCAGGACTCGAGGTTGTCGTAGTGGAACTTGGTGATGTCGAGCAAGTAGTGCTTGGCGATGGGGTCCGTGGCGGGGTCGATGATGCTCAGGGCCTTCATCTCGAGCTTGTGCACGTAGTCCTTCCACTCGTTCAAGCTCACGGAGTTGTCTCCATCCTCGTCCAGCACGCTGAACGGGGGCAGCGAACGCGACCGCGGGTGGATGTTGTCGTCGTCTTCGGCTTGGGCGAGCGCGCGCCACGGGAAGCCCTGGGCCTGCTCGCTCTCGGTGTCGCGACGTCCGAACTGCCCCGCCAACTGACTCAGCGCCAAGGGCGCGGCTCGCACGCCGTGCGCAGCTCCGATGTCGCCCCACCACGGGACCGACTGCACCGCCGTCACGGACAGCAGCGACCCCAAGACAGCCAACTTGACTCCGCCCATGTCGTCGTTATCTCGCGAGAACCAAGATGAGGACGATCTCGGCGTTGGCTGTGTGGTTAGATAGCTGGGAGCATATCCTCCCTCCCTCCGTCCCCAGCAGACCGACTCTAGACGGTCGCCAAGTCTCCGCCGCTCGTTCACAGATATGAGCGGCTACGGGCCTTCGTATGCCTCTTCACTCTGGATCGCACGCTATGAACGGCAGCCATGCAGGCACCGAGGTGGCCAATGGAGTTGACCGAGGACGCGAGGTGGCCGATTGAGTTCATTCACGTAGGATAAGTAAGTAACAGGTACAGTAGCTCCACAGATACATGTAGCTCCACTTGACACGCAGCAGTTCATGACTCAACAGCGCCGAGCAAACAGCTGAGGCGGTGAAAAGCTGCAAGTTGATGGAGATCTTGGGATTGGCGTGAAGCCATGCTCACGTTGAAGCGCGCCGCGCAGAGGCGGGGCGAACTGCAGCAAAGCGTGAGCACGGATCCACAGTCGGCACGGGACAGCGAGCGCCGAATGTTTCTCCCCTCGCGACGACCATGCCGGTGTCGCCGCGAGACTAAAACCCAACATTGAACACTGCGTCCTGATCTCTCCAGCTTCAAAACACACACACCCAAGTGGACCCTTCTTTCATTTCCACTTGGGCCAGCTTCCTCGCACCGCACTCAGCAGCAACATCAGCAGCAGCAGCAGCAGCAGAATGGGCGCTGTGCTGTCATTTCCGCCACAAAAGTCGCCGCCCCCGACACGACAACTGCAGGCACGAACATCGCCGGAAGTCCGGCTCATGGTGGCGGCGATCCAGCCGCTAACGACAACAACGCTCAACCGCACGACTGGGACAGTCGAGCCGCTCGTTCGCGTCGACAACAACAACAACAACAATGACGACGAGCTGCAGGAGCTGGCTCAGCTCTTCAGAGCGATCGTAAGCGGCGACCGACGACTCCATCAGTGCAAGATCCAGCTGCAGTAGAGGACACCTTAAGCGGCTATCGACTCGCGGAAGTTTACGACGGGAAATTGTAATGTATTGTTGAGCTATTGGACTATCTGGTTTTGTGGTACGGTCTCAGGACAAATAGGATAGACGACGGCCTGGCTGCTTTAAGTTAGGCGCCGATGGGGATCACGTTGGAGCACTGGCAGGGCGACACCTTGCGGCCGTTGAGCTTCTGCGTGTCTCGGGCGTTGGGGCTCGGCAGGAAGTTGCGGTAGAGCTCGAGCTGCTCCGGGGAGGCCTCGAGCATGTCGCTCACGACGACCCACTCGACCCCCTCCGAGTACGGCGGAGTGGTGAGCGAGCCCGTGTAGCGGAAGATCTTGCCCTCCAGCAGCGCGTTGAGCTCCTCGCCGCCGGTGATCTTGCCCAGCGCCACGTGGTCGTGCTTGTCGACCTTGAGCGTCGAGATCTCGTTCCAGAACTGGGACAGGAAGGTGTTCTCCTTGCCTTCCGTGAAGAAGACGCCCACCACGGCCAGGGAGCCGTCCTCCGCCTGGTGCACCAGGTGCAGCTCCATGGCCTTGGCCCTGCCGTTCACCGTGTGCTCGCTGGGCGCGTGGAAGTGGAACTGCACCGTGTAGTACTTCTTGCCGTTGAGCACGAGGAAGTTCTGGTCGTGGTCGCTCCAGTTGACCTGGAAGTTGTCGCCGCCGTGCACCAACTGGATCTCGGCCGAGGCCGAGCCCAGCTGCAGCGAAGTCTCGGCCGAGCTCAGCGTCTCCAGCTCATCCGTCGGGTTCTCGACGATGTCAATGGGAGACTGCGACAGCATGGACGGCTGCTCCACCTTCTTGCCATTGGCGGCGGCAAAGCCCGCGGCCTTGTGGTGCAGCACCTTGGAGATGGAGACTTTGGAGACCGAGGCACCCATGGTGGCAGTAGAGCAGTAGGAGGAGGAGGAGAAGTGGTGGTTATCGAGCAAAATGCAGAATGGTGACCATGGCTAAATAGAGAATCGGATCGAGCACTGGCTTGACTCTGAAAGCTGAGAGCTGGCATCCCTGGCTCGCGAGCTGGGGCCGTGCCAGCCCCAGGCTTCGGAGCTCATAGCGACATCAAGTGTAGCGCGCGTGAGCTTTACTGCTGCCCCGCCCCAAGCACTGCGCTGGGCCCTTGAAGCTGGAGATCGCCTTGCAGAGACCTGCTGGGGGATGCTTTTTGTCACGAGGTTGCAGGTTGTTGCCGTTGTCCGAACGGCTCACCAGCCCCAGCTTCCTTTTCTTCCCACGCACATGAAGGCGGCCCTGCCTACGTTCAGGTGTCGCAGCGGTGCGATCGGTCGATTGCTGGGCTCTTCAGGCTTCGAGCCATGAAGCGCCGAGGCTTTCGAGGCTCACGCGCTCGCGATGGCCGGCAATAGGCTGGCTAGCTGAAAAATCTTGCTGCGCGAAGCGACTTGGCTGCATGTTCGAGCCGAGCTTGAGTTTGGCTCGGTGTTAAACAGCGAGAGAACCAACAGCGTTCCAAGAGAACCAACAGGCCCGAGGCGAATCTGTTGGTTCTCTGGCTGGTGGCGTTGGCGCAGGCCATAGAACCAACAGCTCTGTTGGTTCTCTTGGACGCTGCTTTACAGTAAGTCGATGAGCAACAACATGCTGCTTCATGGCACTGCGGGGTAATGGAGACGAAGGTGTCGGGGGCACTTCATGCAACCGAGGCTTTCATGGGCGCTGGAATGCCGCCACGATCTATCGGACGCATCTCGGCTGGCTTGGCCATGGCCATGGGCTTGCACTTGCGCCCGTCCGTGCAATCAGCTGCAGGTGCTGCCGGTGCAGGGTACGACGCGCTCCTGCATTCAACACCGGGCTCGGTGACGCGGCTCGAATCTCGAGCCGGAGGTTGCGCATTGTTCGAGTGCCGTGGACTGGGCGTAAGCTTCCTCACACAGCACACACTGATTTCGCTTGCATTATGGTCTTCGGGATTCCTCTCGCCTCCACGCCGACGCCGTGTCCTGTGCGGCATTAATACATGACATGTGGAGCAATGTGGCGATTAGCGAGAAATAATCTGAAGCGCCCGGCGCACTGCTTCAGCCGCGGGCATCGGCGAGCTTCGTCGGAGTTCGGCAACATGACTTCGTGCTCACAGAATCAGGGCAAGGCGGCCAGAGACTCGAGTGCTGCTGCTTAGGCAGGCTGTGACGAGGCCTTCCTAGAGTCATCCGCTTGGGCGATGATGCGCGGCGGCGGTGGTGCTGCGGTGCCGGGAGGGGTTCAACGCATGCGTCGTATTAATACAGTATCCATGAACAAGCGCCGCTTTCCGGTGGTGCGTGCATGCTGTAGGGCAGACCTCGGAAAATACAGTATCATATTGAATTGCAAAAGTTCGGTCTCCATAATAATCATTTCAATATATCATTCACCAATAATATGTATTTATGTCAATTACTTTTATATGGAGATTCACGTTAAACTTGGTTTTTGTATAATTAAACATTTTACTGAAAATTGGGCTTCAATAATAGTAATTTCAATACGACTGGCAACCAATAATACATATTTCCGTACACAAATACAGTAATTGCAATGAAATAATTATTTTTCCGAGGCCTGCTGGAGGGGGTAATATGATACACTGTAGTGTTGGGGGGGGGGGGGGGGTAAAACTCTTTAAGTTGTTGGAGCTTGCGTGCAACCTGCGGCCTGTAGCTGAATACAGTAGTGTCGTCATTGCTGTGCGATGCTACTTTTTTTATCCAACATCGAGTCCAAACCGCCCATGCAAGGCGCCTCAAAAGCATAGAATTATGACCACCCATGCATGATCCGAAATATATTGCTCAGCTCGGGCTTACACCGTCGAGACACACATACACTAGGGCTCGAAGCCGTCGCAGCTGCGCTTGTTGTGTCCAGCTTTGCCACACTTGGAGCAGTGCAAAGGGCGCTTGCCGGCGTCATCCATCGTGACTTTCCTGCGCTTCCTGTCGGGGCGGTCAGTTTCTTCCTTGGCTTCCGGTGCGGCAACGTCAAATTCGTCCGCTTCTTCGAGCTCACTGGAGGATACGAGCACAACTCCATTCTGGTAAGTTTTCAGCAGAGAGGCCGTTGAGTAGAACGGGTCGATGTAGTCGTCCACGTTGAGTCCAGCCGTTTGAATCGTTAGTGCGGCGTGCAGACACGGGCATTTGTTGTCTTGAAATTGGCCACACGAACACGTCTTCGCGTTCAAGTCGACGATGAAAACTACGAAGTCGATCTCAACCGCGAAGACCAGGTCTGCCGTCTCGGTGACCTCCGTTTCGGCGGTTTTAGTGAACTGAAGACCCTCGATCAGAACTTTTGGGAAAGCCCCCGTCTCCCGAGCTGCTTCCTTTTTGCGAAAGATGAACACCTTGGCCGCTCGTCGTAGCAAACTGTGGAACGCTTGGGCTGGTAGCATCTCGCATTCGGGTAGAATATATGCGTCATCCACGTCGGCTGTGTACTGCCCAAAGCGTTTGCCAGGGAAGAATGCATCGACGAACTCGGACCGGTCAATATCTTCCAGGTACTTGTGCGCTTCTTCCGACATCCCCTCGATTTTATCCAGTCGAGATCGGTACTCCGCTGCCGTCTTCGCTTGCGCCAGCTCGAGAACCTGTTTATTCAGTGCCGGATTGTTCGCTCTTCGACGGACGCTTTCTTGCAGGTGACGGACACAAAGGCCGTGGTGCGACTGAGGAAACACTGCTTCAACACTCTCCTGGAGATCATCCTCGCGACTAGAAAGAAGCGTCAGTTCAGAGTCCTCTCCAACTGCAAAGGCACTCTGAAACTGAACCAGAAACCACTCCCAATTGTCGACGCTCTCCTCGTCAACCAGTGCATAACATAGCGGCACAATTCTTCCTACAGCGTCACGACCCGCAGCACAGAGTAAAGTTCCTTCGTAGTTCTCCATGTCAGCCCCATACAACGCGACCAGCGGCCGGAGGAACGGGAACGCACTCACCGCCTGCGAGGAGGCGACGAACACGCGACTGAACGTGCCCTCGGGCGCCTCGTACTGCATGCAAGTGCCCGCGTTCTTCTGCTGGAAGATCGTGAGGAACTTGAGCATGCGCGACAAACTGCCCTGCGCGTCCCCGCTCAGCTCCTTGAGCACGTGCTCCCTCGCGTTGAAGCACACCATGTACGAGCAGTCCGCGCCGTGTTCGGTGCGCAGATCTTCCTGCATCTGCCTGGGTTTGTACGTCGGGTCCTCGTGCAGTTTGGCGCGGAAAAGGCTCGCGACTTCACGGAAGCCGAAGCTCGAGCGAGACGCCGCAGGGGCTTCGCCAGGTGTGCACGTGTGCTGTGGGACGGTGGTGCGCACGCTCCAGACGTCGTCTCTGGAGGCGGCTCCACGCAGCATCCAGGCGCAGCCCGTGGCCTCGCGGTTGGCGCAGACGTAGACCAACCGCTTCCGGTCGCTCTTCTGGTTCTTGATCGGGAAGCCGCTGCGCGCGCTGGCCGAGAGGACGGCCGTGGTCAGGTCCTGCTTGCACGCGAACGTCTGACCGACGGAGAGGCCGAGAGAGCTGGCGGCTTGGTCCTGGCCGCCGACGGTATCGACCATTGGCACAAGTTGCTTGTCATGTTTCGTACGTAAGCGGAAAGAGGAGCAAAGATAATTTTACTCGTAGAAAGTGGAAGTTCCCTTGGATTCAGTTGTTTTATTGCATGGGATATTGCATAGTTACCTAGAACCCATTTCGCCAAGACTCATTGCCGTGCGTGTACAGGTATTTCCCGGTTCAAAAACCAATTTGATTGATTAACAACACGTGTACAGGGAATATCGTCGGCCGGTAGTATCGCCAATTCAGACAACGGATTCCTCCTTCTCTCGGGTAAGCCGGACGACAGATCGTGGATCTTCAATGGAGCATGTCTGCATGGAGATTCTCCATGCTCGAAAATCGAGTAAGCCTCAATACGTACTTAGTATCGCATTGCTTCTTGAGCGAGCCACCAGAGTTCGATCCGATGTCCATACACAGCGCTCAAGACATTTTCATATCCTGGCCGCGCGGATTCAGGCGTTGCTCAAGCACATGAGGTCGGCACATTCGATGCACGAACTCGCAGGTCGAAGCAGCACGTCATCTCACGTCAGATGATATCTCGCTAATCGCCACAGCTGATGCCGGTGCCAACGTAACGAGTGGTCCACAGCTGCAAAATGGCGAACTTCTAGCAGTCCCAACGCGCCAACACTCGTGTCTGCAAGACGAGAGCTCTCCACTGCTGCCAGAAGTACGCCATGAGTACACGAATGGACGAGTCCGAGACTGAAGTTGCTTGTGGCGATCGCAAGAGGGCCTTTCGCCAGCAAATCCGTTGATGCAGTGCGCACAGTACGCATCGCGCAACTCAAGCACTTCAACTTGCTCCCGAACCCGTGGGTTACAAACCCACCGCCCGAGTGTAGCCATCCGTGTGAGCTCATCCGGTCGCGCCCATGCGTGTCAAAGGTGTCGAGCGCCGCACTGCAACATGCGCAACAGGTTCCGATTCGAAGGCCAACGGTATCAGCTTCCAGCTGCCACTAGCATCGACGGCGCGCACTTGGACCTTCGCTGCATTTTCCGGCCAGCGGACTTGAAGGCGGGCGAGCGAGAACGAGACCGCAAGGCACCACGCCCACGCCCGGATGACCATGCTCGTGCTCATGGCGCGCTGGACACTATTAATAGCGGCGTTTGTAGGCGGGCAGCGGATGGCTCGTTCGGGGCAAGCCAGTGGAACGCGAGCGGAAGTCCATCGATCGTTGCGTCGAGGAGCGTGGCCTGCGGAGAAATCAGGTCGCCATCGCCGGCCACGCGGAAGCGCGCACGGCGGCTGGGCGAGCGTTGTGCAATGCCGGCATCGCATCGCATCGCATCGCATCGCATCGCATAGCGGACATGCGAAGGCTGTTTGTTGTTGTCGGCCGCTATCGACGCTTCTGCAGAGAGTTGTCGAGCAGGATTTGCCGGCGGCGGCGGGGTCCATGAATTGGGGCGGGGGCCGAGGTAGATGGCGAATCTTTACTTGTTAATGGGTCTAAGAAGCACGGCGTGGGCTGCGCCCTCCCTCCTTCCTTCCCTCTCTCAGCTGATGCTGCATCCTCGCCTTGGTCGCTTGGGGTGCCTTCGCCTTGCACCGCCTTGCCTTGACTTGATCATCCGGAGGGAGAGCGCCGCCCGCACACGCGCATACACAAAACACTATCATACTATCATCATTCGTCGCTGGAGCGGGCTCATGAGAACAGGCGCCGGCTCTGGTTCTCGCGCGGGGGGAACTCCATGGGCACGGCGGCCGCCGCGCTGCCCTTTGTGACGCAGAAGACCTTGGCCAGCGTGGTGCCGTCGCCCAGGCTCGCGCCGTCGGCCGCCGCACGCACGAACGCGTCGTTCTCGATGTAGGCGAACATGCCGCAGAGCTGGCCGAACTGCACGACGCTGTTGGGCGCCAGCAGCACGCGGCCGAAGCGCCCGCCGGCCTTGGTGGCGAGGAACGCCATCATGTCGTCCACGACCGAGTCGGGCGTGATGCTGCCGCGCGGCTGCGAGAGCCACTCGGGCATGGCCACGCCCGCGTCCACGGCGTTGGCGTTGGCGGCGTCCGCGAACTGCGACAGCGCGTTCTGGTCCCAGTGCAGCGCGAGCGCCGGCTCGTCGTCGCTCACGGACGCGGAGACCAGGTACTCGTCCACCTATTGCAGCAGGCAGCAAGCGCGTTAGTCGGCGTACCAAGCGAGCGGCGAGTACGTGGCTGTAGCGGGCTCACCTCGGCGATGCAGTCTTGGTAGGAGAAGGCGGTGGACATAGCTGCTGTAGTGGTTGGGCTTGGGAGGTCTGGAGTCCTTGGGGCCAGAGAGGAGAATGAGATGAGAGCGAGGAGGGAGCTCTGCTCTGCTGCGGCGCTGACGTGGTGAGTGGCTCGGCTGCCTGGGAATAAGATTGGGTCTGGTTGAAGCCGATCAATTTCGACAGTGACGATCGGACGACGGAGCCTTGGGCCAATCGCAGCGCGGAAGCGGTGCCACACCACGTGCACACAGCCAATCACGGGCGCAGGTGGCTCCTTGACCTGCATGACACCCCGGCGATGGCGCCGCACTGAGTCAGAGGCGAGCCGAACGTGTGGCCACCACGCGTGACGGCCAGCGCTCTGGTGGTGCAATTGACTGCGTGATCATACGCTCGGGTGAGCTTGTGAGTCTGCAGACACAGGAGTCTCTCCTTACCCCTCGAAGCCGACGACGGCGGGCAGATCAGGAGAGCGCGCCGTCGGGATTCATTCCCGACTGGCGAGGACAAGAGCAGGCCTCGAGAACCGAAAAGCGCGATGGTTAACTGCAACGAACAGTGCTGCACCAATTTGCAGCGCTTGTTTGCTGCTGCTACAGTACTGAGATCTAAGTATCGGTAGTGTACGCGCAGCCATGAATTAACTGCTTGGTGGCCTGGCGAAATATACAGCAGCGGTCTCCTGGTTCCGCCCGCTTCAACTATGCCCCCGCCACTGTTATTTCGCGCGTAGCCATTTGGCCTCGTAGCGTCCGTCGAGCAGCTCGGATGCGGCTCTGGCGCCACGTCAGCCAAGTTGAAGCTGCCTTCCCGTACACCATTCACACACCTAATTGTGTCGTCCACACATACATATATGCATTCAAGCGCAACCTCAAAGAAGAAAAAATCCCCAGCCAGACCCGACCCAAAAGAAGCTCGCCGGGCTCTTATCCGCCTCCCCATCGCTCGCCATGGACGCCAAGCCCCAAGCCCCCAGCTCCAGCTCGCAGCCAGCGCCCAAGGCCAAGCCCGCGCCACTGTCGCCCTCGCACCACGACGCGGCGGCGGCGCCCAAGTCGCCCCTGCGCTCGCCCAACAGCCTGATCAAGAGCCCCAGCGCCTTCGAGCAGAAGCCGCTGCTCATGCCCAAGCCAATGTCTATTTAAGGCCTCGGGGTCCCTCGCTCTCTCTCTTAACGTCCAGACCAGCATTTTGTGATCAATAAACGAATCTGGAAACAACTTACTTATGTGGTGTTACTAGAATCTAGAATCTCTATTTAGGTTCATCGGTAGTGAGACCCCATTGGGATCAGGAACGGGGTCGTCAAGTTTGTGGGTCGGGTCGGGTCCACTGCTAGTGGACACTCGAGCAGCAGAGCTCCGTTGTGAGACGCGAGCAGAGGCACTCGAGAGGCTTGAGCTGCTGATTGAAGACTCGACAGCGAGCAGATGAGCTTCACGCGCTGGTGCAGTGTCGAGTCTCCGCCGAGTCGGTCCAGAGCTTGCGAGTCTGGGTTCCACGAGGCTCCCAGCAGCACGACGCCGTCCAAGATGGCGAAGGTGTCGGCTGGAGCAGTTGGTATTGCGGCGGTGGTCGACTCGGAGCCTTCTTCGCCTTCTTCCTCTTCGTCCGAGTCGACGGTGTTGGTACATGACAAGAGCCGCAGAGTGAACTGAACGTCCGTTTGACTTGATTCAGCAGTGCAGTACTGGGGACGAGCCACTTCGAGGACGTGCGAGACGGAGAGACCGGCGGCGAGGATCCCAGGCAGCCAGAAGCGACGAGGATCATTGGGAGTTTGACTCTCGGTGAGGAATCCGTGCCAGTCCTGGTAGTGCTGGAACGCGTCGTGCAACGTCCAAGAAGTAGGAATCGGTGCAATTATCGACGTTCGACCAAACAAGCTCGACGGGACCTCGTTGCGTAGTATGGCGACAACCTGCGCGCGCACGCAGTCGTCTTCAACGTCACGAAGTAAGCGCATTTCCCTCTCTTTGGTGAGCTCTTGATAACTCAGCAGTTCGTCATCGTCGTCTCCTTCAGGCAGCGCGTCCGCAACTGCGTGATCCGCATGATCTGGGTCCTCCAGCTCCAGTAAGTTGGTCAGGATTCTCTCCAAGGCGAGCAAGCACGCGCCCACTTGAAGATTGTACACAGCCGCCATAGTCTCCAGCGTTTGGTTCACCACTGGAACGTCGTCAGCTTCCCCGGCATCATTCTCCTCCCCGTCCTTCTCCACGTCGAAGCGAGGCGGCAGTGCTTGAGCGATGATCGCTTGGAGGACGTTGACTGCGTCTCGCACTGGAATCGAGTTTACCAGCTCAGCTGAATCGCCCAAAAGCACGACATTGTCCCTGTTCGTCCAGCCGAACGCCGACACCCACTTCGGAGGCGGGCGGCTGACCATCTCGACCCCGCCGGAAGCCACCAGGAGGTCTCTGGACGTGTCTTCAAGTGAACCGTGGCGATTAACTGACTGCTGATAGCCAAGTAGCAGCGCCTGGAGCTTCATGTCCATCAGGTGGTCGACGCTGGAGGAGTAATTCCACACCAACTCAATCCACTGACCCATCGACAGGTTCTCCTCTCGCAGGCTTTCACTAGGGAACGCCAGAAAGCCCAAGGCCAGCGCAGATTTGATGACAGACAAGGAGCTTGGACGCTTGATCAACTTCTTGGAGGAGCCTTGCATCGACAACAAGTTGGCTGCGTCGCCTCGTATGGATAGCTGGTCACGGAAGGTATTCATCTGCCGACTGCGACCCCGGAAGCTTGGGAGGGCGCCCGGTTTGGGTTTACTCTCTCCAGTCGAGGAGCTCTCGCTCCAGCTTACAAGTTGCAGACACTCGCTCCACAGTCGTCGAAGGAATTCTACCTCTTGATGGCCTCCAGCCAAACGCGCGTATGAGCTCAGCACCACCTGCTGGTAGATCCTTCGCTCCAGCCCCGAGTTGTACTCGGAATTCCTCCCAGTGCGACGGCTTTGCTGAGAATGGAAGTGCTGCTGCTTCTTATCGAGTATTGTAGTCAGGTACTGGTTAACCGCAGTGAGGAAATCGTCGGCGCTATAGTGGAAGGCAGCCCCTACGCCGTCTGGATGGTGCGGTGGCGGCAGTGCTCCAGGATACACAGCTTTGAGCACGTGCGCGCGGAAGACCAACGTGGAGTGGAATAGCACGAGGCCACTCAATACTTGCCAGAAGTAGGTCAGCGGTGCTCTCGGAGCCGCCATATCATCCTCAGCAAGCTGGACAAGAGCGCTCAGCGTCTGGACGCTCGGATACATGGCCAAACGCAGGATAGTTGATTGTAGACACTTGGTTAGAGACGGCTGGGACTGCCCCCCACTGGATGCACTGAGTTCCTGCTCGTACTCGTCTCGGAAGCACACGATACTCGATCGGAGGTGAACTGGGAGAGCTCGGACGTCGTCCACTGCGGCTACGAGTCGTGGATAGGTAGGCGCCATCATGTCGAGCGCGGACAGACGACTCACCATGGACTGGGCCGACCTCCGACGCGCTGCATCCTGGGCAGGACTCGTAGGCGCATCACTTGACTTAATGCTCATCCGCCTCACGAGGGACTCTCCAGCAATGGACGAGCCCATACTCGTGCTGTTGTGGCGCTGGAGAGCTGCCGAGCTGGTGCGTCGACTGGAACGATGCAGGATCTGGAATAGCGCCTCCCAGTACTCGGGGCTTCCAGCGCTCTCCTTCATGTTGACGACAGCGAACGGCACCTCCTCCAACGCTTCGAGCTGCGTCTTCTCCATTTGAGCGATCTGCTTGAAGTTTTCAGCCATGAGCAGCAATTGCTGGGCCTCCACTTGATCCTCCGTCGGGTGCACACTCGGTGGGAGAACGTAGAGCTGCTCCAGCGGAGTAACCTGTTCCACAATGTCACCAGTCAGTGCTGTGTCACCTTGAGTTAAAGTCTGGAACTTCCTCTCGACCAGCATCTTCAAAACCCGGACTTGCAGCGTTGAAGACCCCTCCAGCCCTTGGAAGAAGACGCGACGAGCAAAGCCGAAGCTGTGGAATGCGTGACGGGCCAGAACCACAGCCGCCGTCTTCTCCGGTAGCGATCGGATCGTCCGCAGCCAGAACCCTTCAAGCACCGCTGTCGCCTCCACTTCGACCGGAGTGTTGTTGGCTATGAGGCCCGAGCCACGTCGGTGGAAGTTGAGGGGAACGCCGTAACCTGCCAAGACCCGATCGCACACGTGCTGAACCAGTTGAGGGAAGAGCAGAAGACTCACCCCAAGACGCTCGGACCGGGATGACGTCCCTGGTAAAGCTGCTCGCAGTATCTCGTCAACGTCTTGAACGTCTGAAGGCGCGTCTTCAAGCTTGCAGCCGTTGAAAATCGTGGTCACCACGCGACGCTGCAGATCTGGACGCGTTGTCGAGAGCGAGATGGCTCTACACGCCTCTGTGGTGATTGACGATGGGATATCGCCGCACTTTGACGCATTTATCAGCTTCATCCGAAGCAGAATCGTGCCAACCGATGCCGATAGCGAGCCGTTCGAGTCATTAGAACTTTCAGCGTCGGGTTGTGTCTGGGCCGGTTTTGGTGTCGATTTCTGGGTCGTCGCCTGCATTTCTTCCATCATTGTGATCGCTTGCAGCAGGAACCGGTACCAGTCTCCGTTTGGCGAGACGAAAGGTACGATCCGAGTCACGAGCTTGGTCAGTACGTCTGCTGGGACGCCGAAAGAGTTGAAATGCCGTCGTGAGGACCCCGACAACGAGAAGCTGGCGGCACTGCGTGCGAGGATACTCAGTCGGTTGCTTGAGGACTGCCGCTTTGTGTCTTTCAGCAGTGGAGAACTCGGCGCTGGAGTTAAACCCGGCGTTCCTGTTGTTGTAGTAGGAGATGAAGGGGTCAAGGCGCCCAGCAGAAGCGGCAAGAAGACCTGCAGCGTCAACGCGGGCGATGCATTGGGCCCAACGCCGGTGACTGTGGAGTTAAAGGCGTTGAAGACCGCAGCCCCCGTCCGGGCGATTGGCAGACACTGGCGCTTCACGAGTCGAAGTTGCTCCTGGATCTCGCGTCGCGCCTCCCTCAGCATTTGACGCGCTTCCTGGATCGCAGAGAGTCGATCACGCAGAGCCTGCGTCTGTGCGAGGGGGAAGTGACTCGACACTGCTGCGGCTTCCAGCAGCTTGGTGAGCTGCGTGTGCGAGACCTCGTACTTCTGAACCAGCCGACCGTGCTCTTTCAACGCGGATTTCAGCGTGAACGGACCGATAATCGGTGCAGTATTCGAGTCCTCCGTTGGCTGGGAGGCCGAGCTACTCCAAATCTTGTCGAGCAGCACGTCCGCCATGTCTCGGGAGGGCAGCTGGGCGTCCATAGTCGGCATCATATCGAGCACTTCGCCAAACGCCGATCGATCGGCATTCGACGTGAGGATCAGGCGGAAATTCGAGTGCAGCGCGATAGTTTCCGTAGTGGTGGAAGGCGCTTCAGTGCTCACTTTGTACTCATCCTCTTTCGAGTCAGCGCCTGAGGGTTTTTCGGAGACGATGAGGTGCTCAACGCCGTTGATGCCCTTGGTTCTCCATGCCAACGCTGCGCGCAGACACAGTCCGCGTTTGTCATCGTGGCAAGGCTCTGCGTCGATCGGCTCAACATCGAGTACAAGCAGTTGATGGCCCATACTTGCAGCCAAGCGGAACACGTCGTCGAAGTCGGATGCCCGAGCGTAGACCATGTGAAGCTGCTGCCAGTGCCACACGCGACGCGCGCAATTGACCAGCAGCTCCTCAACTTCGGGTGAGAATCGCGTGATCATAACCACAGGAAGAGTCGAGGTGGAGGCTACCAGCGACAACACAGCCGCATCCCAAATTCTACGACGAGAGAAACCCAGGCCTCCAGCTCCAGTGATGAGTTTCAAGGCGTCTTCCGTCTCCACACTTCCGTCTTCAGGGTAATCGCCCGAGAACAGCGCAGCCAACGGGGTCTCGTCGTCATGAACCACTGGAGTTTCGTCTTCTAAAGGCGCAGTCCTCTTCAGCACCACAGCAATGGAAGGCACAAAGGTGCAGCACGTCGAAGTGGGCGGACAGCCGGGCGTCAGACCTCCATAGCTCGAGTACGCTGCCTCCCACGCTTTGAACACTTGCTGTCGACGTGGAGAGACGCTGAGCTCACACGCGTACGCCAGCACTCCAGCCGACAGCAGCGCGTTCCACGTTGGCAGCGAGAACCCGCGACGCATTGAGCTGGCGCTCGCAGCTTCGTGCTGCAGCTTGCGGTCTTCTTTCAGCGCCTCCATCGCCTGCCCTCCACTATCACATCGAGCATCCAGCGACGATATCTCACCCGAAAGAGCTTCTTTCCGAGTAATAGCGGCGTCTATCGCAGCTTGAATCGACTGCCACGCTTGATCGGCTTCCAGAACGCGCTGCTTGCTCACTTGGAACTCGTTCATGATGAGCTGCAGTCGACTCTGGGCCTTCTCAAGCTTGTCGAGCGTCGGCTGCACCTGCTGCCTCGCTGAAGCGTACTGATGAATGGCCACCACCCAGCCGACCATCGACGCGGCCGCAACGCTCTGGCGCTCGACTTCTTCGTGACAGAAGCGTTCGTCGCTCAGGAATTCCGCTTCGAGCTTGGTCAAGGTGGCAGGAGGCACCGCGTCCTTGTTGAACTGCAGCAGAGTCTGGACGACATTCGCGTCACCGAGGAGCAAGCGGCGAGCGCTCTCCCAGGACGGCTCGAGCTGGAACAAGACGCAGACAGCGCCCAGCACCATGTGAACCAGCGGCGGAGGACTCACGAACGACTTGATCTCGACGATGTGCCGCCGGTCGACGAGCAACAGCGCGCGGTTGGCCTCTTCGAGATACGCCATGGGCTCTCGCAGCTCTCGTTGCGCCACCTCCTGCGCCTCGTTCGTGACTTGAATCTGCTCGTCCGCTGCGACCTGGAAGCGCTGCATGATGAGGCGGATGCGCTCGGCGTCCTCCTTCTGCTCGATTAGGCGAGCTTCGTGGTGAACGAGCTGCTGGTCGATGGTCGTGAGCTGCTCGCTGAGCAGGACGTCGCTCGAGCGGAGCGCGCCCAGGTCTCGATCCAAGCGGTTGGACAGGTCCAGGAACCACGAGGCTTTCGCGCGAGCGGCTTCTTCCCGCTTGTAGTTCACAACCACAAGCTTGGCGAAGAACGCGGCCATCGCGAATGCCCTCGAGACTGGAGGGTATGCACTACTACCATAACCCTCGTCGTCTCTGTCGGTCGAGCACGCGTCGGCTACTGCGAGGTGCATGTCTGTCGCCATCGAGACCAAACTCCAGAGACTTCGCTGCATCTGGTGCAGGAAATCGGCCAGACTCCCGTCCTTCGGCTTACGCTGCGCGTCGTTGACTTCCTCCTTATGATCCACCAGAAGCTGCTGCACTTGAGAGTGGAAATGGCCATACACGAGCGTACGCAGCGACTCGCGCTCAAGCGGAGGCACCGACACCACGTCGCAGATGGAGAAGACGTTCGGACTCGCACTGCGCACGCGGGTTTCGTGCTCCTTGACCACGAGGAGAACCACGCGCAGCTTCGAGCACATTCGCGCCACCGCGCTCGCCCACTTGCCGCTGGTCACGCCGAGCGGTCGAGTGAGCGCCATGACGGTCGCTGCCACGCTCTCGCTCTCCACTTCGCGTTGGCGTCTCGAGTCGTCCGTGTCCTGCTGCCAGCGCAGATCAACGCGCGAGAGCTTCGAGCGCAGTTCGCGCTGGTAGCGCGTCTCCACGAGCTGGAACGCTTCGAGCAGCGGCGTGGTGGGAGACTCGCGCTGCTTCTGGTGGAGAATGGCGAGCGCTTGGTCCCTCGTGGACTCCACTTCCACCCGGATCTGCGCCACTTGGGCGGCGTGCTTGGTCTTCAACGCCAACAACCGCTCGTCGATCACGCGCGTGGCCAGGTGGACCTGTTCCTCCAGGGTCAAGATGCCCGGAACTTCTCCCGTGGTCATGAGGCTCTGGATCTGGTTGACCATAGCAGGCGGCAGCAAGTCCAGACGCTTGACTACGAGCGTGGCTTCTTGGCCAGCGACACCCACGCGCTCGTACAGTTCGAGCAGAAGCCGCTTCCATCTTAGAGTCAAGCAAGTGTCGACGCTCATGGTGATGTTCGGGTCATCTGCTAACCCTGACAGGGTGAATATCGCGCTATCAGCTTGGTTTGAGGTGTGGAGCTCTGTGGCGAAGCGTAGCAACGTATCAGCTGCGCTGCCGGCGCTGTCGAGCACGATGAGTCGAGCGGCTGGACGAGCGAGAACGCGGTCGATTCTTACTACTGTTTGAGCCTGCAGAGCAGCAATTCCGAGGTTTCAGTTGCTTGAAAGAGAATACAGGATAAGCGCGTACGTACGAGTTTGAAGGGAACAGGAGGGACGTCTCTCGGCAGCGCGGTCGCCTTGGTCGGTTTAAGAGTCATTGTACACGAGCTGAAAGTGCGGAGGTCTCGGTAGTACGGCTGCACACTGGCGGTGGACACGGCCTCCATGTCGTCTTCATAGCTGATCTCGGCGTAAATCCACGACGGTCTACTACTTGATCCAGACTCAAGACTCCTGCGCAGCATGAAACTAGCACTGCTACGACAGAAAGAGAGATCAGTCTCAGCGGTGGCGCCCTCCTCACCTGCAGGATGTCCACCGTAGTATATACTGGCAGGCACGAAGGCCCAGAGCCCTCCCATCATGGCCGCTCGGTGCTGCTGCTCCTGCAGAGAATTGTACTGCTGACTGGGTCGGGGGGCTCTTGACGGAGACCCAGCGCTTCGAGCTGCGAACAACGTCAACAACGTTGCAGGACTCGCATTGTCGTCGCTACTGGCTTTGACTGACGGTCGCTTGGTACCGACTGCGAAGCTGACACTCGCCCCAACCCCCACCGACAAGCGACTAGCTCGAGCGCTGGCACGACGTTGAGTTATCTGGGAAATCTGCGATCGCATGCGCGATATCTCCCCAGTAACGTCGTTATCCTGTCTCGGACCGCATAACCCCATTGAAGGTTCTCGGAGTGTCCGGGAGCACTCGTGCGTCCACAGTCTCAGCAGCGTCTCCACGTCCGACAGCGTCGACGGACTGACCCCGCCAAGACCTTCGTACACTCGCGCTAGGTCTTGGAGGTGATACTTGAATGTGGCCCGGAGTCGGTCCCAGATCACAGTAGTCGCTGCGATCACCAGAGGAAGAGCATACCGAACTGCAGTGGGTAGTGTAGCAGACATGGATGAAGTCCCCAGGCCCCAGTGAGCGTGCAGAATGTGTCCGAAGATATGATGAAGCTCCTCGAGCCCACAAGAGGGCGCAAAGAGCGGGAAAAACTGCGAGGTGAGCTTCCGCAGCGATTCGTCCCGGTCAGGTTTAGCGTATCCCGCTGACTGGAAGTGCTTAACGTGCATCGACCCGAACATCATGAGGTTTTCGACCGAGATCGGCAGACAACTCGCCCCTCGATACACTTTGCCGTGCTCCTGGACCGACCGCAGGTACGCGTAGACGGATGGGTATAGCGGCCGTGCTGTTGAAGTCTCTGCTGGGGTGGCGAGGTGCAAGTCATCCAGGATAAGCAGCGCAGTCTTACCCGGGGGAGGCTCGAATATGCCAGTACGTTCACGCTGCAGCATCCGCTCGAGGCAGTTCGCCAATTCAGTGGCTGCATCGCCAGCTCTGGAGCTTGCGTTGGCGTGAGGCATGGCGAAGAAGAAGGGGATAACATCGCCACGGTCGAACTGACGCACTAATGCTGTCTTGGACAGGTTAGTGGACGGAGTGATGACCAAGGGGGCCCCTTCTTCAGCCTCGACAACGGACGCTATGGATCGGCCGTCACTCGTAGTGCTAATACTTGCAATGGATGCACTTCGAGAGGCTTCGAGAGTACCTTCACCCCAGTTGTTGTCCTTCTGAAGACGCATCGCCATCCACGTGACGAGCGAAATCTGGCGCAGTCGAAGCCGCTTTACGGACGCGAGCGTCGCAGCTTCCATCGTCTTCAAGAGAACGGGCTTTCGAGCCTTGTTATCTTCTTCATCGGTTGCTTGATGCGCTTGAAGGAGCTTGTCGACTCCACCAGCAGCGATAATCGACTTGATGACGTCCAGTTGAGTCAGGAAGTTGCGAGCAAGCGTGGTTCGCCGCGCGTTGCCACCACTTAAGAGCAGCACGCCTCTACCCGAGCGAAGGCCTTCGTTGATAGCGGCGTGAATCACCAAACTGGTGGTTGTAGGCACGAACAACGTGCTGATGCTGCTGTGGCTGCTGGCCTGAGGGGGAAGAGCAGTGTAACCTGACGCACTCACGACCGACACGAAGCGCTGGCCCTGCAGATCCAGCAACGTCTCGAATAAATTCACATTGGGACCGCAGCCGAGCCATGCGGGCGTCAGATGCTCGAACTCACGCCTAAGGACGTCGCTAACCTGACGCTGAGCGACCGGAGAGCCTCCGGTACAGGCTGCGAACCCCCACATTAAGCTGTACATGAGCGCCATCTCCACACGGATCTGACCATCCGAAAGCTCGTCTGCAAATTTCATGAAAGACTCCAAACTGGCAGCAGCTTTGTCACTTCGGCGTGTTGGGTCCGGAAGCGTAGACGCAGTGCTGATGAGGGACTGGAGCAGGGATGCCATGTTTGTGGCCCGTTGCAGCGGGGAGAGGTATACTGTCCCGTCCGTCGTAGCATCCAGGATAGTGGTAAGTTCTGCTAGCAACGACGACTTGATCAGCCACCTCTCAATGGTATTGAACGTATCGGTGGTGGACCACGGATACGTTTTGGGCGCTTCACGCACGCGCTCGCGTTGGATGACCAAGTACCGGTGCAGATACGCCGTTGCGATGCCCATCTTCGCCTCAGAGTCAATGGATTTCATGCGGCGATACGGCGTCTTCGTAGCTTCTTTTCCTTCTTTCGTGTCTGCGTTCAGGTAGAGGATGGCGCTCACGTGGAGAAACCGCGGCGTAGCGTCACGCAGTTGCAGGACTTCAAACACGAAGCGAAGATTGGGCGGCAGCGTCATGAACTCGCCGTCTTCGAACGCCAATAGAGGAGACACGACGCCTCTCGGACACGTCAGCACAGCCAAGAGACCTTCGAGCCACCGCAAGTCTATTGCATCGTCGAAAACCACCCACACTTGGTTGGGCAGGTCAAGAAGACACTCCGTTGGGCTGGATTGGGCGGGGCTCTCAGCGGCTTCAGCATCGGTGACAGCTTTAGGGACGTAAACTTCTTGCGCTTGGCGGATGAGCTGGCCCAAAATGCTCGGCACGCGACCGTGACCATCCAGTGAGACGCCTCCGTAAAGCTGAGAGACTGTTAGTGCCATTGGCAGCACAACTCGGACGGATACACTCGCAGCAGGGTCCTTCTTCTCAGCTTTGCCCGTTAGGTAAGAGTTGGAGCGCTTGGCAAGAGCTGACGGTGTTGATCGAGCTGTTGTATCAGAAGGCGGCGGCTTGGTTACTACTTCGTCTTCACGGGGAGGGGGATTTCCACTTTGATCACGACGCTGGAAGCAGAGCTCGAATGCTTTCGCGAGGATTTGGTACGTGGTCGACTTCCCAACTCCAGACGGACCTACCAAGGCAGTGCCCACACGGAATGTTAGCGCTGTTGCGAGAGATGAAATCGAGTCCAGCATTACGCGGCGAGGCACAAAGTGCAGCTCTTGAGCAGCGAGTGTTATGCACTCGAGTAGTTCGGGCGACACTCCAGTCTTTGCTGCAATATCCTCGTGGTAGACGGCCAGATCGCCGTCTCCAGTCGCAAAATTATCGTCGAGAATCCTTTTGAGCGCTTTGAGCCGCTCCGAGTCGATCCGAACGCGGAAATACTTCAATAGGGCCTTGCGGAGTAGAATTTGCTGGTATGATGTAGGGTCTTCATCTGTCAGTAGTGAACTTTCGTGAAGCTGCGCGGAGGCAACACCGATAACCGACTTTAACACCGCAAACTTGAACGGATTTCCACTCGCATTCGGCGCAGTATCATCCGCAATACTGTAGCCAACACGAGCTTGCTCCCAAATCAGCAGAAGCTGCTTAGTAAGTCCGCGTGGCCCAATAAAGCCTCTGCTGAGCATCAGAGCCTCGATAATATACTCCTGATCCCATTGAACGATCGCAAATCGACTCAAAGGCTCCGTCCAGATGCGAATTTCCTCCGAATCTGCCATCGTCAAGCCCGTACTTGAAGGAAAAACCACCAGCATCGCCGTCCCCGGGACAAATGTAATCGGAGAGCGATGAAGCCCCACAATCGGATTCTTGGTCAGCACTGCGTGCTCAATCGACGCCAGCGTAGTCGCCAACGTCTTGATCAATGGTGCACTGTCCCTTATACTGTCACCGAGGTGCAGCTTAGCGCAGAAGGTTCCTCCAGCATACAGCGCTCCGATCAGCAGCCGCGTGGCGTGGGTGTACGTCGTCAACGTCGCGCTGAAGTTGCGTCGCCCCAGTATCAAGCTCACCTGCGTACTCAATGTCCGCTTCCCACTTTCTGCCGGACCGGTTAAGGTACAGGCTTGCGCGTGTCTGATACAGGCGAAGAGCGAGAAAAGCGAGCGTAAACTGCTCGGCGTCACCACCACATCATCATGCGGACTCAAGTAGTTGAAGCCGTACGGGATGTTCAGCGTGTTTATCTCCACGTGACACTCGTGACCGACAGTCGTGGCATCATCCATCCGGTACTTGAGCTGGTACTCCCAGTCGATAGCCAGCCCGCCAGGCATACAGGATAGCACAGCATTTGTCTGCTTTGAGGCCACGTGACTAGCGAATGAATCGCGGTACTGGATCCCTTGGAGATGCAGGCCCGATCGGAGCGTAATTTCGCGTGGGGTTAGTAGATCTTGCCGCGATTTTGAGGAGTTGGCGGCTGGAAGTAGCTGGTTCAACACTCGAGAGCTATGAGCAGAGAGCTCACCCGCAATCCGCTCAAAGCGGCCGGTACCGCTGCTGCTTAGAATGTCTTGTAGACCATACTCGATAATTCCACAGCGCACAATACGATCTGCCAGCAGAAGACTCTAAAATAATGAAAATGTTAGTTGCTTCACCCAAATAATTTCAAGGTTTTGATCACGCACCTGGATTGAGAAGCGGGTGAGGTCGATCTTTGGAGCGGCCGCATTAGGCTGAGGGCTCTCGTATCGAGCGAGCATCTCGATCGCTTGTTTCGTGGATCGGCGCAGTTGTTCTGCTAGTCGTTTCTCCACCGCAGCCAGCCACTGCTCCACCGGCCCTCGTGCTTTCAGGTTCTTGCCCATGGGGATCGTTTCAGCGTCGCCATGGACTCGGGATGTTATCTGGCCAAACCATCGACTCAAGTCCAGTCAGTAGTGTTGCAATGGCAATGTACGACTGAGTGACGAACCTGGAGAATATCTTGGAATCCGTCTCGAACCCCGAAAACTATGCGTCCAACATTATCAAAGCATTGATACAGGAAAGACGGGATGCAGCCCACATCTCGACACTTGGACAGCAGCGTAGCCAGCTCCAAGTCGGAGAGCTGGAAGAAGGCGGGGAACACCTGACGCTTGATCTGTTCGAGTTCGAGCAAGAAGCATCTTATGTTAGATTTCATTTCAAGAACAAGCAAAATATTTGAAGACGAAACGCACCTCAAGATGATCCGCCAACGTTTTCACCGCGCCTTCGAATCCTTCCAGAATCACTTGCAGCGTCTGACGATGCTCCGTATTAACCCCAAACGGCAGACACAGTGAGCGATTGAACAGGTTAAGAGTCAACGAACGCCACGCCGTGTCGTGCTTCTGTAGCTGCTTGGCTTGGTCTGGAAAAGTCCGCGCGAAGTCGATTGACACTAACCGCTGGGTGTAGTCCCATTTGCGTTGACACACCTGCAGCAGCTCCAGTGACGCCTTCGTATGATCGAGATCCGAAATCATCTTCGGCAGTCGCTCCTGCACCACGAGAGAGTACGTGGACAGATCCATGACTCGGAGAAGCACCTGACTCTCCTCGATAAGAGACGAAAGCTCGACACAGTCGCCAATACAGTAAACGTCACGTCCGTCGCGGTCTTTTCTCGCTTCTACTGGGATCTCCTGAGCTTCCCACGTACGCACAACGCTCATAAAGCTCCCAGCGATCGCAGCTTCAGCCGAGGCTTCTTCAGACACGTGTCGGATCGCTGTACCGTGGCCGACAGCGTTCACTTCAAGAAGCTGTTGCACTTGAATATCGAGTCGAGTACTGGAAGATAGCGCGGTTGCATCCAGAGCTGCAAAGTCTTCCTCTTCCTCCTCCTCCTCAGCATTTTCATTGTTTTCCGTGATAATGGGCATCAAAGAACATTGCATCTTGTGCTCGAGTTTGCTCCAGTGCCGCTCCGCCAAGTGCGGGTTGCGTAGATCGCGGATCACCGGCGCTAGACCATGTAGAGTGGCTTGTAACTTCTCTAGTCGCTCGAGCTCGAAGCCCCCAACCACTTGAGTGGTGCATGGGCGGATGTTCTCCACCACTGCGTCGACGTGGCTGGCCACCTCGCCCATCTTGTCCAGATCCACGGAGCGGATGGTGTCTGTGCTGCAGTTGTCCAAATGTTCGTCGGCCTCGCAGACCGCCTCCCACAGTTCCTACACGGAGATGGAGCAGGTTGGACAAGTGAAGCAGCTATAATACCGAAACCTGTACGTACGCTCTTGAGTTTCAGCTCCCCGGCCAACATGTCCAAGTCTTCGAAGTTTTTTGTTTGAGGACGAAGGCCGCCCGAGGCGTCTTCAAACACCAGTTGGATGCGGACAAGTCTTCGGGCTTCCTCCTGCATCTCCTGAGCTTCTTCGTACAGCTTAACGGCGCTGTCACGAGCTTGTTGGCAGGTATTACTTTGAGCCGCTATCGCTTGGTCACTTGCCGCCAACAGCAGATCATTCACCCTCCGACCAAGCTATAGACAAGAAAACGCAGCGATGATCAGGGCTCTGAAATATTTCTGCGCAAGTAGCGAAGTATTCTGGCGTATGTATGTATACCTTGGCCAGATTTTCAGTGAGCAGCGGCATGTAGCTCAGTAGATCCGTGTCTCGGTTCGCGTACGCCTCTTGGGCATGCGCCTTGAGCGCCTGGAACTCCGGCTCGCACAACTCGAAAGCCTTGACTGTCTCCACGGGCGCAGAGAACTTGAGCTTGTCCAATAAGCCAAAAAAGTCCTGCACGAAGCTCAAATCTAGCTCTTTGTCCATAATCTCGTCGTGCACTTCCTGGCAAATCGACAAATAAAACACAAAAACATATTAACATGTAGATAAGCTTGGATCCCGAAGTAGGCGAGCCAACGAACCTTGAGATTCAAGAGGTACGTGGTGAACGCGTCCAAGTTTTGGAGCATGGGTTTCTCGATCTTGCTGCTGGAGAAGCTGATGTAGTGCAGGAACTCGTCACACTTCTCGCGCGCAAGTCTGGGCAGAAGCTCGCGCATTGCGTCAAGACATCGCGCGGGCGACGGCAGCAGCTCTGCCTGCAGCTGCTGCATATTGAAGTGGAGAAACTCCACATCCGCCGACATCCTCAGCGTCTCCAACGCACTCAGCTACATACACGGCAGATAAAACACCATACTTTGTCAGCACTAATGCCTTCCTGCTGTAGAAGTATCCACAATTTACCTGTTGGATGAAGTGGTCGGCGTCGCTCTCCATCCCCTCGAGAGTGTACTCATTCCTCCTGAATAGCCTTGCTTTCAGCTCAAAGTTGACGCTCTCATTCTGCTGTCGCAGCTCCAGAAGCTTGGAATACGAGGCCGCGAGGTCCGCAGCGCCGTTCAACGCACTGCGTACGAGGTCCTGGATATCGTCACGAGCTGAGCAGTAGTGCAAGTCTTCCTCCATCCGCTCCAGCAGTCGGTTGGCTGGACATCGGAAGCGTTCTCCCTCCTCGGCCCCCTCGCTATCGCTTCGATCCTGTTCCAGTTGATGAGCAGGACAAAGTGAGCTCCTTCGAGACGAACCTCCTGCTGTTGCTGGACGTGAGGACTCGAACGTTGCGTGCAAATTGAGCGCTCGGATATCATCAGCGAAGTCGAGGACGGAGCGAAGCTCGGGGCTGGACAGCAACGGCGGCACGTCACGGAACGCCTCAGTGAGTCCAACGATGATCCGCTGCAAGACTCGCATGAGCTTGGCCAGGTCTGGCTTAAAGCAGATTTCGTACCGCTGTCGTCCTCTTTTCTCTGGTACCGCAGCTGTGGCCACGTCGAGAGCGAAAAGCGGCTGAGGGCCGAGACACGGAATCGACAGCACGTCTCGTTCGATCAGCGAAGGTTCATGTTCATTTCCTCCAGCCTTGGCGTCTTCCAGCTCTGTTGCGGTGAAGATTGGCGAGCTTGAGGTGGTGAAAGGCGGTAGTACCAGGAGTTGTAACAAGACGTTCTCCGCCACGAAGAAGAGGTCGTCCACGCTGAAAATCTCCGAGTTGGCGCCGGCGAAGTTGCTGAGACCATGGAAGAAGAGCGCCTCCAGCTTGTTCTCCATCGCAGCGACGGACATTGACGTCATCGTGGCCTCGGCATCACCCCAAGACGGTGAAGTTACCGTGCGTAGCTTACCGTCCCACGCGGCGTGGAGGAAGGACTTGATCTGCTGCTTCGTTAGAGGAGCGTGGCTAAGCGAACGTGGTCTCGACTGACTTGAGCTTGAAGGATCGCTGTTGCCTTCGCCTGGGGGTTGGATGCTGCGAAGTGTCTGATGCGTTGCCACGGCAAAGTCCTCGTGGTCGGTGAGTCGCGTGATAGTCGCTGCGTTGGCGCCGCGAAGCACGAAGTCGTGGAACAGATCGAGGCTCTGCTTCACCACACGCGCGTACGTATCCAGTAGAAGAAAATCCACCAGCGTCATGAACTTGGTTAGTTGCTTGCACTTGCGCCGCTTGATCGAGGCCATCGTCCATCGGATCTCCTCGAGTTCGTCCGTCTGAGCGATAGTGGGGCGGGTATTTTTCTCTATTCGCAGCGAATGACGAGACTGCGATAGAGTCGACAGCACCAGCGCGTTTCTCGCCTCCACAGCCTCTTGCGTTGGCAATCGGATGGACTGGAAGTGTTTGTGGCGGATGAACTGCTGGTGCGCGGACGCCAGGCCCTGCTCACACTGCACGTAGTTCTCTAAGATGTGGAAGTTGCTGCTCTTGCGGACGGACAGAGCGAACTCGTGGCCTGGAAACCCGGCGTGCAACGGGGCCATGTCCTCCAAAAACACGCGGCATACGCCCGTCAAAATGGTCTGGAGTCGACTTGTGATCTGCCGGAGCTCACACGTGCGCGTCTTTAAAAACTGCGTCTGTACAATAAAATTCCACGTTAGATAAAGTATTCGAGACCCTAAAACCAGCGATGAACAATGTACATTTGCTGCGGAGAATCGCTCCAGAGTGTACGTCTCGCCGTCGAAATCCCACATGAGCTGCAATTTTGACAATCGGCTCAGCTCTACGCGGACTTCCTGCATGCCACTCAGCAGTATCGGGTACGAGAAGTAGCAGTCGGCGATCAGGTTCTCTCGAGCAGCTTCGCGCTTGTTTCCTCGCACCCACTGCCGCCAAAACAAAAACACTTTGCGATACCGAAACCTGCACACAACACAGTCAGCACTTAGCCCATAGATAAAGCGGGGTAAATAATTCAGCCTCACCTTGAAAAGGTCGAAAGGCTCCGCAGCTTGGTGAATTGAGCCTTCTGGGTCTCCCAGTCGCTCAGAGAGAGGAATGTGGACTGGAAGTCGTCGCTTTTAAGATGGAAGGTGTATCCTCCTCGACTGATCGTGTAGTAGTCCCAGTGCGCGTCCTGCAGCTGGTTGACACTTCCACCCCCAAAGAGCGTTTCCTGATGCAACAGACGCGTTAGTCCGCGTCTAGATACTCAGAACCAATGCACTCTTACATGCGTGACTGGAATAATATCGTACGGGTCGTACGGCAAGCCATCCTCGAAGTTATGTCGTGGCACAGCATAGACAAAAGTATCTTCGATGTGTTCTCTTGTCGACGCTAGCATGCGCTCACCTACAGAGCACACAAAGCTGAGTCGGAGGTCTCTGTAGCATCTGCATACATTTTTTCTTACCTCTTGACTGTCCAGTTCGGGAACTTGAAGCCGACAGACTCCGTGCCGCCTTGGTGGAGCGGGATACGAGTGAAACGCAGCTAGTAAGGGACGCGCTGCTCTTCTCAAGAGCTCGGAACGGCTGGTACCGCGTGCTGGCAGCGGCCGAGTGCGGTCTTTTCAACCTACTCGCTGCCCTCTTTACTGCAAAATTACTTGGAGCTGCAGCAGGTTGATGCGAAGTTTCCAACAGACTCGGACGATGAGACGAAGGCGCCGCTGCAGCCGAAAACGGCCTTTTACCGTACCCAGGCTGGCGCCCTGTAGCTAACGACGTTCCTGACCTCACCAAATCCTCCTTCCCTGCCGCCAATAAAGCCTCCAACTCCCCGTCGAGATCCTCGTGCTGGTTGCTGGTAGCTGGCTCCTGAACCAACTGCATCCGATGGCGACTCACCTGCCGACTCGCTGTAGTAAGAGAAAAGTCAGATATTGTTGTTGATACAACAACATCATTAGTCGTCAAACGTACCAGCGTTAGCCGACTTTGGGCGCATTGGAGGCTTCATGAACACCCCCTTATCATCGCTCGACCCTGCTGCTCCGGGCGCTCGTGGGGTTAGTCTTGGAGCTGCAGAACCTTGTCGAGGGCTCTGAAGCCGCTGTCGAAGCTACAAAAATGGCAAAAAGAACCAGCTTAGCCCCTGCCAATTGCCATAATATCTACTAAAAGCACTGGTCTAACCAGCAGCGACGACGACTCCTTCAGAGCGTTGACGGCTGTTGCCAGCCGCTCGGGCGCCGATGCGAAGGCAGCAGAAGTTGAAGTTGAAGTTGCACTGCTGTAGTCCAGAGCGTGAGGAGCTAGCGAGCTGCGCGACGCCCCCGCTGTGCGAGGCCGCAGCTTGGGAGGGGCGCCGAAGTGCACGTGCTCCTGCATTGGGACGTCGGACGGATAGATAGATAGATAGATACACTGCCGCACGACGGTTCACTTGACACCAATTATGGAGCGACCGACCAGTTATTGGGTAGATCTGGGCATTGAGGAGCTCCACCTTTTGCGACGCCCACGATCAGACTGACAAGCTGGGACTGGAGACAAAGTACGCCAATTTTTTTTATCAGTCGCGCAACCTGACCGTCATTCTACAAATGTACTGAAATTTAGGCTGCAGTGGAAGAGTGACAAACGAGGGATCGGATACTTTTTATCGTGCATTTCGAAGCAACCTCCCCCTGTTTGCATACTCAGCTTGCCGTGCTTACTGCTTACTACACCAATAACGGGAGTAGTCGAGGTACGTCTGGTACTTCGGGTGGTCGCGTGCTTTTTCACCCAGGCCGTCAAGCCCCAGCTTCTTCGACACGTGCTTGGGGTTCATTCCTTTCTTGAGCCACTTCAAGAACTTGAGACTTTTCAGCCACCCCCTTTCCTCTTCCTCTTCCTCTTCGTCAACGTCTTCTTCTTCATCATCTTCGTCTTGGTAATCTTCAGTCGACTCGCGGATTCTCAAGGACCGCTTGGCGGCGCTGTCGTGTTGGAGGGCAGCACCGACTGACTCCGTCTCAGACAGAGCGATCTGTCCCGGTTGAAGAGCGGAAGTGACGCTGCCACCAAGCAGGAAGGCGGTTGCGAGGACGACAACGGTGTACAGGCGCATTGCGAATAGACTTGGATAAGTACTTGGGTGCTGAAAAGGGAAATGCGAAGTCAGGAAACCCGTAAGATTCACGTGTCGTAGATCTCCGTTGCTGTCCCTGGATGTTGTAAGCCATTCTTTGCCTCTGAGTGCGAAGCCCCGCGATGGGGTCAAGTTGGCCCCATCGCATGACACAGAGACGGACTCTCTAAAACTAACCTACGCGCAACGCCTACAATGATGAAGATTGCGGCAATGCTGCTGCATCTCTAGAATGAGCTTTGGCTGCGTAATATAGCGAGATGTTTAACATGTTTTACGTTCGGTGTGAGCAAAATTCTACCGCCTTAATAATAAGTTCCAATGTTTTAAAGACAATGCTGAGAAAATCGTCATTGATGACATGTATTCTTCCAAGATGAGTAGCTAAAATGGGCGGCAAAACAACTTGAAAACTACAATATTTAAGAGACGAGTCTTTGCCAAGTTTGGCAACTCAGAACTGGTTGGCCGTTTCATTGACTGGGACTGACTTTCAGTCGCATATTAATTAAGCTGTTGCTAAGAAGTACAGACGACAAAAACGTCACAGGCGAAGTCCTTTGCAATTATTTTGCCGATCGTTTTAAGCTACAATCCCTCCAGCAGGATGCGACATCCCTGTGACTGCAAGTCGATGCGAGCGAGCGACACTGCGTATGCACAGGATAAACAAACAAGGACCATCGCTAGGACGATTACGCTGGATCCCTGACAAGCAAACATGCAGATCGAAAGCTCCAGTGCAGAGACTTACTTGATGAAATTTGGAGTGCGCGCCGGTACAGTACGCGCTGCCCACGAGCTCACACGTGCAGAGCCCCAGCAACTGCAGCGTGTTGTTGGACACCAGCGCGTTGCCAAGCAGGCGTGCTCCTACCTGGCCAAGTGGGTTCTTGGATAAGCTTACGCGTGGACAGAGAAATGAGGATAAAAGGACGCGATGTGCTTCCCAGACACATCACCACAGCAGGATCGAACCCAAGACGAAGCAACAGAACGCGGCAATCGCAGACCAACACCTCGCTCTGGTTGAGATAGCGATGCCGTGCGTTTCCGGCAGTACGATACTGCTACTACTACGAGCCTCGTAGTACGAGGCGCCCGCGAACGGATATTGCGGACGCTTGGAGCTGGCGTTGGCGATCAGGAACAGCAAATAGTACAGAAGTGGCAAGGCTGGGGATGAAGTCTTCCCTCTGAAACTCACCCAAACAGAGGGGCCTAACGACGAGTTTAAGTTTGGCAGAAGTATGTGACCAAGCTCCATCCAAAGAACCCGCGGGATGCGGTGGTCAGCACGACTTCGGTGACGGCTAGCGAAGAAAGATAAAGCGACGAAGCGTCCTGCCACCAAGATACAGGAAGTCCTGGTTGTGTGGTGGTACAAGATGTCCAAGTACGAGAAGCGCGATGTTATCAAGACCGCTTTCAACTTGGAAGGCGAGAAGTGCGCCCTCCCTCGTGGGGATCCTCATCGCCTACGTTAGAAGAAACGACGAATATTCTGGTGGTGACTCTATGAAGCCGGGTAGCTTGATGCACAGCACTCCGATAATTAGTCTGCACAGCTGCATTTCCAATTCTCTGGATTTTATCCAGAGTTGTTAGGGCGATACGACTGCAGGTGCAAATCACTATAAAAATGCATGCTCCGCTATCGGTTATAAACGAACGAATCATTAACGTATCGGAACGTACCCGTTACCTTTAATAAACGCTTGGATAATATATATTATCCAGCGGCGTGTTGCTTGAGTCTTTTTTTTTTTTTAATAACGTTGAGGTGTATTGAGTTACTGGCCTTGTGGCCGAACTTCTAATCCCCAATATGTTGCTTGAGTCTTTTAGGGTCGACATTCGCGTGACACGATCAATCGGATGTCGCTCGACCATGACTCCAAACCTGTGTTTGCAGTACATGTATGCTCAACGATGTTACATCGGTGTCGCCACGTTCAAGTCATGGAACGACACCCACGAACACCCACGACTTCAATTTAAAGTCGTGGGTGTCGTTGAAGTCTTCAAACGATGCTGGTCTCGTTTCAACGATTCTGCACGTGCTCGTTTCAACCATTCTGCACGTGCATACGTACCGTTACCGCCGCATTCAAGCCTTGACGTTGGCTGCATATTATTGCAAGATAGCTAAGGCATAGCGAATGACCAGTACATGCTTGCGTAAGGGCTTGAGATAATTGGCAGTGCATGCTTTCATGGTTTCGGAACTTGGTAGCAAACCCGAATAAAGACAAAAGCACCAACTGCTGAAATTTAAGGATACTTCGCTCTAACCAAAGAACCTCGGGCAGAACTGCTAGGCACATTTAAGATAAATTAATTTAGAATCAAACCTAGAATCAAAACTACATGATAAAATCCAGAGCTTCTCCGTGCTTTAGCACGGCTTAGTGCAATCCGCAGTTCGTAAGAACTGTCGTTAGCGCCCCTGTGGATGTTTGCATAATGCAACATAAGGTTTTATGTTGCATTATCGGTTATAGAGCTATTTGAAACAACAGCAATGACAGTTGTACAGCAATTGTATTACAGCATAGCAGCGCAAACTCCGATTCATTACAGCTCAAAGCATGCTTTCGGCGACAAGCTAACCAGGCAGCAGCAATAATAAAGAGGGGTGATCAGTCAATCAATGCAATTTGTGAGGAATCGACCGAATCGGGGCAGCAAGCGAGCAATAGATAGGTCGCCGTCGTATCGGCTAATTTAGCTTAGGCATGTGGCTGTCATTTCTAAGATACGATATCTGTATGTACATGTCGGACGCCACAGCAGCAGCAACAATAAACCGTCGTTGAGTAAAACAAAATTATCGCTATTGATTAATGGTCGTGGGTGCAGACTGTTTGTTGAGAGTCGACTTTGAAGTGAGGAGACCTAAACGGCATTGAAATCAGTATAGCAATTCTACAAAATCAAGTTGCAGGCGTCAAAATTAGACATATAGCCCGAATAACACCAGAAAAAAAACGCATTATACATTCAACATGAACCGAAGCTCAGTCTGGCAGCTTGAAGCTGTGCAGTATGTACCATGAATAGCAGTAACGCTAGTATGAGTTCATGCAATGAAATGAAATTTGCGGTTATGACGGCTGACTTTCCCCGTCGCCGCGCACTGCTGCAGCGCCGCATACGGGGACTCCCGCGGTAGCAGCCCAATAGTGTGAGTTCACGTAGATCCGCCACGGCAGATCGAGCAGCGTAAGCCATCCAGCAAATTGACGCATGATATCTCACAGTACAAAAATAAGAGCAAGCGCTAAAATTCAAGAACGTCTTCATGCAACGCTCTTGTGCGGCAAGCATAGCGCTACTACATAGTACTACTAGTAGTAAATAAAGTTTTTAACTGTGCAGGTTTTGGAATACAGTAAAAAAAGACCGAACTGCGAATACCGCGGGCCAAAGCCCGCAAACCAGTTCGTGCACGAAGATGCCACGTTGAGAAAATGCAAAATATAGAAAGAAGTGGCAGCGATGCATCGCTAACATTACTACTAGTAATTTACTAGATATGTGAGGCAAATGATGGCTAAGCAAAATGCACACACGTATTCCTTTGAAAATAGCGGCAGCTTGGATCTTTACCATGAGAAAAGCTAAGTCTTCAGTTCCCGATTTTCGCGATCGTAACATCAGCGTCCACCGTGCGCGTAAAACTGTCAACTGTGCCCGAATATATGTCGTTCTCGTCGAAGTGAGCGCTAAACCCAATCGACGCACTGGTGTCGTCGTCGTTGTTGAACGCAACGGTGTTGGACTCAAGTAATTTGTCATTCTTTCGCTGGTCGATCAGCACACCTTGCCTCTGCGGACCCACGTACGCGTTCAGGTTCACAGTATAGTACCTGGCCACGAAAAAACGAATCCCCGATCGGTCTTCCGTCAGCGCGAAGTCATCAGCCTCGATGGGATCCCACAGAAACGTATCTTCGTTGTTCACTTTGTACGAGTCTGCAGCCACATAAACCACTTCCGCCTTTTCCAACGTTTCAAGGCGCATTTTCATCGCCGCGAGCACGTCCTCAGTATCTTGAAGTCTTGATTCGAGTTGTCAATCCGCTCAAGCGACACAGGTGCGAGTTGAAACACGAACTTCGCACCCCACGCGCATTGTTGGACCTTGATCTTCACGGACAGTTCCAGCTGCAGTCCACCATCCACTGCAGATAACTTACGCCGGGTCTTGTTGGCGTTCTCGTCGGTTAGGCTCGCACTGTTGGAATCTCCGTCGGTATCCACCAAATAGTCCAAGGCTTCCATGAAAATCTGTTTGAGTACATGTTCATAACGGAGTGAGTTTTTTTTGCCTCATTCTTTTCCCTTACTTACGGCGTACCTAGACGTAGTTTGCCACAGTCGCATCTCCCATCCGGTTCGTGCTCGTCAAATAGACGTCCTCAGCCAAGTAGCCCGTGCGCCTGCCACCAAATCATTGCGCAAAACTATTATGAACAACTTTACGGAGGAACAACCGCAGATTTCCTTGCCGACTTACCACTGCTGCTTGGTTCTCTGGTCCTAGAGAGATATGCTGATTTTACCGGCCTTGCATGAAATAATGTAGCGGTAGGCAGGGCTGGGAGGGGCAGCGAACACCGTCACCCCACGTTCCACAAGCTCATCCGGCATCGCTCTTCGTGCTGAAATTCCTTGGTCTAGGGTAAAAGGAACAACGCATCAGTCCATTGAATGAATATGTTAAAGTCTTGTGCACTTCTGTCTGTCTATCTTACTCGTCGACTTGCGCAAAATGGAAAATGGAGTTCGGGCAGATGGTAAAACCTCGTTGGGATCATCTGTAGGTACAGATCTGATATTGGATCAGACTAACTTACTCTGACAGTAATCAGTAGGTCAAACCAGCATGATGCAGTAGAATAGTAAGGTAAGCCGACGTGTATTAATCTCTCCCGGTAAGATCTTGTTATCACTAAGCTACCTGTTTCTTCGTGAACACTTTACCCGGCCAAGGCTTCTCTTTTAAAGCTCTTGCACAGCTTCTCCGTCCTCCTCATCCGACGAGCTGTCCAACGGCAGCTCGGTAACCGCAGGCGTGTCGTCGTCCGAGTCATCGGGGATGTCGTCCGGTAGATCAACGGGTACGGGCAGCTGAATACGTTCGCGTGTAGTACGGCGCGCGCGCCCGCGTGGAACGTCAGCCAGACGCTGAATGTATTCAGCTGAAAGTGTCTTGATGACACCCACGAAAGTCGCCATACTAGGGCGAGGCTTCGGAAACCGGTCGTTGAGCTCACGGTTAAACCTCTCTAGAGGGTTGTTCGTGCGCGCTACCAGCTCGTTGTTCAGGCCGGCCACGTTCCACACGCTCACGTCGTACTGCTCCAGCCACGTCCGTTGAAAATAACCCCAAAATCCTCGCCATTTAGCTTTAGAGTACGCAATTCCAGCGACGTCGCAGCGCTGTCTGATCTCGCGTTTAACCCACTTGATGCATCGCTCAATCAAGCTGTGGTCAACCACCGTTAGCATGTCGAGGACCCCACGGGTCATCGCAATGCCGCATTCTTCCTCCGGTATCAGGAACCGCTTCATCGCACGCCTGAGCGCCTGCTTCAGGTGAAACAGACACCCAATAACGATTGCGTTGGTGAACTGAGTCTGCACGGCATCAATTAAGGCGCTCTCGAAGTCGCACACGACTTCCGCCGGCTCAAGCTGTTGGTGAGTGCTTTGCGCGACGAAATGCACCATGTCCCAGAAAGAATCGCCACTGCGAGAAGTGCTCAATACATAGTAGACTGGTACATATAGTCCAGACGCTCGGTCAGTGCACCATAAAGATGACACATTGCTTGTACCCAGGGGGTACACAGCGAAATGTACCATCGACAAAAATGGTAGTCCCGTTGTAGCGAAGTAGGTTGATGAGGGAGGGGTGTGCCCAGCCAATGAGTCGGGTAGGCTTGCTGAGGTTCTCGCGGTTCACCGTGACGTAATGAAACTGGAAGAAGGAGACAGCTTAGTTCAGCACCGTTGAAAGTGGCGGAATTTCAATGGCCCCGTGCACGTCTCCGCTAAAGTGCTGGCTCCTTGCTTGGTACACACGGCGAAGCACTTGAGGCTCAGATAGCCCGCGGACGACATGCTCGTTGTCAGCTCCGTAAAACTCGCTCCGCACAGCTTCCCATATGCGACGTGCAGGAAGCGCGACTTGCCAGGGTGTCGACTCTGTCCTTCATAGCACTGGAGACGTCGACGAGGCTCGTGCCAGCAGCATCGACATTGCGGCAAGTGTGGGGGCGGCCAGCGGTGTACCCCATGGTGCCAATGAAGAACGCCATCGTCCCGGGACAGCCCTGGCGCCAATGGCTGCAGCGGTAGGAGATTTCCTGGAGGATGCCCAAGCACGTATATACTTATAGCCGCGGAAGTAGCACGTGCTGACCTCTTGCCGCACTGAACCCCTTGTTTGGCCGGGTATGGCGCTGCCCAGAAAGCCGACGTTGCCTGGAGGTCCTGCAGTGCCCGGGAGAGACTGCGCTGGCGTCTGCATGTTACCAAATGAACCCTCGCCGATACAAGCGCTTCGCCGGCCAAGGCTCCGCGTGGCCTACGTGCTACCGTGCATTTTCAGATCTCAAAGCCGGTCCGCGCAAAAATGTCATATGTTCCAAAAGCAGATCTGTACCGTATATGACCCCTTCTGGAGGTTACCGGGCAGAATGCTCCCCGCAAGTCGCTTCATTTCAGCTTCTACATTTCAATCAACTTTCCAGTCAAAAACAGAGATGAAAGATACTGCCGCTGACATTTGAATTAAAAAAACCACAATACTTCCGCAGTAAGGGAGATCTCGATCTGCGTAGTGATAGCCCTTACAGTCTTCGTAAGAGACGAGGTCAAACCTTAGTTCCCAATTTTGGAGATTTAGGCATTAATTTTGCGTGCAGCAACGCTCACCCAACCTTCGACATCGTACTGGAGTTCGTGGAGTTCTCTGCTGGTTGAACCCGTTGGGCCCTGTGGCTATTGAGCCACTGGACTCAAGTGCTCTTGTGGCAAAGGGGGCAACTTGATGCGGCATCGTTGCTGCTGCACCATTCCGTCCACGTTTCGATGCAGCCGCGATGGAAGCTGTGACCTCACTGCGCTCTACTGACTGCATTTCGCTCTGTTGAGCCAAATGTTGACCAGCAGATGGAGCATACTGTGCTCTTGCGAACGGCAACGGACCTACTGCATGCAGGAATCTTCGCTGCAATAGCAACTCGGCGCGATTTAGCCACAATGAGGAGGCTATCCCACTCCAGCCTGATCCGTATCGAAGCGATGGTACTTCTCGCCACTGGCATTTCTCCACCATCGTCCGACAGTTTACCGTCGAATTTCCACACGCATCGATGGAAGCCGCACGTGACCGGCTTGAAATCCTTTTCACAATTTGGGCACGGGACGCGATGATCTCGCATGAGGTTGAAGGAGTCAAAGCCAAACTGATGGATGACCATGTTCCCAAAAGCTTCGCAGTCGTCGTTTTCACATTCGCCCTCGAGGTTGAGTCCTTCTGCGCACGTACGCCAGTCCGGGGCCTTGCTGTCCAGTTGAAGCTCAACCAGCCACGTGTCTTCATAGTAGACGTCGGCAAACTTGAGTCCTGGGCCCACATCGCCTCTAAGCTTGAGGATCAATTGCAGCGTGCACTCTGTCTTGACCCCGTGGTCCGCTAGACTGCGGCCATCTTCGAGCTGCCTCCCGTTCAGAACGAGTCGTTGCTGTTCATTGGGGATTCCCTCGCGGAAGCGAATCTCGTCCCGAATGTCGGCGACATCTTCGGTGGCAGGATACAACAGTGAAAACCTCCTACCCGTCAGCGTCTTGACAGTGACAGTCACGAGTCTTGGACTGAATAGTGTCTCGGCGATGAGGCCTGGTGGCCCCCCCCATGAGATTTGGAATAATGGCGTCGACAGCGCGATCGCGGGACAACTCAGTTCCATAGAGCAGAATGTACTGGACGAAGCGTGGCGCCCCCTTCGCGCGGAACTTTGTGTTCAGGGCATCAATGAGATCTTGGACGTGCGCTTTCCGTGGTAGGTCGGTGGACTGCACCTCGACGACGCCTTGAAGGCCCTTCTCGAACCGGTCAGTCCATGGGACAGCGAGGGCGAATCCCGCCATGGTCCGCAGTGATTTACGTCCAGGGGGATTGGTAAACCGATCAACAGCAGGAAGCTTGCCACGATACGGGAAGCTTAGTGCAATATTTTGACAAGCGAAATATGACGAAAAACCGGCGTATCCGAAAATTGAACCGATGACTCTCCAGCGCTGCCTCTACCCAAAGTCCACAGCTCGATTCACGTGCATCTGCTGTAGCACCTCAGTTCCCGACAGAGAATACCGACAATTTGTCGTTCTCGTTAAAGTGAGCGCCCCACGCCAACAACGTAGGCGCTGCACTGCTATCGAGTAATTCATCGCTGTCTCGTAGCTCGATTGTTGCACGTCCCGCTTGCGGGCATCATGAGGATAGCGAGAAACAGATCTCCGATCCGTCACCCGACAGGCACTAGCGTTAGTTTCGAACGAGTTCCATAGTTTTGAAGCAGATTAGTGAAACTTGACCATCACTGATAGCTCGAGTTTCGTGACGTTCCGGGTCGTAGAGTGTCCGTCCACCAATATCCATGGATCGCCCTGCAAGCATGCCCAGTCACAGTTTGTATCTATCTTGTGCTTCGGGAACATTCCCAGTCCTGTTCGTGATCTTCAAGAAGTCGTCTTCGGTCATGTAGCCCAGCAAAACAAAACTCCTCTAGACGGTAATAGTATTTGCAATATCAGTCTCGGATCACTGCAAACCAACCACTGTTTCTTATTGCTTTCGTAGGTTTTCGAGCGAGATGCTGACTTAGCCAGCCTTACATGAGATAATGTAGCGATACGTCGGGCTAGGAAACTGGGAGAACACTATCGCACCACTTTTCGGCTCGCACGTCCGGGGGCACGAAAATTGTATTATGAATGCATTACGCACCACGCATTCCTCTGATAGCCTTCTTTCCAGAATTGCTGCGGTACAGGAGTGATTCAACGAGTCTAAATGCTTCAGCACCCGATTTTCGCGATCGTAATGTCAGCCTGGATTTCGCGTAGTCATCAACCGCAACGACCGAGGACTTGTCATGTTTGTCGAAGGGAGCGATGAATCCAATTGACGCACTTGTTCTCTCGTCACCGTTGAACGACACAACACTGCACTCGAGTTGTTCATCATTCCTTCGTTGCTCGATGGTTGCACCTCCCACTCGCGGAGTCAAGTACTCACAGCATACAACCCAGGCACCAGAAAGCGAATGGCCGTTCGGTCACGTGTCAACTCAAAGGCTCCCTCGAGCCGCACTCAGACTTTCCTGCTCGGTTCAGTTCGTCCGACATTGCGTATAGATACACCCTCTCGGCCTTCCCCATTTCTTCAAGGCGCGTTTTTGTCGTTTCCAGCTCATTCTCAGCGTCCCGAAGCCTTGACTCGAGCACGTCGATCCGCTCAAGGGAAACAGGTGCAAGCTTGAACACAAACTTTGCCGACCAAGCAGATTGGCCAAACTTGATCTTCGAGGACAGCTCAAGCTGTAGCCCACCGTCCACTGAGACTAATTCCCGCCGGGTCTTGCTGGTGTCCAGCTTGGTATTTCCGGGTTCGCTATCAGTGCCCACGAGATAGTCTAAGGCCTCCTTGAACATCTTTCCAGCACGTCCACATTAACACTTGCTTCACTACATCAGAATTTTGGCGCACACTTACCGAGACGTAGTCGCCCACGGCAGCATTTCCAATGCGATTCATGTGCGTCAAGTACGCGTCCTCAGCCAAGTAGCCTGTGCGCCTACAACACATTACAACGCAAAACTTAAGTTAAACAGTCGACGGATCTGCGGAGATTCCATTGCCAGCTTACCACTGCTGCTTGGTTTTTTGGTCCTCGAGAGAGATGCTGATTTTACCAGCCTTGCTTGAAACCACGTAGCGATAGGTAGGGCTGCGTGGGGCAGCGAACACCGTCACGCCACTTTCCACCAGCTCGTCCGACATCATGGTTCTCTTTTTGGTGGTTTTTGGACTACGGTAAAAGTCAACAATAGATCAATCGGTTGAATGGATGTGTGCGGGTCTTCGCACTGTTGTTCGTCAACCTTGGGAAATTGGAGAATGCAGCTGAGAAAAATAGCACTCCTCGTCACTTGACTCCAACTTCCATCTTTCATGTCAATTCAATCAATCCAACTATCGACCAGCTAGCAAATTCTCAAATGCGAAGAAGAAAAACGCTTTGGCCTCAATCCATCGGCAAGTTAACTCTCCAACGTGTGGAAAAGTCCTCGAGGTCGGCAGGACTTCTTCTTCCCAGCAGAATCATCTCGCCCACTAGAATCGAGCCATTTTTCTCTCGAGATGCCACATCGTGAAGCATACAGACTCGTCAGCGAGTGATTCGGGCTCAAGCTTTCCGTTAGAGCGGTGGCTGCTGCGGAAGGTAAAGGATTATCACAGATACTCAACCAGCAGAGATGTTTGCTGTATTGCAGCAAGTACGTCAGCGCCAGGTAGCCTTGCTTGTCGTTGAAGAGGTTCAGCATGTTGTCCGAGATGTCGAGAGCTGTCAGCGTCTTGTGGAAGGACAACGCTCCCAGCAGAATGCGACACCCCTGCGGCTGCAAGTCGTTGCGCGCGACACTGAGCAAGCACAGCATAAGCAGTGCTTACTAAGCACACGATGGCCAACACCGGGACGATTACGGTCGATCCGTGACTGGCAAACACTCGCTCGACTTACTTGACGAAGCGAAGCTGCGACCGAACGCTCTGCATCCCCTTGGACAGCGCGAGGAGCCCATCGTGCTGCGGCCGGTACGCGCTGCCCACGAGCTCGCACGCGTCGAGCTCCAGCACGTGGAGCGTGTTGTTGGTCACCAGCGCGTTGCCCAGCAGGCGAGCGCCGTCCGGGCCGAGCGGGTTCTTGGATAAACTTGCGCGTAGACAGAACAGCGAAGATAAGGACGTGATGTGCCCAGCTACAGCTACATGAGGACAACAGGATTGAACTGTGAATTGAAGCAAACAGAACGCACCAGAGCCGCACCAGCGACGTGTTGAGCTGCGAGACGAAGTCCAGCAGACAACCCACGCGCTGCGGCGAGACGCTGCGGCTCGCCATGTCCAGAGCCATCTGCGCGCCTCCTTCCTTTCGATCCCGCAGCACGACGACGTACGCGCTCAAAGCGCGCAGCGGCCCAACGTCTCCGCTGCCGTCCGCTGCATCCCGTTGCTGTGCTGGACTCGCTCCATCTGCTTTCGCGTCGAGCGGCGTGTCGTCGCGCGCTTCTTGCTCCAGCTCCTGCTCTTCAACGCCGACGACGTCCTCCTGGACCGACCCAAGCGTCATCGGATCCCCTTACAGTGAACGGACACCAGGAAAACAATAGATCCAGCAACACCTGCACTTACCATGGCTGCTGTATAAAGTCCGTGACGGCCATCTGCATGGATAGATACCTAGTAGATTACCACGACGCTGGTCGCTGGCTACACAGTTCAAAAAGGGGGTTGTTTTGTTTGCTTGCGTTAATGCTAGCCCCCCGGGCGGGCGGCTAATAAGCTTAAGAGGAGACGAGAAGAAGAACACGCGCTTACTTCTTGCCCGTCTTCTTGATCTGGATGGCGAGCCCCAGCAGGAAGACGACGAGCATGCCCACGAGGTAGCCCCACCACTCCTTGGGGATGTCGTACACGTAGTCGCCGTCCTCGTCCTTGTAGCGGTAGTCCTTGATGTCCGTGAGCTTGGGGAAGTCGCCGATGAAGTAGCCGGCGCCGTTGATGAGCACGACGGCGCCCACAAAGGCCGTGGCCGCGATGATGGCCAGGCGCTCGATCTTGAAGGCCAGCAGGCCGCAGATGAGCCCCAGCACGATGGCCAGGATGAGCAGCCCCGTGCTGGGGTCGTTCGGGTAGATGCGGTAGCCGAAGGACGCGTTGACGACCGTGGCCAGGAAGACGCCACCGGCCGCGCCGATGAGGAAGATGCCGGCGTTGTAGATGGAGACCACGAGCGAGCCGAGGATGAGGCCGCCCACGAGGAAGGCGATCCAGAAGGCCGTGCGCTCGTACGAGTGGCCGTCCACGATGTACAGCACGATGGCGGACACGATGTAGCCGCCCACGAGGAAGCCGCACGCGAACATGGTGGGGCGCAGCAGCTTGTAGCCGCACGTGGTCATGGCGGCGCCGCCCACGATGGCGATCACGGCGGCGATGCTGGGCCCCACCTGGATCGTGTCCGAGATGTTCCCCACGACGCCGTCCGACGAGGAGGAGGACGCGGAGCTGGAGCCGCGCAGGGACGAGTCCTGCGCTGCGGCCATGGAGAAGTAGAGCGCCATCAGAGGCAGCAGCAGCTGCTGCAGCTTGGAGCACGTCATGGCGGGCTGGAGATTGGGAGTGGCTTGTGTCCTAGAGGGCAAATCCGGGAATGAGCCATGGCGCGGTGCCGAGAGCCTGTCCGACCAGCTGGCCCATGGGTACAGTTTCTGAGGTGGACATATTTTGGAGCGATGCGATTGGAGGATTATCTTTTTATGGTCGCGGAAATGTGATTTGGGCGCGGCAGTATCCGCTGCGAGAATCCGAGGATCTCCGTTTGACTCGCTCGCGCGTCTCACAGCAACGTGCACTTGGATTCTCGTTACTGAGGTGGACTTCGGTATTGTGTCGGGTGGGTAAGGAAGGAACCGTAGGCTGTCTGCTTGCAACCTGTTGGGCTTTCGCTCGCGTGCTGACGTGGTGGTACATGGTGTCGGGCAGCTGTAGCGTTCCACGTGGATAGAAGCAGGCTTCTAAGGCTGTGGCGTTGGCTTGATACGGTACACATTCCTGCTCTCCTCTGCCATCGCTGTGTGGACACGGTAGATTTTACCAACTTGCTGCACGAATGATAACATGGCTACACTTGATGACCACTTCAATTTGGTCCGTCCGTACATTTGCGCTGACTCTCACTTCAACATGCCTCGTTTCCGAGTCTTATTCGCATTGTCTTTTTTTTCCTTTTGTGCCTCCCCGCATACAATACACGTCATTCACACATCGTACAATTGCAGTTCTATCGCCTGCCGCTAATAGCAGCAGCCGTTGGGCTAAGCTCCGTGAGCGTGGCCGCTCCGATCGGTGCCAGGTTGAGGTCGCCCGCCTCGATCTCGAACTCGCTCAAATTGGTCTCGTTCGTCATGTAGGCGTCACTGAACTTGCGCCACCCAAAGGGGCGTCGGCGCTTGCGGGTCCGGTTAGGGTCCCTGAGACTCTCGACTACGACCTCGTACAGCTTCAACGTGCGGGGCGCCCACCTCAGCGTCTGCATGATGTCGTCCAGAGGCACGAAACACCAGCGCGCACAGCGGTACAGCCTCGTCACATCCTCGACGCGACCGCTGTATGGTCGTGGCAGCTGAGCGTCGCCCCCGAGGTGGTAAACGTCAAGGCCGAACACCATCTTGTTCAAGCAGCGTAGAAGCGTCCGCTCGCCTTCTGGGATCCGAAGGCGATCGCTCCGAAGCACCAGCTCTAGCGTATCGATAGGCAGCCGCTGCATCCCCGATACGACCAGGATGTCGGCCACCTCCGGAGTCACGTTGTTCGGCGCGCTGCAGAAGAGTGTCGTCTGGAGCAATTGATGGTACAAACTGCAGATCGGGTCGCCCCATATGAACAGCTTGCCGCTCACGGTACACACTGTGCGGCGGTAGTAGTTATGCACGGGGTCCTCGTAGTGCACCCAGCCTTCGTCCTTTGGCTTGGTTGTTTCCACTGAAGGCGGCAGCGACTGCGGCCACACGAGCGGCTTCCACACGCAATACTGGTGGCGGCAATGCTGGTACTCGATTCGCGTCTCCTCCGTTACAACGCCCCCTCCTCGATCCACTGGCTGGTACTTGACGATCACTTGGCCTCGAATCCAGAATTCTGGGTCACGGCCTAGCGCTTCAGAGTCTAGCACCAACTCCGAGTCTTCCGAGAAGAAGTTGGGAGACGTGCGACGAATGATACGCCACAACAAAGGTGTAGGCCCTCGAGCGTTGATGCAGGCTTGCAAAACAAATTCTCCAAACTCGAACAGTGTCACATGAAGTGGCACCGACTCTGAGCTGGGCGTGTTGGTGAAGCACTCGACCCGAGATAACTCCACGTAAGGCTCCCAGTCAGTAACAAAATGCTCGTGCATCTGCCTAAGAGACGGTAACTGAGGAGACTTGAACCACCGCTTGAGCCACTTGACCAGAGAGTCGAGCAAGTTCCTCCAAAAACCGACGAGGCGCACCTTGTTGATCAGTGCAACGACAACCCGCACAAGCATATCCTTGTCTTCTATAACTTGAATCCACACCGTCTTAAGTTTCTCCATCGCGTCCTGGTACTGCACCGGTTGCAGCTCGTACAGGAAGTCCACGAGCCGCTCACAAAGCTTCCTTCGCATTTCTTCTTTGCTCAACGACGCCGTGGCCACAAGCAGCTCCATCCACGTATCCAACGTAACCTGCCTAACAGCGACCCGTAGACACGAGTATATGATGCGGTCCCCCATTCCAACCCACAGCGCCAGCCTAAGTGTCTGCAGGGCGCTCGACTCGTGCAGCAGCCGCACCTTGAACGTGTACACATACTCGATCACCGGCACCATGGCAATAGCAGCAGCACCCAGCAGCTCCACATGCAGTACGTTTCGCGCTTTCTCAACCATCATGACGTCTTCCACTCCTGTAATGAATAAACTCCTGGCTCTCTTGCTTGTAAGACTTTGGTTCTCCACTTTGTTCTCGTTCTGCTGCCTCATCCCCGTCCGCCTTCTCTTTCTTGCTCGTGCATTCATATCAATATCCAATAGTTCCGGTTCCTCGTCGCTGCTGGAGTCTTCGTACTCAAACCTTGGTCGTTGGTGGGCTGGAGCCAGGCACTTCGTGTACATCAAAGGCTTGAGCAGCGTGATCGTCTGCACCGGACACGCCTCCGCCGCCTTGTTAGTGTCACTGGAGAGCAAATGAAGCTCAAATTGCGGTGTCTTTGTAGTAATGGTGGCGTTATCGTCTCCTTCTCGTAGCCTCTGCAGCTGCAGGTGGAGCCACGGCCAGCGCAGCCACAGAACGTCCTTGTGCAGGGGGAAGACGCAGCCGCCCACGTGCAACATGACGTCGGGCGGCGCCTGCGAGGCCTCTGGGAGTGCCGGCCGCTGCCATGAGGAAGAAAAAGAGGAGGAGGAGCAGACAGTGAGGGCTGTGGACGCCGAGAGGAGCTCGTGCGGGGCCTGCAGCTCCTCGCGCAGCAGCGCCATCGGCCTCCAACTGCAACTTTTGAATTCGGTACGGAAATGAGTAATTTGTACCCTTATTTAGGAGTCTTAAGGAAGTTGAAGTGAGTGCGATTCTGAGACCAAGTACCAACGGGTCCAACAACCAGAGAGTTCTGAGAACTCTTGACTCATACCTTTAGACAGTTGAAGAGGACTAGCAGTGCCCAAACCATTCTCCATTTTGCAGCAAGCTGCTCGGGCTAGCTAGCCAAGGTAGCGACCACAGGCGAAGAGAATTCAAGGAGGAAGAAGGAGAAGAAGATGACGAACAAGATGGTGGACAGCGGAGTGACGGCATTTGCCCCGCCGCCCAGCCCGACCTACCGCTACGAGATTTCAAGCAAGGCTGGTAAAATCAGCATCTTGCTCGAAGACCAAGTGAGCAGGCAGCAATGGTGAGCAGCCAACAGATTATGGGGCTTTGTAGCTCGTTGTATTTAACGTTTTTGGAATGCAGGTGCACGGATTACCTCCGTATAGACCACGAACGGTTTGCTTCCGAGTAGATACACTCGGAACTTCGCGAGTGCGTACTTCATGGCAAGGCGTTCCTTGTCATGTACCGGGTAGTTGCGCTCAGCTGGCTTCAGCTTACGCGATTGGTAGTAGACGACACGATCACGGCCCTCGTGATCGTGCTGCATCAACGCACATCCGATTACGAAGTCGGATGCGTCACACACAACGTGGAATGGGCGATCTTGGTCGGCCACCGCCAAGATCGGCGCCTCAGTCAAGCCCCGCTTGACTGCATCGAAGGCCTGCTGACACTCAGCAGTCCAAACCCACTCGGCGTCCTTCTTCAGGAGCTGTGACAGCGGGCGTATCATGCCCGCGTAGTCCTTCACGTACTTGCACAAGTACGTGGCCAAGCCAAGGAACTGCCGCAGTTCCTTGACGTTCGACGGCGTCGGCCACTCATTGATCACTCTGACCTTCTCAGGGTCAGAGCGGACGCCGTTCTTCCCGACGAGACACCCGAGCACGGGTATCTCGCTCGCCCCAAAGATGCACTTCTTCAGGTTCGCATAGAGCTTGTGCTTGTGCATGAGCGCAAGCAGCTTCCGGAGATGCACCTTGATGCACCTTGTGCATCTCAACATCGCTCATCCCGTCCGCAGCCCGGCTTTGGACGAACAAATCGTCAACGTAGCTCGGTGCGAAGTCGCGCACCGAGCTCAACAAGTGCGTCACGCACCTGTTGAAGGTCGCAGGGGCGTTCTTCAGACCCTGTGGCGCCACTAGCCACTCCCAGAGCATGCCGCTCGGCATGCTCACAGCCGTGAGAGGGATATCGCTCTCACGCATGAGGATCTGATAGAACCCATCGCGCAGATCAAGAGCACTGTAGATAGTGCTCCTGGCCATCGAATCGATGATTACATCTTTTCGCGGTATCGGTGTCTGCGCCGGTATCGTCGCATCGTTCAGCTTGTTGTACGCATGAACGATGCGCCAGCCGCCCTGTGGCTTCTTGACACAGAACGTCGGAGCACTGTGCGGGGATTTCGATTCCCGCACTTGTCCAGCTTTACGACGACTCTCAAAGAAGTCGTCGATCGCCTTGAACTGCTCTCGCGGCAGTGGCCACTGCCGCGTGACACAGTACTTCGTTCCCGGCACGAGATCAATCTCGTGCTGGATGCCCTTGTCCTGCGGAAGCTCCGCAGGGATCTCTTCCGGAAGCACGTCCGCGTACTCCCGTAAGATCTCGTAGTAGGGACTCGTCTTCAACGAATCCCAGCTCTGCTCTTCAAAGCGCTCCTTCTTCGTCTTCGCACTGAGAGTGTCCTCGCTCTCAGTGGTGCTCTCCATGAAGAACTGCCTCAGTTCTTTATTCTCGCTCTTCGTTCTCTCGGCGTCCGAGACAATGCATATTTGCTCGATGCGTCCATCGTGCAAGTCACGCGCGAAGCGCTTCTACCTCATAACTAGAAGCGAGGTCAACTCCGACGCATGCGTCGGAGGGTTGGCGAGCGTCATCTCCCTGTACCGGAACCCGGCACAGGTACGCGTCAAGACGTTCAACGTCTCAACGTCCGGCTTCTCAGCCTCCGTCTGCCCGGCAGACATTTCTTGTAGCGTCTCGGCCCCGGGCTGAGACTTGCGCAGCGATCTTCGCATGCGCCGTCTTCTTGTTTTGCGGAGTCCGGCTGCGCTTGATTCTTGACCTCGTCCAGGCCCAGCCGTGGACGGGTGTTCTTCTTCAGTATCGCCGGCGGGTTCATCCCGCGGGCTAGCGACTTCAAGCCCGGCTTGGTCGCCTGGCGCTTTGTCGTGCAGCCGGGCTGCGTCGTGCAGCCGGGCTGCACGACGGCATGCAAGGTTTTCCGGTGCGGACGGTTGCAAACGTCCACACCGTATGCAGCGTCGGCTCCCGGTGCCGACACGCCATCTTCACCTCGACGCCTGTTATTGGCGGAAACCCCCATTACGGAGGGTGCGTCGGCTCCCCGAGCCGACGAATCAAATTCAGCCAAGCCATCGACTCCCGGAGTCGACGGCGTTACGTCGCCTTGGCTCTTATTATTGGCCAGACCTGATCCAATCAGATTCGCGTCAGCCTCCACGGCTGAGGCGTGTGACTCGCCTGCGTCATCCGTGCCCCTTGAGGCCGGAGACTCTTCTTGATTCGCTGAAAAGCGGGTGTCAGTCTCCGAGGCCAACATATTTCCTTCATTAGCTGTCGGCGGCAACGCCGACGCTAGCTGCTCTTGCGCGCGTGTTCGCGCGCGCCCAGGGCGCTCCGGGACAGCGGCATTAGGCGCTGTCTCGAGTGGGGAGTCGCGCGCACCTGTCGGTGCGTGCGTAGCGGCAACAGGGCCATCGCTCACTGTTCCGCTGTCGCGACCGAAGCGCACGAGAGTGAGCTTCTCCCAATCGATGACCGGATCATGTCGTGCAAGCCACGGCATGCCCAATACAATGTCAAATTTATCGTCCAGATCCAGGACGATAAAGGTCTCGACAAACTCTCGATCTTGATACGTGAAGCGCACGCGTACCATGCGCTTCTCGGTCTTCACGACGGCACCCGTTGCCAGTCGTACCTCCAACATACTTCGAGGTAGATATAAATCCTCGAAGTCAAGCCTTGATAGACTTCGCAGTCGAACAAAGTTCTTCGACGCGCCAGAATCTACCAAAGCACGGAGAGAGCCGTTTGCTCTCATCGAGTTCACGTTCAGATTGACAAGGTCAGGCTTGTCATCTTGGTTCTTGCAGTGAGAATGAATCTCACTGGGGGCTGCAGTCCTCAGTGTCCCGTGTCCATGGTCGTCACGCGGAACTGCATTACCAGTAGGGCGCCCCGCGCCTACTGGCGTTCAGCGTATTTTGTGTGGTTGCGACGGTGCCCGGCACCGCCGCGATAGCCACCCTGCTGGTGCACGGGGGCCGTACACTCCCGAGCAAAGTGACCGACTCTACCGCAACGGTAGCATCGCACATTGTTTCCCTGCGACTGCAGGGGTCCAGCAGTTGCAGCACTCGAGAGGTCCATGGGTTCTGGGCCTCCCGTCCTTACTACCGGGCGTGGCTGTGGCCTCGGCACATGTGCATGCAGTTTAGCCTGCCGCAGGCTAAACTCCTCCTGCATTGCAAAAGTAATTGCAGCTTCGAGAGTACTCGGGTACTCACGGAAGAGGTAGGTCTTCACAGGCCCATCTCTCAGTCCCTTCATGAACGTGACGACCTTGGTCGCCTCGTCGATCGGATTGGTCACGATGTTCGAGACCAAGTACCGCGCTCTCTGAGCGTAAGCATGAACGTCATGCTTGCCCTGCTGCAGGTCGAGGAACTCCGCCCTCGACGGGAACTCGTTTTGCGGGGGCTTAAACGCTTGTCTGAGTTCCTCCTTGAAACCCTCGTACGTGCTAAAGCACGTAGGATCCGAGAGTCGGCGTCCATACGCCCAACTTCTAGCACGTCCGCTAAGACATGACATGGCGAACGCAACCTTCGACAACGGGTCGATGATACGTCGAGCCGCAATGGCAGTGTCGAGTTCGACAAGCCAACGGAGGAGAGGTTCACCCTCTCTTCCAACATAGTTACTCACATTGAGCTTTAGCGATTGCGCGCGTGGTGTTGTCCCGGACGACACCGCGGTAGTAGCAGCAATATCGCGTTGCTCCTTCAGAATGAACCCAGAGCAACACCGTGTTGATCTGTCGGCGTTAGCGTACGCAGCATCGTAGCTACCGCTGCCTCACCAATGACTGTTGACAGTCGTTGGAGGGCCTCCCACTCTGGATCCGACAGGTGGGGACAGCGTAGTGGAGCTTTCCATGGGCACCTCTGTATCCATGGGAAGGTTCTCAGCTCCGTGTTCGTGCGGTGACGTACGAACTCAGGTAGTCGGTCGTTGGACGGACTACAAAGTGCTACCAGGTGTAATGGGCCTACTTTGGCCCACTACTTTAGCTTACACGTGTGCGCGTGTATTTGAGGAAGCGTAGCTTAGTTTAAATTAGAGTTAATTATACTCGGGCCTCCGAGTATAGATTAATCTAAATAAACGATCCAAATAATGTTTTTGGGTTAAAATGAGAACTTCTATTTTTGTTTTATGTTTCTGACTTCCTCTAAATGTAATATTCTCAGATAGGAATCTACCAACGGCTGGTTGGCAGAATTCCAATCCTATTCACGTCGCTCATTGGCTAAAATATGCTGCTCTCAGCCAATAGGAATCCTAAGTCTCTATGGACCACCCGTCGTGGTGGTCGTAAATGTATGTAGCCTTTGGTGTGTCTACACCAAGGTCGAGAAAGTTTTTCGAACCTCTAACAGACGTCGTATCTGTTAAGAGTTACAAGTGACTGTAGCCACTTGTGCGTGTAACCCCATCAGTCCTGAACAAGCTGCTGGGGAAGCTCTGATACGTGTCATCTTGTTTCCCGCCAGCACGAGCCTTTTATCAGAATATCCAAGTCTTCGCAGTAGGATTCAAGTCCCCGAGGATGCGGCGTCAGATCCCTCCAGACGTGAGAGAAGATTTACGATGGTTTTCACTGGTTCTTACGATGGACACGAAGTTCAACTCCATTCCCATCGAACATTTTGCCAGGCTAGAGCCTCCGTCCCGGCACGTCTGGATGGATGCATCAGACACAGGTCTCTGTGTCCTAGAACCTCAGTTACGCCAGTGCATCCGCCTGAAATTCAGCGAGGCGGAAAAAGCGGCGTTCGCGACGTCAAAACAAGAAAACTCCATCAACGTACGGGAGCTAATGAGCGCGGTCCTGGCAATACTGCATTGGGGACCGGCATGGGCAGCGACTGGGCGAGATCGAACACACATCTGCATGTGGATCGACAACACCAGCGCGGTGGCATGGTTGGCAAAGCGATCGAGTCGTCATCCGACGGCTCGACTATACAATCGACTTATTTCAGTGTCAGAGTTCCGCTATTCCTTGACGTGCTCGGCAGCACACATCGCGGGGGAGGAGAACGTCATGGCCGACGCCGGGTTCAGGGCATGGTGCGAGGATCACCCTTTGTATGCCGTGTGGACTAACTTATCCGATGCATGGACACAGGTTCAAATCGTTCCGCCATTCGACAATCTCTCGAGTCTCTGGGCAACATTATCCGTGGACACGCTGTCGCTGGTTCAACCGCCGGAAAATACAACACGTACTGGTGGCAATGGTGTGATTTCTCCCACCAACTCGGGTGGTTGCCGTGGATCTCGCAACCCGAAAGGTCCGCCAACAGAAAGCTAGGATGCTTCGCAGTTTACTGCTGGAAGTACGGGTGGAACCGGAGGAAGAACGGCAATGCATTCGGCACGATCAAGCTTAAGCTCGCGAGCATCCGGTGGCTCCATCGTCGCTATATGGGAATCGACCTGACCACCTCACCCGACTTCACCATGCTGGTACAAGGAATCAAGCGCTTATCGCCTCCGGTTCACAAGCTCCAGCCAATTACCCCAGCGTTCCTGCGTCTCCTGTACTGTCGCCTCGACCTACATCAGCCGCACCAACAACTCCTGGGGCAGCGTGCTAATTGGCATCTTCTTCCTACTTCGGAGGTCGTATCTGCGAATCGGACAGCAGCGGCATTTTTACTGCCTCAAGCATCAAGATGTCTTCTTCTCCAATGCCGAAGGAAGACCAGTCAGTGAATCTCGCGCTACCGCAGTCACCATCGGTTTGGAAGGAGCGAAGAACGACCAGTTTGGGCGCGGTGCATGGCGCACGATGCACGCGTCTGGAGACCCGGTCATCTGTCCCGTGCTTGCCCTCAAAGCGATCAACACGGCTCGACGAAGTACAGCTAGCGACAGCCCCTGCACGCGGGCTGCACCAAAGGGGGGAGGGGGAGACGTGCGCTGGGTTGGAGCATCGGAAAGCCGCGGGCGCGAGGCCTCGGCAAATATGGGGACTATATTCGAACGAGCCGTCGCTTGACTGAACGGGGGTCACACCGCTTCTATCACTTTTAACCGCTCCAACTGCCGCTAGTGTTCGCGCCAACATGGCCCGGACGCCACGCTTGCAACGGGCGAAAGTTTACGGGCGAAAACACGTGTACCGCTTCATCATTCAAAGACGACGACAAAACTGCTATCGTACCAAACGAAGCCGATCGATCGGCGGTCCTCTCTCTCTTCATTCTTCAATTTACCAACTCGGTTCGACCCGACCCAAGTACCCACCACTCGCTCTACGCAGCAGCCACCGCCTCCACCATGAAGCTCCTGACAACCCTGGCCGTCGCTACTTTTCTTGGCGTTGCCTCCGCGACCGATGCGTCGGTTGAAACGGAGTCCAAGTCGGCCGTCCGCAATTTGCGAGTGCAGATATCCGAGCAAGTGCCTGCCATTCCGGCTCCTGCTGGAGGGCCCACCTCGCCTCGCCCTCAATCGCCGCTCCAACACGCGCGGCACCCGTCGTCGCCCAAGGCCGAGCCGCAGAGGGGGAACGGACACGAGTCCCGCCACGGTGGTGACCGTGGCCGTGACCATGGCGGTGACCATGAGACGAACCGACGCAGCCCGACGCCGCGTTCACCGCAACACGGTTCCCCTCAGCGACCTCGTTCGCCGAACCACGGCGACCATCTCTCCGTTGTGACGCCTGCGGGGCGGGGGCGCCATGACGGCCGCGACTACGAGAGCGACCGATGGAGTCCCACCACACCTCCACGTTCGCCTCGCCACTGGGGCCACCCGTCGAGCCCGATGTTCGCGCCTGCGAGACGCGGTCACCACGATGTTCATGACTATGGATACCACGATGGTCGCGACTACGAGGACTACGAATGGAGGACCACCGCGCCTCCGCGTGCTCCTCGCCACTGGGGCCACCCCGCCAGTCCGACGGCGGCACCGGCGTGGCACGGTCACCACGACGACCGCGACCATGAAAGCTACGGATATGGATACCACGATGGTCGCGACTACGAGGACTACGAATGGAGGACCACCGCGCCTCCGCGTGCTCCTCGCCACTGGGGCCACCCCGCCAGTCCGACGGCGGCACCGGCGTGGCACGGTCACCACGACGACCGCGACCATGAAAGCTACGGATATGGATACCACGATGGTCGCGACTACGAGGACTACGAATGGAGGACCACCGCGCCTCCGCGTGCTCCTCGCCACTGGGGCCACCCCGCCAGTCCGACGGCGGCACCGGCGTGGCACGGTCACCACGACGACCGCGACCATGAAAGCTACGGATGGGCTACGGTCGAACCGGGCCGTCGGCCTCGCAACTCCGAGCCGCGCTCGCCTCGCCACTCGTGACCGTCTTCGCCTCGTAAGTCGCAGCCGCGTTCGCCGCGTTGTGAGTCGCAGCCACGTTCGCCAGGCAACTTGCCGCAGCCCTGCTAACTTGCTGCATGCCCGCTGAGTGTTGCTGGCGGTGTCGTCGGGAAGCTGTCTAGCTTGCGCTCGGGGTTGAGCCGCTCATGTGCATATCATACGTGCCTTACACCTCTGCACAGACTTTTGAATTGCTACAACGTTTATTAAAATATACGTTGCTGTTTACTTTTCCAAGAATGGTGTAGGTTTTCGATGTTATTGTAGGCTGAATGGGGCCTTCACTTTAAATGCTGGTCATAGGACTTTACGTAGTGGTCTATCGCAACTTAAAATGCCCTGCTCTTCAAAACGTCTAATTTTTCATGTTACCTTTACACTACAGCCTACTCTTGCTGTTGTACTAAACTTTGTTCACTACATTCTCACTGTTTCAGCACGCTTAAGCTTGCACTGCGTTAAGGTATGAGATCGTCGCAAGCACATCCGGGTACGTGATCTCCGTGGGGGACTTCTGCCAGTCCAGGGGGAACGTCTCGAGCAAGAAGAAGGTCGCCACAAACGAGGTCTTCGAGTAGTTGCCGTTCTGCCCGCCCAGGCCTCGCAGCAGGAGAGCCGACTCGGCACTACCGATGAATGCCGGAGTAGAGCTGTAGTCAAACTCTGGGTTGTTTTTCCGTCCGTAGGCGACTTGAGTAGCGCGGATCTTGGCCACATCGGTCACGTCGATCTGACCGTCGACTCCATACGCAAGCATGTTGGTGACGAGGCCGAGCGACGCGAAGCCCTGGTCCTCACCGAAGTACACGTCTGAGCGCGACAGCGACGCGTCGTGCTCGATCGGGTCGTTGTGCTTGGCCAGGTCGTTCAGATCGAACTGCGCGGGGGTCAGGGTGCGGATAACAGCGGCCAGATCCTCGGCGATGTTGAACTTGTCCCGCACCGCCGCTAGCGCCATCTTTACCGTGATGTTCTTGCCGTCGCGCGGGAGGTATCCGTGGTTGGCCAGCGTGTTGATGGCGGGGCACGGCGAGCGTCGGAACGGCGCCAGATCACCGGGTCGTCCGGACGTCATGGAGAATGGAGGTCGGAAGTAAACGCCGACGGGTGTGGCAGCAGCCACAGCAAGCACGGCTTCTTCAGAGGCAGTGAAGGCGAGCGTGGCGAGCCACGAGACCATTGCAGCGCTAGAGATCACGGGAACTTGCTTGGAAAACTTGAGCTTGGTTGGTTGTCAGAGACTTGGCGAATGACACGGACTAAGGAGACCCTGGTTGCGTCGAGCAACCCCACCGTCTTATCCTCCACCAAGTCGTCCTCGGTCGTCATCCCCATTTAGGGACTCTGACTCACATGGGCAAAGATATCTAGGCACACAGACTCTATTGCGGTGGACACCGTGCACACAATTGAGCAGAGAGCGGTCGTCGCACCGACCAAAAGTTGAAGTTGTCTTTCATGTGAACCACACCACTATCAATGTCGTGCATCTTCTATTAGCCAATCACAGATGGAGCTGCTGGACGCCATCGAGGAGCTGGAGCGACCGGCGGACGCGCGCGCAGCTCGCCCCTCGGACCGCGCGCCAGCCCCGGACTTTGTGGAGCGTCAAGTGCTGTTCGTCCAGCAGAAGCTGCGCGACCTGTGGCGCCGGAAGCGCGGCGGCGGCGGCGCCGATATCCCCAGCGTCCCGTTCTATTGGGTCTTCTCCAAGCTGCTCCGCCTCATCGAGGAGTATCCGGACGGACTCACGGAGGCCGTCGTGGTCACGGAACTAGCCAAGTTACTCAAGCAGAAGGAGGCTGGAGATGCCGAGCAGGGGGTAGGGAACCAGAGCAAAAAGAGGAAAATCCGAGATGAAGAGGGCATGGGCGAGTTGCTGGCGGAAGGCGAGCAGGAGGCGCTGCAGGCCAAAGTCACGGGCTATGGGAACCACAGACTCAGTATCGAGATGGACAACGCGAAGGACGTCACGGCTCACATGTGAGAGTTGCAGCTTTTGAGGTTCTGTAGATATTCTGTTTGGGACGGGGCTCTGACCGAGTACTTAGGTATCTGCATCAGAGGTTTCGGACGTGCGTGGATTATTTGCATCGACATCTGCAGTATGAATCGAGTAGGTGAGAGGGGTATAAAGATGTTTGGAGAGCTGGGAGTGACAAGTACTGACTTGTTTCCTTTCGGTGGCGGTGTGGTGTAGCCACGTTTCCGTTTCAGAATGGGAGGGAGGTGGTGTTTACAAATGCGAAGCTGCTGGAGAGAAAGGAGATCGATACAGCGGGCGGCAGCAGCAGGGCCAGGTTTACGTTATTGCCGACTGGGTTTTTGACGGCTCGGCTGGATGAACAGCAACCGCTGGATAGGAGGTTGCTGGCTGACTCGATCAATTTGAGTCGAGTGGATCAGTTGGTCGGTGGAGCTCGAGACCCTGCCGTGATCCAGCAGTTGATGTTAAAAGCGAAGGTGCTAGATATTGGCGCGATCCGACCGTGCCAGACACCGCTGTACGTCCATCGCCAAGTGATTTTATTGGGGGAGATTGATCAGACCAACTTCCGGACCCCCGCGGGAGCAACACCGAACACGCAGCGTACGGTGATGCAAGGCCTGCACTTGATGGTTCTATGGGACGACCAAGTGGTGCTCAGTCGACTCTTTCGTGTTGGAGATACACTGTCCATATTTCACCCGTTCGTGCACGTATGCGACCAACATGACGCCGAGATTCAGCATATTTTGAACGAGTACTCGTCGCAGCAGCGGTTATGGTACTACTTCGAGTACGGCTGCGCTACCGTCCTGTTTTGCAAGCCGTGCCGAGTCTCCACCGCCAAGAGCCCAACCAACACATCGGCAATACAGCAAGGGCTTGCCGAGGTGGAGCGACCTTTATCCAGGCTGGAAGATATCAAGGCCGGTTGGCACAATTTCTCGTTGTATGCCCACGTACGAAGTATCAAGGTTTCACACGGCATTCCGCTGCTTGCAGCTTTCTTCTACGCGTACTACGATCCGAAGACCAACCAGCCGGGGACTGCGAATGCGAAGCTCCAGGCTCCACCGCCGCTGTATCGTACAATTGTGTCGAAGTATTATCTGGTCGTGATGTTGCAAGTATACATCGCGTCATCCAAGACGTTGCTGACGATCGAGGTGACGGGCGAGAACGCGTTGGCAGCGTTGCGACTTCTTCCCGGACAGAGCGTGCTCTTGGATGGTTTAGTGGCGATCGATATGAAGTCGAAGCCCGTGCGTTGTTTCCGGGAGCGAGGACTGATGCCGTCTGCATCGGCGCCTACTGCCCAGGTCGAGTTTGCGTTCCCCACGAAAGCTTATTCGAGGTCCTCGTCTTCTGGAGTTGTCGTGCTGTGCTCGGACTGGGAGAGTATCTTCGGAAAGCAGTCTCTCTTCAGCAACAGCTCCAAGCTCACAGTGGTGAACACGACTTCAGGGCTCATGAACACCGCGCTCGCTCGGTCCACCGCTGCGCATGGAGTCGCAGCTCAGGCGCTTACGATGGCCGAAATGACGGTGACTGCTGCCGGCTGGCTGATTCCGAGCGACGGCCTCGGTGTGCAAGGCTTCACGATCGACACGACCTGCGAGAAGGGCCACTCCACGACGTGCGCGCACAGGTCGTGCTATCGTCCGCTAGAGATGGTGACGATGCAGCACGCCGCGGCCGGACCGCCCAAGTGGAAGTGCGCGTTCTGCCAGGAAGTCTTCTTCGGGATGGAGGACACCGTGCAGACGTACCGCCGTTTGGCCGTGACGCTCGAGAACGGGCGGTCCCAGACGGCCCCGCTACTTGTAGTGTGCCAAGGCGAGATCGTGGAGAGCCTGCTGGGTGTCCCCGCTGAGGACTACGCCCAGCTGCCTCTAGCAGAGAAGCGCAGGACTCTGGAGCGCGTGACGGGCAACGCGTTCCGCCTGGTGCTGTCTCGGTGCGAGCCGCTCCACGTGTCGACGCCCACGACGCCATCCCCGTCTTCACCTCATTGCATCGAAACTGCGTCCGTCGTCCACACCCGCATGGACATCGTGAAGCCCGTGGACGCGTTCGCCGCCGCGCACCACCTACTTGCCGCACTGCAACAGAGACTGTAGCCATCTTCAACAACATCATCATGGCTACAGTCACCTTCCCAGCATCGTTGTTATCCTAATACGCACAAGAGAAAGTCCGAATCAACTCAGAAAAGAGGTACACTGTACCACGTTTCCACCAAACTGCTCCTCTCCCCCTCCACAACGTCTTCAGCAGCGTCATACGCAGCTCCTCAGCTCCATGGCGTCTCCGTCCGCCGCCGCGCGCAAGCAGCAGGAGGCTCTGCGCCGGGTCCTGACACGCCAGTCGCTGCGCCTCTGGGCCTCCAAGGCCGCGCAGGAGCGCGCGCACCTGGCCGAGAGCCTGCTGCAGCTCTTCTCGTCGGGCCAGGCGTCCAGCGGCGCCGCAGTCGCCCCCGCGGACCTGGCGGCGCGCCCCATCACGCGCCGCCCGGGCGTGGAGGAGGTCAAGGGCTGCGTGCTCTCCAGCGTGTACCCATGTCTGCCGCCGCAGTGCGACGCGCTGCGCGGGGAGATCTGGCAGGTGCTGCTCAACGTGTACAAGCGCAACCAGCACGGCTCGGCCGCGCAGGAGTTCGACCGCATGCTGCAGCGGCTGGGCAAGCTGCCGCGCGACCCGCTGCTGGTCGACGAGTGCGGCGACGTGGCCGAGATCCTCGAGCCGGCGGACGCCAAGGCGCGCGAGCGCGTGCAGCAAGAGCTCGAGGTGCTGCTCATGTGGTTCCTGACCACCAAGAGCGTGGCCTACTCGACGGGCATGGCGCGCGTGGTGGCGCCCTTCTTCCTGCTCAAGATGCCGCTGCCCACCATCTACGACTGCTTCTACCAGTACTGCGCGCACTTCCTGCCACACTTTGTGGTGGCCGACAGCCTCTTCGCGGACGCGCCGGGGCTCGGCGCCGTGGGTGGCGGCTTGGGCAGCAACAGAGGCAGCAGCAGCAGCATGGACGAGGCCTACGCCGGCTCGTCTGGCCTGCAGAGATCCAGCTCCATGGACTCGACGTCGTCTCTGGCCGAGGAGAGCAAGCGGCGTGCGGACGAGGAGGAGGCGCAGGCGCTGCGGCGCGAGCGCCAGCAGTTGGTGGAGCAGTTGCTCAGCTACCACGCGCCGCAGCTCGCGCACTGCCTGAACCAGTGGTGCGGCAACGAGTGGAGCGTGGCTGGCAAGCTCTTTGCCGCGGACTTCCTGCTGGGACACCTGTACCAAGTGGTCCCGCCCGCCGCCTTTGTGTTCGTCATGGACCAGTACCTCCTGACTGGGGACTCGCTGTTCGGCCTGTTCTTCGTGATCGCGGCGCTGATTCAAAGGGAGGAAGAGCTCACGAGCTGCGACTCGACGGAAAAGGTGCAGGACCAGGTCCGATCCACGTTTGCCGCCAAGGCGTTTGAGGACGAGGAGAATGTGCGCTACCTGTGTCTGCTGGCCTCACGACTGCGTAGCAAGACGCCCAAGACGTACAAGTGCTCGCAGCGTGAGGCCACGGCCGACATCAGGTGCTCGTCGCGTCAGGCGATCGAGATTGCCTACGGATCGGGCGCTGGTATGGCGGCTAAGAAAGCACGGGCGCAGTCGAACAATGGCAGTTTGAGTGGCCCGCCCTCGTCGAGCAACAGTTTGAGCGGCCCACCGAGCTCAGATCGGAAGTCCACAGCCGAAGCTGCGGTGGATATGTCTCAATGGGTGATGAAGGAGTCGCGCTCGATTGCGGGGAAGATCTTTTGGTACCATACCCAGACAGGAAAGACGCAGTGGGAGCACCCTGCGGAGAAGCACGACCCACCCTCTGCTTACTTCGCGTTGCCCATCAGCGTCGAGGAAGTGGGGCCGCAGCTCATGGGTGGTGGTGACAAGTCAAGCGATCAGCAGCAGACTGGGATGAGTAATCTCCGCTTCTTTGTGGTCGACTGCCGCGGTTTGCGCAGCTCCGAGGACCTCAAGAGCGGTCGCATTCCTGTGGCGTACACGCTGGACCCTTCGGTGTTCGACTCGCCGGAGCTGATCGCGAAGAGCATGGAAGCGTTCAACCCGATGAAGTCCCAAGTCCACGTGGTGCTGGTGGGTCATGGTGTCGGCATCCCACCGGAGCTTGTGACCTCGGAGGATGTCAAGACGAGTATTCGGGATGCCGTCCGTTTGGATACAGACTGCCTCAACCAAGCGGCCCTCTTCTTCCAGAAGCGCGGGTTCCGGTTTGTCAGTACGCTGGATGGTGGATACTCTTCGTGGCATGCGTTCATGCGCGATCGCGCTGGCTCCTCTCCTCAAGAGTTGCTGAATCACGTGGCGGATGAGTGCGTGTACTGCCGCTACGACACAATCCTGCGTACAGGAGAGGACCCGCTGAAGCAGAAATCCAAGCAAAAGAAGCCCCGACGAAAGAAGGCCATGCCCACGATGACTTCACTGCCTGTAAATGGTGGAGAGGGTGACGCGAGTATCGTCTCCACAAGCGAACTGAACCGCGCGAGCAGCACCAGCATCGGCAGCAACACAAGTGGTCCTACCACGGGGAGACGTCAATTGTCCCTTTCTCGAAGCTCAATTACGTCAATGCGAAGCAAGCTGTCGGAGGTTTCAATCCCGAAGAAGTGGGGCTGGAGGCGGCGGTCGTCCACAAATGCTAGTCAGCAGAACGACAGCGGGTCGTCTTCCGAGGCAGCCTCCGCGGAGGATGGAGGTAGTGATCACGGATCGTCCAATGAGGAGCTAGAGGAGAAGCATGATGAGGCCACGCACGAGATGTTGCGTGCCGCGCTGGAGGAGCCTGAGGATGTGACAGCCGACGCTGATGGGGCAGATGCTACGAAGGATTCCAAGTTTGTGGGCGTCTTCACGATAGACTATAGCGACGATGAAGACGAGGACAACAACGAGGAACTTACGACCGACAGCGGTGACACTGAAAGCGTATCCAAGAGCGTGGAGCACGAGACTGTTCCCGCGGTCGGCGCTGTGGTGGGCAGCGATGCGGACCCGACTGCGTCGGCATGATTGTCAACTGAAGGAGCAGAACGGAGTTTAAACAGAAAGTGGAAATTTTGGGTGTTTAGCGCTGAGTGGTCAGCTCGTGGACGAGAAGGAGGTGGATCGACCGTCTTTTATGGATGTTCAATAGCCATTAGCACCACCTCAGCATCAGCCAACAGGTGCACACATGTGCAAATCGATCAGTTGCGTTCAGGGATGGTAAACTGTCTTTTATTCATTGTTCTTATAGTATTGAAAAAGAAGATTGGTGCCAGAGGCCGATTTTCTTCTTTTTTCTTACTTATTGTGCTTTGCAATGATTTTGGCAATATGAGGCGAGATTTGCTGTATTTATAGCGACCACCTGCTAGATTTACGATAAATCGAGGTGCATAGTTGGGTGGAGGCCTAGAATTACGCTAAAAGTGCCACAATTCTGTCGGCTTTTATCCACAAGGACCTAGACACACGGCAATTATGTATAAGAGGTTGGATGTGCTGGGGATCATGGACGGTGGTGTACTGGGCCAATGCATGGCTGCTGACAGGCTCTCCCAAGTCGATATATATGAGGAGGTATGCATAGTTTTAGCAGGTCGTGTATCTTTTTTCACACATATTTAGGAGCAGGCTTTTCCATATTTAGCGTCTAAAATGGTCGGCAAAATCATTACAAAGCACAATAAGTATACTGTAGCCAATTTTCAAGCTGTTAGTTGATACGAGGGGAAAGGTCCAAAACGAGCTAGAAAGGAGCAGTAACTACGGTATAATACTTCGAAGTAGTTCATTTGTTGTCTATTCACGGAATTTTGAAGTCATAGGTCACTCCAACAAAGTGACGACTACACCCTTGTCATCCCTGCATGTCCAATATCAGGGATCGGAAAAATATATTGATCCAATACCAATACCGCCATATGCCAATACAATACGATATTGTACTGCATTTGTATTGCAATACGATATTGTGAGGGTACTACATATTGCAATAATAAATTGTCACGAAACAAGCAATGCTATATTGAAGGTGTATCTCAAGCCAATTCACGGTGTTCACTATGGCGGAGCGCTTGAAGCAGCGTTCGCGGCCCTGGCATCACGTATCGCAATGGCAACCGCTTTGCTCGTCCAAAGATCCCGGAAGAACATGATGTTCTCAAACATCCACGTGCTCATACGCTCACGATGGGCAGGCATCACGTACTTCGCGATGCTGAACAATCTCTCGACCGTCGTCGACGTGCCCAGCATGTAGCTGAGGTCTTGATACTCTGTGACTTGCTCCAGCCTCTGTCGTTTGCGCTCCTTGACTTCTTCGGCGTATGTTCGGGTTTTGCCCCAGTCAATGCTTCTACCACGCGTTTGTTGGGAGACCTCGAACATATGCCCAGTATTGCAATATTGTCTTGCAATACTGTATTGCAGGCGAGCAGCAGATTGCAATAAAGGACTGCGGAGAAACCAGCAATACCAATACTGTATTGTACTGTGTGGTGGATTGCAATCCTTACTGCAATGCTTACTAACGCTGAAAAATGCAGGCATATATATTTTTTCCAATCCCTGTCCAATATATTCAACAAAATGCCTGCTATATTTTCAGGTATGCTGCCGACTCTGTCTGCGTCGTATATCTATGTAAGAAAATTATCTGTACTAAAACAGTCCTAAATGTCCTAAAATATCCTAAAATTCGGCGAAATTTACCGAAATAGATTGCACTCTATGTCCTAAAAAGTTCCTAAAGGGCGTAATTTATGTTTGTCCTAATACCGTCCAAAAGAAATCCATCGGTTTTTAGGACGCCTTTTAGGATTATGTTTAGGTCATGTCCTAAAACCTTGGCTCTAGCAGTAAGGGTTTTCCTCAATTGATCCACACTGTGTGAATCACACACGTCCACCAGAGTGCTGAATGCGGGCGAGAGCGAGCGAATGCGAGCGCGAGCCTCACTCAGTGCATTCACGGATAGCCAACACCCGCCGATCAGACGGGGGCGTGTCTGCGCGATCGAGCGAGCGAACGCGAGCGCTGCAACCCGATTTTTTTTTCTAGACACCGCGCCTGGCCGAGCCGAGGCCTTAGCGTAAGGCACGAGGGGGTGGGGCAGGTAGCGAAGCGGCGCCCCCCCGAGCAAAGCGAGAGAAGGGCGGGCCCCCCGAAGTGCCGTCGCTAAGTCCGCAGGCGAGAGCGAACGCGAGAGTGTCCTGCCCACCTCAACATCAAGTAACTACTGTAATGGCAGAACAGCAAGAACAGTATAGTAAAATACACTCTATCTATATGTATTATAATAGAACGTAAATCTCCGGGGGAGTGTCCTAACTGTCCTAACTGTCCTAACGTTTGTCCTAATTAGGACTGTTAGGACAGCTATCTCAAATTACCGTTACCGTCATTTATGGGAGTATCATTCTCGTATTTACGTAAGTTTCATATGGGATTTCCTGTTAAAACGTAGGCGGATTGGCTTATGATTTCCGGAATTGGTGTATTCCCACCCCTTGGAGGACGACACATTGACTGAGGTCCACTAAGGGGCAGTTAGGATCGCATCCTTACGGGAAGGCGTAAGCGACGGTAGCCGACGATAAGGCGCCACGATGATTGGCCAAAATCACTTTAAGAACTAACGCTTCGTGCGATGATAGCTCGCAGAGCTCTGTCGCGGAGGTGAAGGCAATACGCGACGCATGTATCTCCAAAGAGACGAGAAAGAAGTACACCAGCAATATCAACGGCATCAAGAAGTGGATCAGAGAAGTGTATGCGCTGACGCTGGAGGATCGCAATACAGCTAAATTCTTCGATGCCGATGATGATCTAAACCTCACAGAGTTCACTCCAGCTTGCTTTGAGCAATTTTTGATGTACAAACGAAGTACAGCCAAATCGGCGACTCTAAGCGGCTATCGCAGCGCGATAAAGGATCTGTATCGATTAAAACGAGTAGCGCTGCCTGTGGAATACGGAGATGACATGAAGCAGTTTTTTTCTGGGTGCAAGCGACTCGAGGCCGAGCAAAACCAGTCTAGCTCTCCTAAACACTCGGGCAAGCAGCCGCTGACTTTTTCGTTGTACAAGGAACTGTGTTGGTCTACTCTTGAGCGCAACGATGGGGGGGGGGTCTCGCATCTCTTTTTAACTTCTCAGTGGAATCTCATGTGACGATCGGTATCTGTCCAAACCCTGCAGACGCAGCACTTTTTGGACAAAGATGACGCTGTTGGGGCGATATTTTTTAAGACCAAGACCAATCAGGAAGGTGCTGGCCCACGTGACCCCCGTCATCTTTACGCAAACCCGTTTTCGCCATCTACGTGTTGGGTGACAGCGTTGGCGATTTATTGGGCATGTAATCCGCGCGCGCAACCAGGGCCACTATTTCCGGGATCTGACCCAAAGCTTTGCTTCGGCAAGACATTAGGAAACCTCCTGAAAAAAGATGGAGTGGCTAAAACCTACGGGACGCACTCGGTGAGGAAAGTTGTGGCAACATTTGCCTGCGGAGGAAGTACTGGTGGTCCGTCCATTGTAAGTGTTTGTCTTCGGTGTGGGTGGTCTATGGGTGGAGTGCAAGACATATACTTTCGATATGCAGCTGCGGACGATCAATTTTTAGGGCGTGTTGTTGCTGGGCTTCCTGTGAATGACTCCAAGTTCGCCATCCTACCACCGCACTTCCGCAATAACTCGGACGACGAGATAAAGTCGTGTCTTGCAGCGATGTTTCCAGGACTCGTCGACGAATTGAACCTAAGTGATATTTTGAGGCTGTGTCTTGCTTCGCTTGTCCAGCACGCTGGTTTTTTAGTGAACCACTTGCCTACCAACCACCCCCTTCTGTCGACGTTTGTGTTCACAAACCCTACCGTTCTCAATAATCTGCGTTCGAAACTGGAGGTCGGAGAGTCAAGATGGATGGAGCCGTCGGGGATACCGCCTCATATTGGAGACGAATTAGTACACAATACACAGCGCGCTAATAGCTTACATACGTCCTACACTTACGAGGACACAGAAGCTCTGTTCAGCTCCCCAGCATATTGCTTTGCTTTGTGATCCGTCGATAGCAGACAATTCACAATTTTAACCAATAAGAGCGAACTCTCCAAGCAGGACTTACGTTTTCTCAAGTCAATTCATTTCGGTTTTCTTAGGACAGTTTAGGATATTTAGGACTGGTTTAGTACAGATTATCCGACACCATATCTATATCCAAAGTGAAGGCAACAGTGTTAGTGTAGCAACGTCAACTTCAACGGCGAAGCAAGTAGACAAAGTGGTAGGGACGTGGGTTAGGTAGGTATAATGCTCGCTGTAATTTGAAAACCCGAAAATCTTCTTTTATCTTCTTATATCCTTGAGAAAAAATCTTATTTTTGATGGGTTTTCTTTTAACATCCCTGGTTGCGTTAGGTTTGTGATGTGCGCTTATTATCGATGAGTTTGTAGTTGGATGAGGGGGGACAGTTTCCCGGAAAGCATTACTTCAGCAAGGTCTTCAGTAACATAACCAAACTTTGCAGTCCTGCGCCAAGCCACCATTGCTTCAGAACAATGATACCAACAGCCAACGCGGCCCAGAGTCTTTTTAGCTTTTAAAAGTGATCGGGATGGCCGTGCTGGCACGCAGATATCACGAGAATGCGTTGGATTGTTTAGTGATCACGGTAGATTTCATTCATGTTTCTGCATACGTACTCACGTCAATCTACTTTGGTGGTGACCTCGACAACAACAGAAACGAACAAAACCGTTTATACAGTCTGCATCTGCGCCGCGTTGATGTACGAGACCGTGGCGAGTACATCCGGGTACGTGATCGGCGTGGGGGACTTCCTCCAGTCCAACGGGAACGTCTCAAGCAAGAAGAAGGTTGACACGTACGAAGTCTTGGAGCAGTTTCCGTTCTCTCCACCCATTGCTCGAAGTAAGAGAGCGCCCTCGGCTTGGGCGATGAACGCGGGCGAGGCACTGAAGTCGAACTCCGGGTTGTACTGCGCGCCGTAGGCAACGCGATTGGCTTGAATCTTGGCCACATCATTCACATCGACCTTGCCGTCGAGGCCGTAGCTCAGTACGTCGTTGATGAGGCTGGGCGTCACGAAAGCCGGGTCCTCGCCGAAGTACGCGTCAGAGCGCGCCAGTGACGCGTCGTGCTCGATCGGGTCGTTGTGCTTGGAGAGGTCGTTGAGATCGAACCGCGCCGGGGTCAGCGTGCCGATGACGGCGGCCAGATCCTCGCCGATGTTGAACTTGTCCCGCACCGCCGCCAGCGCCATCTTCAGCGTGATGTTCTTGCCGTCACGCGGGAGGTGTCCGTGGTTGGCCAGAGTGTTCAGGCCAGGGCACGGCGACCGGCGGAACGCTGTTGTGGCACCCGGCCTTCCGGACGTCACGGATCGCGGCGGTCGGTAGTACACACCGGCCGGCATCGCTGCGGCCGTGGTGAGTGCAAGATTTTCGGCGATGCTATAGCTCTCGGCGAACCCGAAGGCCGAAGCGACGAAGGAGAGAGTGGCGATCCATGAGACCATGTTGCGTTGAAGCTTGATAGAGCTCTTTCTGGTTGTTCCTTGCTTTTGACTTGCTGTGCCAATTGTAGAATGAGGAAAGCGAGGGCCGAGTACTAAACTGAGTCAAGCAGATCTGCTGGTGCGGCAAGTAGTGCGCTAGTAATGACCTACTTGGTTCGCTGCATTCATTCTACTAGTTTTATAAGGTAGAATAAGACAGCACCAGGTTGGCCGAAATCGTCCTCAGTCTGCCAGCCCAGTTCGTGTCAGGTGGCCTAAGATACTGACTGCAGCCTATAGGGGGCTCGCTTGCAGCGAACAGAGAGATCGAGGCTGGGAATACTTCAACTTACTGCTTGTAACGCTGTTGCAGGCAGGTGTCGCCGACAATGTTCCGCTAGTACCAGGAATTGGCTCAGCTTCCTGATAGCCTGATCCAGAGAGAACCATCCTTTGAGCCGCCCCAGCATACGTCGCATCACCAGCTGCGAAAGACCCATAACCAGTGGCTGTTGGTCACGGCATCGCAAAGAAGTACATGCTGGTATCACTGCTCCGAAGCTTGGTGAGATCAGGTTCGTACGGGACTACTTCGCGATCACGTGACCACGCCAGTGATGGTTTCCCGACAAGCTACCTGTATCACACGGCCGCTGCTGTCACGTGAAGCGAGATGCCCTGTCATTCACGGCGGTGGTCCTCGCACCTCTTGGTCGATTATTGGGGCGTGTCTACGCCCTATAGAGATTTGGTGGTGGGCTTAGGTCACCTGACGAACTTGGGGTTCGAGGACGGTACGAGCCAAGCTGCTGTGCAGTAGATAGAATAAGATTATGGGGTAGCCCAAGCAGCTCAAGAAGGGATTTACAGTTTGCCCACAGCTATGGCTGGTAGTTAGCTTTCGATTGACTTCATTTACCATTCGCTGCCCCTGAACCCCCCGGGTAACTCGAAACAAGATGGTCTCCTGGTTCACCGCCCTTTCGTACGTTGCCACTGCCTTCGGAGTAGCTCAAGGATACACCACCGCTGAAGATGCTGCGCTCGCCGCTGCTGCAGCTAAACCCGTTGGTGAGTACTACAGGCCACCGGTGTCCATGACGTCCGGAAGATCGGGCACAAACACTCCATTCCGGCGCGGTCCATGCCCTGGCCTGAACACACTCGCCAATCACGGATACCTCCCGCGTGACGGCAAGAACGTCACGATCAAGATGGTGATGGCGGCTATGAAGGACAAGTTTAACATCGCCGACGACCTGGCCACCGTAATGGGCACCCTGTCGCCTGCTGTGTTCGACCTGAACGACCTCTCCAAGCACAATAATCCTATCGAACACGACGCCTCAATGGCGTGCTCGGACTCGTACTTCGGCGAGGACCCGGCTTTCGTCACCCCCAGCATCATCAACGACGTATTGAGGTACGGGGGTGACGGCCTGATCGACATTAACGATGTAGCCAAGATCCAATCGTCTCGTATTGCGTATGGCCAGCAGTACAACCCGCAGTTTGACTTCAGCGCCACACCGGCATTCATCGCTCGGGCCGAGGCGGCGCTCTTCCTACGAGCTTTCGGCGGACAGAATGGGAACTCGTGCAAGGCCTCCTTCGCGTCGACCTTCTTCTTGCAGGAGCAGTTCCCCACGGACTGGACGAAGTCCCCCACGCCGATCAAGTTCGCGGATGCCCTCGCAACGATCTCGTACCTCGCCATAGCGGAGTTGTGATCTGCAATCTAGTAGTGTAGTGGCTGTCGTATCCAGAGCAGGCTGCAGATAACCCAAGTGTAAATGTATGAACGTGTGTTTCTGTTCTTGTGAATACCCGTCGTGGCCGCAAAGTCAACTCATCGAGCCGGCCTTCTGTCTTGGTGCAATGGATATACATGTACTGTAGTTGAGTTCCTTCCAGGGGATATCAACCAATGGCTCGCCACACACCCGGACGAGGACAACGAGGATGGCGCCGCTGACCGGCTCACATATCATGGCATGTCCGCCCGACATGCATGTGCTAGCACCAGTACCAGTAGCTAGCAAGCTGGCAGAAGATGTGTAGGCTTCTGCCGGACGGACATTGGCTGAGTCGTTAGCTCGACTAAATGACTGTAATGTAGCTCACCAAAAACTAAACTAACGATATGCATGTACTGTACCTGTTCGGGTTGCCCCACATTTGAATGGCGCCAATTGAATGAAGTGGACCTATGTGTGTCGTTGGAGGGAGGGAAGGCACGAATAGACACCTACTTTACTGCGCGCTACTGTACGATGTTCCTGTTTCCGCAGTGGTTGTCAAGTGTTCCCACGTTGTGGTGGTCCAACGTACTACTCACGGCACCATAGTCTCGAATCATCATGCGCGACTGGAGAAGTGGACAAAGCACCTTGGACAGGATGGTGAGCGTATCTTTTGGAAGGATTGGATTCCTTTCGCGTTGACGGTGGAGCGTCGAGCGCCCCAGACTCTATCATAGGGGCCAGACGCCTTGGCGAAGTTCTTCTCGAGAGCCGATAAGAGAGGTCAGTATTTGATTGCTAAACCAATACATGTACAAAAACCAATACAGTACTGTATGCTCGTCGTTCGATTGCAACTTTCGGAGGTCCAGACCCGTTCAAGTGTCGATGAAACTCCAGTGGTGGGTGTGATGCACAACAAAAACCAGGCGACGGCGCAAACATGTTTGCGGTAGACCATGGAATAGCACCGGCATTTTGGTGGTCAAATACTGGAGATCACTTCGAGTACTGTACTGTGTGCCGCCACCGGTGCTTTTCACCGTAGCTGGCAGAGTGTCAGCAAGGTTGCCATTGCTTCTCCATGACTATCAACTACTGCTCCCTGTTGCGGTCACCCTCAATCACGGCTACTGCTCGCTACACTGACGCGTTTTATCAGTAGAGACGAAGAGCATTTGCAACTCCTGAGCAGGGTCACGATGTGCTTCAAGCTCACTTGCGATCCATGACCGACAAGTCTGGTTACCCCGGTGCAATTGCACTCGTTCCCGCGACGCCAGCCGTGTTGATGCCGCGCGTCGCGACAACCTGTCAGACCATCAGAATCTCAACCACCTCGGCCTCGGCTTCCACCAACCGCGATGTCTTGTCACTCCTCAATTTGCTCGCACCAGCAAATTACCTCCTGACCCGCTTCTCTCTCTCTCTCTGCCTCGCTCCCAAGCTCCACCACCATGGTCTCCATCACTGCATCATTCGCCTTCGCCGCTGCCATTTTGCGTGTGGCTTACGGCTACACGGAGGCTGACGCCGAAGCTGCTCTCGCCGAGGCTGCAGCCCTGCCCGAGGGCGAGTACTACCGCCCGCCAGCCCACTTGACCTCAGGTGCCGTGAACGCCACCACCCCGTTCCGCCGCTCTCCTTGCCCACGCTGGCCAGCCACGGCTACCTCCCGCACGACGGCAAGAGCATCACGGTGGACCAGGCGCTGGCCGTGGTCATGGACAAGTTCAACATTGCGGAGGACCTGGCGGCCGTCATGGGCGGCCTGTCGCCGGATCTCTTCGACATGAACAACCTGTCCAAGCACAACGACAAGGTGGAGCACGACGCGTCGCTGGCCCGTATCGACTCGTACTTTGGTGCGGATCCGTACGTCATCACCCCTGGCCTCATCAACGACGTCCTGAACTACGGACTGGACGGTTCCGTGGACGTCACAGACGTGGCCACGATCCGCGCTGCTCGAGTGGCGTGGGGAAAGGAGCACAATCCGAAGTTCGACTTCAGCGCGACCCCCGCGTTCATCGCCGGCGCCGAGTCCGCTCTGTTCCTGCGTGGGTTCGGCGGTGACAACGGCAACTCGACGGCCACGACGTTCGTGGCTACCTTCTTCCTGCAGGAAATGTTCCCCGAGGGCTGGACCAAGCCGGACACGTCCATCACGTACGACGACGCTATCACCACGATCTCGTACTTGGATGCTGTGGATGTCTAAAGCAAACCGCAAGTGAAGGACTAGCTAGCGATGGCAGAATGTTAGCGTAGTTAACTCCTTATGCCGAGTAAAAGTGCTCTCTTCCCTGGATACTTAAAGTGTTCAAGCGGAAACTGAGCGGCTTCAATCATAACGACAAAGGCAACACATATAGTGGCTACCCAGCATCCCATCATTATAACTTCTTGTACAGTATCACCGGTGTTGCGTTGCTCTCCGTAGGATCTGCTGACAGACTCTCGCTCCCCAGGCTTCAAGGAATTCCTTCATCTACTGTAAGGGAAAAACTACATGTATCCTACCTGTAGATGGAGCTCCCACGTGCTGCCGATGGCTCAGGCTAGGCGCATTAGGGGGAGTCGAACATTGCCAAAAACGTGCTCAAGTTTTGAGCTTGGCCGTGCTCACAATCTCGACAGCGTTTTGCTTAACTCTGAAACAAGCCACCTCCGGAGGTGGCTTATCTCTGAAATGAGCTGCTCATTTCCGAGATAAGCAATTCCCTTCTTTGTTCCCTCCTCTACAAATACCTCCAAATTATCCTATTATATAATATCCTGTGATACACGTTCTAGCTATTCAATGCTGTTAGAATGGGCTACATCAAATTACCTTGTTCTCAGTATGAACTTTGGTATCGCACGTCTCTTGCATAATTAGTATTCCCTACAAAGTTACACACTATCATTTGTTGAAGAAACTGGTCGGAATCTGTAGTGGGACAGATGGCGGAAAAGTTCCCTCCACTCGACTAAGTCCGAAAATGGAGGGATCGACATGCCACTCCCCCCCTCGAAAATGGCTCATCTTTTCGACACTTTACTGCTCAGAACAGAATTCTGGCTCGGTTTTGCTCATTATTTTTGGCGTTTTTGAGATGTTCGACTCCCCCTATTAGTGTCAAATTCCGCCCTCAAAATCGCAACACCTCTTGTTTTAGCAGAAGTCATCTCCACAGTGTTGTCATCGCCACAGTTGCAGCCGTAATCTTCGCTTAGAGCAAAGTCGTCGCAGTGTTCAACGAGTCTCAACTCTTGTCGAAGGCCAACTCCGACTTTGAGGCCGCTGCCACGATCAACAGCGACTCTGAGACTCCTTCGGGTCAGGGATCCAGAGTTGCTGACCGCAGATGAAGAGCGAGGAGGGAGGTTTGCGAGCCTCAGTACGATCATCAAGTAGCTGAACGAACAAGACATGAGCCACGTCGTCGAAATTACAAGGGATATGAAGCGAACTCATGTCGACAATGTTCTCAAGGCCGTAGGGGCTCTCTCGAAGGCGGACTTTGAAGCCACAATAGCCCTCCTAAAATGGCAAAGTAGGAAGAGCTACGAACCATATTTCAACCCAATTGTTGTCGCCAGCTGGCTCCAGCAGCTGCAGCTTCAACAAGTACAGCTTGCCCAATGCCCAACGACAAGCCAAGGATCTCCGGCTGACGACCAGCCACGCGTGTTCTGCGGAAGGAGTACGACCGTCAGGCACGAGTGTCCAACGGTCAGGCACGCGTCGCAGTGGCAACTGCATCTTCAAGCTCAAGGGCGCTCCAAGGGCGACTCCAGGGCTAGCCGGAGCTCTCTTTGTTTTTCCTTGCATGTTAAGCTTTTTCAATTCCAGTCATTCTGCATTTCGCTTTACTTCGACCAAGTGCGAACAACAAAGAATTCTTTAGCTCACTTCGCGCTGCGAAGCGGAAGCCATAAGCAGTCCAGATCACAGGAGCCGTGAACTGGCTTTGGAGGCGCTGATTTCTCCTAGAGTGAGAGTGGAAGACGTGGTCGTGGCGCAGCGGCAGACAAGAACGTTCGAGTCGTCGGTGGCACGAAGCATCCAAGCGGAGTCGGAGCAGAAGGTCGAGCAAGTGGCCAAGAAGGCGGAGGTGGTCCAGCAACTCACACTCGAGCAACTCAACCGGTTACAGCAGCAGCATGAGGCTCTAGCGGCCAAGACGGCCGAGTATCTTCAGCAGCTGAACGGCAACCAAGTGGAGCTGAACACTAAACAAGCTGCCCTGAGCGCGCAGCTGGAGGAGCTGCAGAAGGCGCTGGCGCAGCAGTACCAGTTGATGCGGAAGGCCGCTGAAACTGTCGGCCAGCAAGGCCGCCAGATCGAGGATCTGAAGGAAGAAGTACTGTCTCCGCGGGGGCAGAGCCGCTGGGGTTGGTTTGCCCGAGGCACGGGCCAGAGCGGCCGCGAGCGTGACGGTGACGATCCCATGAAAGGCGAAGGCGTCTCTGCGGGTAGCAATGAGCCAACGATCACAGTGGCGACGGGCTCGAACATGCCCGTGCCTCCTGTATACCGCGGCTCCACGAAGATGGAGAAAAAGACCTTCATTGACAGCTACCTCATCTACAAGCGGCGGGTTACGGCCTTAAACCAGGGCTCGTATGGTCGCGTTTTTGTCATGCCTCTGAGTGCTTGCATTGAGCACCGGACGTTGATCCGTATCTGCATGTACGAGCTAGGGCGGCCCGAGTCTGAAATCACTGAGGAAGACTGGAACGCAGGAAGTCCAAGACCGCGCGCGGCTAGCGCAGGCTATGCGTTCCTTGGCGATGAACACTACGCTACCCGACGCGGAGTCTCGAGTAATGAAGCTAGTGACGGACTTCAATGAGATCCTGGATGCGCAGGATATGGACGATTTCCCCCTCTCGAAGAGCCCAAGATGGCTGTGGGGTTCCTATGTGCAGCGCCGAGACTGCCCGCCCTCAAGCAGACGGTCGTAACGGAGCTGAAGCGCACGGTGCACAAGTCGACGAAGAAGTCCGTGAAGGTATTCGTCGATTGGCTGCGATCCAGAGTGTCAGGATTCCTGGTTTTTGAATCAGCTATCCAGCAGACGACGAGAGGCGGAGGAAGCGAGGCGCACCAGCAGCCCAGGACGGGCAGCGTCCCACGCTTCGCTGCATGATTTCAACCCAAGGGCGGAGCTACAACAGGGGGGGCCAGGACCCAAGACAAGCGCAATTGGCTCAGGTACGGCTTCCGTCGGTGCCAAGCTTCAGGGTACCAAGAAGCCTGCTACACCAGCTCAGCCCCGTAAGTACCATAAGTGCGGCGACCTGGCCCATGGCGTATTCCAGTGTCCCCTTGCGAGTGCGACAGAAGCGAAGTAGTTCTACGACAAGAGCCGTAAGGCAACCAAACCTGTCGGCGCGGTCGCACTCATGGCGGACCAGCTGCGGCTCTCCACGCCTGCAACCAAGGCGGATGAAAAGCTGGGCCCGCTGCCGTGCCCGGTGAACCGGGTGCTGAACGCCTGGGCTAAGCCTGACAGCGGAGCTGAAGTATCAGTCGTGACACCCCGATTGCTGCAGGAGCTAAGGGCGAAGGGCCAGTGGCTCAAGTGTCGCGACCTCAAGCAATGGGAGTCCATCAAGGGAATCACCGCGGACCCGATGATGATCAAACAGGAAATCAAGCTGGACCTTCGTTTTGACACCATTTATGGAGGGTTAACGCTGAAGAACTTGACATGCTGGGTGGTCTCGGGAGGTCGACCGCCGGGAATGGGCGATTTTCTGCTCAGCGAAGGTGTGATGGAGCGGCTAGGATACAATGCCCAAGCGCTTTTGGACCAGGCTCGGAGCATTAGTGATGTGTACGATATGGACGAAGACGTGGCACCTACTGGCGTGCGCAGCGTGTTGACGTACTCCGCCGCCACTACCACTCAGCCCGAGCCGGCATCGGAGAAGAAAGAGCTGCAGCCGGACGAGGAGCAGCGCTGTTTTCCTGATATCGACGTCGCTCAAGACCGCGATGAGGCGCGTGCGCTGGAGTGGGAAATCCTCGAGAGCAAGCTCGACGAAGCCGCGAAGCTCGGCTGCAGCGCGGAGTTTCGTGCAGAGCTGGCCAAAATTTTGTTCGAGTACCGCGATGTCTTCCGGATCAAGCTTGGCCGCGACCCACCCGTGGACATGCCCCCTCAAGGTCACTTTGAAGCCCGACGCAGTCCCGGTGCGCTGTAAAACCCGCCGCTACGCTCCAGAGCATCGAGTCTTCATGAAGTGACACGTGAACGAGCTGATCGACACCGGTCTGGGCTATCGCAACTCGCACAGCAAGTGGTGCTCGCCCCCATTAATTGTCAAGAAGGTGGACCCGGGAGATTTTCGCATGACCGTGGACGTCCGCCGGGTGAACGCTCAGACGCTGCGTCTGATTTGGCCGATGCCCATTCTCGAAGTCATCATGGACTACTTAACGGACTCCGAGCTCTATTTCCTTCTGGATTTTTTCAAGGGCTACTGGCAATATCTTTTGTCCCTCGAGTGCCAGGAGCTGTTTTCTTTTCTGTCGAACTTGGGGATTTTCACGCCCACGCGGGTGCTGATGGGCGGTTCGGACAGTGTGGCTTATTGCCAAGCCACTGTCCAAGAGATGTTTGACGAAACCTCTACAATTGTAAAGGGCCCATTTACATAAGTAGGTAGAGGTTACATAGGTACATACACAAAAGTAGGTGCAGTCACACGGCTAGCGTGTGACCTACTGTCATGTTCTGATTGGTTGAAAGTGGGGAGCCAGACCCATTTCATTCAATCAGGTGCAGACTTAGATTTGAGTGGTTCACAAGGGTAAGGGGGCCTCCGTCCCCCGTCCCATACATAAACAGAGTTGATTTTACCCTAAAGACAAGACTTGAGCTTATTATTGCAAGCTTCCTCTTATCTACAGTGTACGCTAGTGACGGTATCTCTTACCTCGTTACACCTGGTAGCACTTTGTAGTCCTTCCAACGTCCAAGACCAATATGAGCCAAGTTCTGATGTCCGAAGGGTCCGGTGTAACCTTTGACCACACGAGTTTTCCCCACCCCACCCGGGTTGAGTGGGAAGCTCTTCACCGCCTCGCTGCCGTGTCCGGCGAGTTCGTCGTCACGTCGCTGCTGAGCTCAGCGACCGCCGACCAACAACGCCAGGCTGCCCAAGAGTTCATGGAACGCGAGCTCGCCGATGCCAAGGGGCGAGTGTCAACTCCCTCGCATTCCTCCCGGAACAATGCGGTGAAGATGGAGACGTCGACGTATTCCGGCGCCGGCCAAGACCGACTGCCCCTGAAACGCTGGTTCAGGGAGATCGACATCGCCATCGCCATCGCCTCGAGACTGATCGAGGCGCCGACGGCGAAGGTAAACTTCCTCCTGTCGTGTTTGTCTGGGAAGGCGAAGGAGTGGGCCCTCGGCAAGCTTGTTGTGAACCAACACGCCTTCCCGTGTCTGGACAGTCTCCAGAAAGACCTTCGACTTGAATCGCGGATGCGTGCGGAGTTCTTCGCGTTGAAGCAGGGCAAGCTGTCCATGCGCGACTACGTACAGAAGACTCGTCACCTGGCCTCGTGCATCGTCACGAGCCCCATCGACATGGCTTCGCAGGTCCACGTCTTCGTGTTTGGCATGCGAGAAGGAATGACGCGCTATTGTCTCACGCGCGCCGAGCCGAAGTCGCTGGAAGAAGCGTTCGCCCACGTATTGCGCGAGGACTACACGGTATCCGCTTCGTACTCGCGACAGTTGCCGGCGGACGCTCGGGCAGCGATGCCCGAGCCAATGGAAATCGATGCCGTCGAAGCCGCGCGGCGGCTGCAATTCCCGTTCGCTGACCTGCCACCGTTGTGGGAAGTTGGGTCATCGCGCGGCAATCTGCCGCGCGCCTGCGCCGATGCACGCTGCAGTCGCTCGCGCCGACGACGAGATCCTGGCCGTTCAACCAAAAAACGACCGGGACCAGTAGGTGCGGGGCGCCCTACTGGCTGGAACGGAGGTCCGGGTCCCCCGGTGGCAACCCGATCTCCTAGCCCTCCAGTGCTTCACGCACACTTCAATGCCACCACCACCAGCGGCGACCACAGACTGATCATCGTCAGCCTGCACGTCGCCGGCGCGCGGAGTCCTCTCCGTGCGCTCCTGGATTCGGGCGCAACGAACAACTTCTTCCGCGCCTCGTGTTTGTCGCTTTTTCCCTCGGACATATCTGTCCGTGAGGGTCCCGGCGCCGTCGTCGTTAAGCTCGCTGACGGCAAGCCACACCGTGTCCCACCGCGTGATATCACGCTGCCGTACACGTTCGACAGCTTCCGTAGCAACGACGACTTCCTGGTGATCGAGATGAACTACGCGTTCGACTGCATCTTGGGCATACCGTGACTGACACGGTATCAACCGGAGATCGACTGGCTGGCCCGATCAGTCAAGCGTCGAGCCGACTACGACGTGAGTGAAGTGTTCACTCATCTCCTGGTCGCTCCGACGGACTGGCCCCACGTTACCGTCGTGGATCGTTCATCCACGACGCAAGCCCTACACAGAGCGAGCGATGGCCCTCTCTGTATGGCATGTGCGGTGCTGTTGGATGAACCGAAAACGAACGCGAAACCTCGCAGCGAAGCGAGGTTGTTGCGACGGCGGTCGAGCGAAGGCGACTCCCGCGAACCAACGAGGCGGTCGAGCGAAGTACGCTCCCGCGCCCCAACGAGGCGGTCGAGCAAGCGGTGCCCCCGCGTACTTCCGGTGCGGACGGGCTCGACACTCCGCACCTAGAGGAGGGTGAAGTATCGTCCAGCGATAGAGACGATGTGCCGTCCAGTGCCATCGAGTCGTCCACCTCGAGCTCCTGCTCGAGATCTTCGAGGAGGAAGAGGAGGAAATCCAAGCGACGGCGTCTCAGGCCACGGAACAACACTAAAACCGCACCTCCCCCGACGGAATCTGTCTGCGCTGTCGAATACGTGGAGGGTGCTCCACGGGGCACGCGGGTCATCGAAGTCGCGAGTCCACCGCGCGACGCTCGCGGAATCACTCTGCCCCCCGGGCTATCGTGGAAACACTTCCTTCGCGATCTGAAGGTTGGTGACATCGAGCAGGTGATCACCGAGGCCGACGGGACAGCCGAGGGTCTTCACGCACTCAGCGGTGACGACGCGTCGTCGCGGCCGAGGAGTGCCGAACCGAAGCCTGCCCGCGAAGAGCGATTCGCAGCGCAGTCCTGAGAAGCGCTGAAGAAGTCGGGTAACCCAGTCTACGATACCGCGCGCGAGTTGGAAGACGTCTTCCCTGATGAGATCCCCGCCGAGCTTCCAGCCGACCGCGGAGTTCGGCACGATATCGACCTCGCGCCCGGAACGAAGTACTGCGTGACGCGGCAGTGGCCACTGCCGCGAGACCAGGTCAAGGCCGTCGACGAGTTCTTCGAAAAGCGCCGCCTGGCCAGCCACGTCCGCGAAAGCACCTCCCCACACTCTAGCCCCACGTTCTGTGTGAAGAAGGCGACTGGCGGCTGGCGCATCGTCCACGCGTTCAATAAGCTGAACGACGCGACCATCCCGGCACAGACCCCGATCCCGCGGAAGGACATGGTACTCGACTCCATGTCAGGTAGCGTCATCTATAGCGCCATCGACCTGACGGACGGCTTCTACCAGATCTTGATGAGGTCCAGCGACATACCCCTCACGGTAGTAAGCACCCCCAGCGGGATGTTTTGGGAGTGGCTCGTGATGCCACAGGGTCTGAAGAACGCCCCAGCCACGTTCAACCGCATGGTGTCTCACGTACTGCGCCAGCTCCGCGACTTTGCGCCGAGCTACTTCGACGACATCTTCGTGCACAGCCGAGCTGAGGGCAACCTCAGTGCAGTCGAGGTCCATCTTCAACACTTGAGGCAGGTATTCCAAGTGATGCGCAAGAACAAACTGTACGCGAATTTGAAGAAGTGCGTCTTCTGTGGTGGAGTAGCACGCACAAAATCGTCAGATGTGGCACCCTAGCTACAAACACAACAACAGCCGAGCTAGTCGGCCCTTGTTGGCCTGCGCTGAGATGTCCCCGAGCGGTTCGGCCCTTCCGGGACAGTGATGTCTCGTCCTCGCCGAGACCAAGTACCCCAAGCCAGTCAATCACGGAAGCCAGCTGAGTTACCTGACTCCGGAATTAGAAATCCCGTGCCCTCCGCCAAAGGACGGACGACGGAACTCGCGGGCTTTTACGGGTCGCCGAGAGCAAAGGCTTCTCGACTCAGCAATCAGTGCCCGGGACGTACGGGAACACCGGCTCGCAGCGGTGGCGAGACTTTTCCTTCGCGCTTGGCGAGATACGCGCCCAACCCGGGTCGACCTTAATCTCTTGGCGCTACCAGTCAACACCCTACAAGCTATGCCTCTCGGGTGCTGACAGCAGACATAATCCGGCCCGTGCAGGGACTTACTGGAAGCGCGTGCACGTGTTGTGGACCTAGAAAATTCTGCTCTGTTGTTTGTTATCTCTGTCGGGCGCCCTGAAGGGGCGCCTCCACTATTCCTAAGCTCCTATACAAATACCAAATGAAAGTGGGCGGTTTTCGATCTCGGCCGACTCTTCACCGAGCTCGGCGACGCTTGAACTCGGCTAAGCCAGATAACCTGTCCGGATAACCCCTTGAATTCGGCTGAGCCGGATACGGCGTGTCCGGATAACCTGGCGAACTCGGCTGAGCCGAATAAGATGTCCGGATAACCCAGTGAACTCGGCGGAGCCGGATAAGGTGTCCGGATAACACGACGAACTCGGCGGAGCGACCCTAGGACTCGACTGGGCGACTCCCGGACTCAATTGGACCCGGTTACCGTATCTGGATGGCACGTGGTGCCGTTTAGCCGAGCTCGGCGGCTTGAACTCCCCATGATCTTGGCTGAGCGTGTCCAGTGCCTTGCTGAACTCGGCTGGGTCTTCATCACTGGGTCTGCCACGTGTCACCAGGTCGGGGCCGGTGTGCCTTGAGTTTCTGACACCATCAGCCGAGTTCAGCGGTCCATCAGCGCATTCTTGCCCACTGAGCTTGGCGGACGGTCATCCCGCCGAATAGAACTTGGCTCCTGGTACGTTGCTCCACTGCGGCCTTGGAGTGTGACATAAAACTTGATGTTCCCTACACCACACTTCTGTGCGCCGGAGGTTCCCGTACTCGGCTGCTACGTGAGCATGGACAGCGTTCGC